ACAAAGTTTAAATGTATTCAAAGGTTGTCAAGTAAATTTGGTCTAAAATTTACGTGTTCTTATTAAGTGGAATATTAATCTCTTATTCATTTATTTCTGTAACGTAGTTTGGTCACTAAGATTCAGAACACACGATAATTTCCAAACGCGTAAGTCTTTTTAGATTTTCATCACTGATTATCATTGAACAATGGATGAATGTTGCTTAAATATATGACATTATATTTTAATGTTGAGATAATAATCACTAACAGAGATGTATTGTATACAATCCCATATATAATGAGATGATGTAATCACATATAGTCGTCAAATATAAACTATAATTCATAATATCATCAAGCATATGGACTACAATTGAATCATGATTGATATGATGGATAAAGCGATGAAGATATATTTATAGTTATCAGAGCATTATCATAACAATAATGATAATAATAGTAGTGAATCAAAATTATATTAAAATTAGGAAAAAGGACGTAAAGATGTAAGTAGGTTGATTGATGGGGAAGGGCTTAATTGTTCATAGAATAATGAAATAAAATATAATAATCAAAAGCTAAGAATGACAATGTGACCGTGGAGATCAATAAGTGAGTTTTGTAATTGGAAGAAACATAGAAAGATTGATGCAGAATTTTCATGAATGTAGGAAACTCAAAATATGTATCAATGAAAAAAAGGTAGGCGATACATCCCTGGAAAAATAAATAACGTTAACATTAAGATAAACTTTCTACATCAAACAATGCTAAACCTACTTCCTTTTGTGCATTAATAGACAATTTTCACCTGCATATCCTGCTTCAAAATATAAGAGTAATTGAAGATTGTGGTATAAACAAGTGAAGTTTATTTTCAAAAACCATATTTCGTGATATTAACTTTGAATCAATGATTTTAAGCGATTGGATCAACTAGCTAACAAAAAATTACTCCATTTTCAGTAGAATAACAAGTTTAGTTATTTAAGAAAACAATAAAGACTCCAATAAATAAGGATTAAGGTAATCTTAAAAATGTGTGTTTTTGTAAGACATCATTTTATAGATTATTTACTAACCAATAAAACCCGCAACTTATTATCAGTTATGTACATATCACTCATCATCATCATATAATAAGTGTCTAATCAACTAGACATACAAACACAACCTAAGCTAAAAATTGTGCTTTTCATGAAATAAATATCACACTAAAATCATGAACCAATCTAAGTTAGGACACCATTGAAAACTTGAAAGCACTGGATGGTCATTTCAACCTAACATGGGACTTCTCATCGGTGCGCATCATTGCTCGAACACAGAACCTTCGATATTCTGCATGACAGCTCAACCATCAATTCACTGAACCGGCATCCGATGGTGTTACTACCAACCTGTGATTTCAGGTTCTTAGTGATGGTTTAATTTAGATCGGTTCATAGTTTAAATTAAATTCGATAATCTCTTCAACGCAAAACTAAAAATAAATATCAATTGATACTACCAAACTATAGTGAGGAATATTCAATCCAGAGTATCACTTATTAATAATGGTTATTGACTCTAAAGTAGCAATGAAGCATCTGTCCATTGTTTTATGATTTCCAACGTTTGCTTTAGTTTACATGAATCCATGACGAATTTCGGATTAAAGCTAAACCAATCGCCACATATCTACCAAATATCTATCAAATATACCTTTTTCCGTAAATTTAAAGTGAAGTTAGAAATAGACAACGTTAAGAGAAAACAAAAATAATAGAAAACATTTTGTGAAGTCATTTTGTGATTACTAATGGAATACAATGAACGCCTATTGTCTTATTCGTGACTCGTAAAACGTGTTAATGTCCGTATAACACCAGTACTAGGTTTCTATCGCTTCAATACCCGTGATATACTTATCTTTTAAATCCATAAGGCTACTATCATTCTCATTAGATTTAAAATATTGGTAAGCATTGTCAACAAGCTACTGTCAAGATGAATGAATATCAAGCTGAAAAATCACACGTGTTATTAGATGTCTGAAGTAGACCTAACTGTTGGAAATAATCTAACTGTGTGAAAAATTAAAACTAGCAATGTCACTTAGTTAATGTGCTCAAAATGAATGCATGTTATTAGAAACTTATTGAATTTACTCTTTGATTAAAAAAAAACAAACAAACAGGAAACTTTGAAGACTTACATACATGAGAAACTTCTGTCAACTTATCATAGTTGTAACTATTCCTAAACTTTACATTAAGACCTAACAGATTATTAATACAAAACAGCATATAGAACAGATAATAAAGTAAATTACCATTTTCTATTTATCTAACAAAAAAACTGTAATGAATTACTTGATGACATAATTTATGTTAATCAGTTAGTGTATACTTCATTTGAGTTGATTCATTTCAAATCAAATAGTTTAGTTTATTGAACGTTCAAATTATTTATTAAATCATCAATACATAATCATTTTAAAATTTTGATTTTATTTATACATTTAAATCACTTTCTTGTTTAAAAACAAAACAAAAAATAGGCAGGAAATGCTAAAATAACATGAACCAAACAACTAACATTTGATGGTGGTTGAAGGTAGTCAAAAGGAAACTCTAGACGAGGGTTTCGTGCTAATTGGTACTCGTCAGCAAGGTGTGCCTGTAATCTTGAGGGAACTGGTGCTTCCTGATGGATTCGATCCCATGTCACCCAGTTCGTAGTCAGAGACGTTACCACTAGGCTATCTGAACCGCGACCGACCTCCTGTAGAACTGAGATGTAATCACAATTGATTGGTCACTGGGTGGTGATTAATGTCATGTGTGTCAAGTCCTTCTTAGTGCAGATCGAATGCTATCGACCAATTTGCAATGTGGCCACTAGTCTAGGTGACTTTACATTGCGTGAAACGGGATCGAATCCGTCAGGGAGCACCAGTTTCCCCAAGATTACAGGTACACCTTGGTGATGAGTGCCACGTGGCACGAAACCCGGGTCCAACGTTTCCCGTTGACTACCTCCAACCGCCATCTAATCTCAACACAGTGCACGCAACGTCGAGTCACCTAGACTAGTGGCCACATTGCAACTTGGTCGACAGTATTCGATCTGCACTAAGAAGAACTTGACACACATGACATTGGTCACCACTCAGTGATCATTTAATAGCAAACAAATAATATACATATATGTTTATACAAATACATCATTGTTTACTTTATATTCAAATGTAAAGACTTGTTATTTAGAATTTATTAATTCATCTTCCTTGAAATATATTCTTATAGGTATTTCTTTGCATATATTATAATATTTGTGAAAGAACCTGAAGTATTCAAGTAGTTTCTATTATGAGTTGATTGATTTAAACTAAACAATAATCGAAAATTTAGGAAGTTCTGATGAATTTTTTACTCTGTTTTACCAAAGAGTATTTGTAAATCCTTTCAGAATGGAACCTAAGATCATCAAGCAATTTAGAAGAAATGAATTAATTTTTTAATTTTGGATTCCAATGTTTTATATCATCATTTTTAGTCGATTCATGATGATCGTTTGACATGATTACTACAGCTAAACTTTGTCGAAAACTCATATAAGTCAGGTCTCTCATAATTAAGTTGTTGATTAAAATCGATATTGTGAAGCGCTTTATGCATTATTCTTACAGTTCTTTATCACGATACACTTAAGAGATTTGTAACTAACTTTTTAATTTTATGAAAACTGGTACATATCTATGTGATTTGTTATTTTCATTATTTACATCAAGATTACAGTTAAAGCATACTAATTAGTAGAATCTTCATTTTTTGTATTGATTGTTTGAATCTTACCATTGATATTCAGGGCTGTAATTGATCAGTCTCTTGACTATCTGGATTCAGAAGCTAAATAGAAAACGTGATGGAGTTTGAGTGAGCATCAACTTTGGAATACAGGGACATTCAGCTGATAAGTCCCAAACAGGACGAAACGTGCGTCCTGGATTCCACTGCTAGCCATCATCTATCTCTGCTTATAAATAATAGGTATTTTTAATGAACAAAACGATTGATAAAATGTTCATCCTAATCGTCTCATGTTAATCTGAATAGCATTGTGGCACACTACAATGTAATTACAAGCTATTAATTGTTAATAAAATATTTGACTAAGACACATAACTCAATATCATTTCCGTACACATCTTAATTTTATTTTTCATAAGTTATCAACTAGTATTTGTAACCACAGTTTTCCACTGTTTACTAACAAACAAAATTAAAATGGACATAATAATTTACTTCTATGATTACCTCTTAAAAGACAAATTAATAAGGATGTATAGAATAACGTTTTGAGAATAAAACAGGATATTTTGCATATCTTATAAAACATATAAAGACTTATAAGCAAAGATGGATAGCGGCTAGCAGTGGAATCCAGAACGCGTTTTTTTTGTTCTATTTAGGACTTGTTAGCTGGATGTACCTGCATCTTAGAGTTGATATTCACACTGGGACTCAAACCCACAGACTGATCAATTGCAGTCCTAAACATCAATGGTAAGATTCATGTAAATAATACTAAATGAATCTATATATAGACTGTTTAGAAAAAGAGCGAGGACATCAATCGTTTAGTATGTTAACAACTACTTTGAAAATAATAATGTTAGTAAAATATGCTGAATAGATGATAATGTACTAAAAAACTCGAGTATGTTTTCAAAACTAATTGATTAATTACTATGAAACTTGGATATTTTCGTTACCTTTTGTGATAGAGTAGTATTTGTTGAAGACATGTAAAATCAGACAATAATAAATAACATTCTAAACAGTGAATACGTAGATCAACGTCCTCGGCTGAATAACAGAACTTAAAAACTTCATCTACCGAAAATTATTATATGGTTACTTAATCAGAATACAAGAATCAGAATTTCTAACTTTACCCAATTAAGTATATTAATTTATTATTTTAGTTGTATTTAAAATGTTTTATAACTTCATTAATAGATTTCTTACAATGTTTATGACAAGTGGAAGTGGAGTGAATTTACGAACACTTCGAGCTGTACGTGTACTACGTCCTCTCAAACTAGTATCAGGTGTACCAAGTAAGTCACTCTTAATTTTATTACTATGATAAAGATTCACTAAACTGAACTAGAGTTTATTGTGCTGCAAGAAAAGTTTCCAGTATAATGTATATGACAGTAAACAGTTTAAACAAAACAAATTCTTTTATGTAGTTGGAAATTTATTTGATTATTCGTTATAACTGATTTTTGATTCATTGAAATCAAAAGAGCTTAATAATGTGTAGGACGGAAGATTCCATTATACAGTTGGAATCATTCAATAATATAGTAGTATAGTATGTAGTATAGTAACAATGAATAATTCTCTTGAAAGTCAACAAATATGTCAAGAATATAAATTAAGATAGGCAATAAAATTGTCTTTTTCAATCATAGAAATAAATATGACCAGTAATGTCGATATCTCTTCTTTGAACTGATACACATTGATAAAAATAAATAAAGTCTGATTTATGATGAATTTAAATTTAGATCTTTTTATACAGTCATCTTGATTATTTGAGATTTTTTTGTTGTTGACCTTCTTCATTAAATAATGGTGACTGTAATTAACAGAATTCAGTGAAATTATAATCACTGAACAAACAACATACTACTTAAAAGTTTCCATTATGTATGGCAATATCAACAGTACTTCAAACGAACATCACTCTAGCAGAATTTACCGTAGATAAAACGGAAGGTACTTGAAATAGCTAATTTTAGTTCTTTTTTTACATAAAGTCACTGTCCACTCTTATAAAGTTATATTGGTTTGTACAGTGGATGAGATTTAGTGACATTTATTTCGTTGATAAACAAAAAAACCAGCTTGAGCATTATTATAGACAAAGTATTAAATAAATGTAATTTTCTAACTCTTTTTATTTTAGAGTATATTCATGATGAACAGTTTTATGATTTCGGTGTAAGCTTCATTAAAATTGACTGCAATCACAGTTGACAAATCAGTTTAGTTTTTTACTATATGGTTTTTTCTGATCACTTTCATTGTGAATTCACTCTTGATTAATTTTCAACGAATGTGTTACCAATTTTGATAGTCTTCATATATGATAAAAACAAATGAAGTACACTATCTTCCAGTACCTTATAATTAAATGTAAAACTGAATGTTAAGTGAATTACATTGGTTGAAGTTAAACTTTAACACCGTTGGATGCCAGCGGGTTCATTATTCTAGAAGTTAAGCGTTCACGAGCGAGACCAACAGGTCCTGAGTTCAGATCCTGCGAGTGACATAGTGGATACGCAATGCATTTATGAATAGTTTAATATCTAGTTTAGTTATTTTATACAATGGAATATGACTGATTAACACTGTTGTATAGAATAATTTGATTGATCTTAAGTTTTCATTAGAAAAATAATGTGAAAATATACTCATTAGTCTTTCATGAAACATTTATGATTACTAAACGTGAATTATAAATCTGACAAACTTCTACTTATTTGAATTTTACTTTTCATTCAATTAAATATTTTTATTCATAAAAGTATTATGATTTTATTTCTTCCATAGGTCTTCAAGTAGTTTTAACGTCGATTATCAAAGCGATGGCACCATTATTACAAATTGGAATATTAGTATTATTTGCTATATTAATATTTGCAATTGTTGGATTAGAATTTTACTCTGGTGTCTTTCATGTAACGTGCTTTGAACAAAGTAAATTTTTATTCAAATGTTTTATGTATGCGTTATATTTTCTAGGAATTTTTGGAACGTTTACTTATGTAATTACGAACTGTTTTTTCTTTTAATTTAAAGTGCTTAATGAACAGTTGCATTTAATGATTGATAAAATGATGAGAATAACGACAGTTTTACGAATCGACATCGATTGGGAGACCAATAGTTAGTTATTTTATCTTAATATCGGACTCCTCAGAAATTCATGTTCACAACCCTAAACAGCACTGTACCAAAGTTCTGTGAGTTGAATGACAAGCATGACACCATTCATTCTATGAATCGATATTGAATTGCGTACTATTCTCGATGGAAATAAATTACCTTAACCATTTGACTGAATCTATTTAACTAAAATATACAGAAAGATTATCAGTTGTACTGAATTACTGAATAAATTTGCTTCACTTAAGTATGGAGGATGTTATAACTCATTACCAAAAAACTTCATTAGATAGTTTAATTATAAGCAAAATCGGAACAGTATGAAATGAAGTTAGATATTCAGCATAATAACGAAGCATAGACATTACTTGAAAAAGTAGATGTAACCTGTATTGGATAGCTATCTCTTCATAATTCCGACTTTTCATTTTGAAAACTTTTTAACTTTACTCAGAGTCAAGTCCAAAATATTCGGATTTCTTTATAGTGTATGATCTTATTGATTTATTTCTTTGATATTTAAATATCAATATCTTCATGTTTGATTGGTTTATAATATAAAAATCAATCGATTGGTAACCGCGTTGTTTTGGGTTTGACTAAATTCACTGAACAAAATTTCTAATATTAAAATATAGGCTAACTTGTCATAGGGTTTGTGAAGATTTGGCCAATTTGATAGCTAATATCCGTTGTGACATCATTTTATTCAAAAAATAGTTTAACTTCAAAAATTAATGAACCCTTCAATAGTGGATGAACAGTCGACATTCAGATGTAATTATTGAAGCCATAGCATTATTGGAAACACAATTCAAATCCGTAAAGAACATATGTCCTAAAAGAACAGTTAATGTTTACAAGGACGATAAAAAATGTTATAATGAAGAATTTATCTCAAATAAATACAACTTTGCTAGAAAAACGTGTATCTTATATTGAAGAACGTAACTCAATACAGTCGAGTGTAAATATTCACACATAATCTTCATCCAGTTATTACACTCAAACAAACACCATTTTTGTTACCAAAATAGAAAATCAATAAGATATTTATGTAAAATCAACTGATCTAAACATCATATATCATAGAGTTTGTACATTTGGAAAATCATTTCACAGAACCAAATAAAATAATGGACATTAATTTCATACCAGATCAAAATCAATAATCGAATAATTTGTATTATGAAACTAAGAAATTGTATAATCTTTACTAATATCTTACAGTAAAAAAAAATTGAAAAATGAACTGAACATACACGGTTTGAATACATTTCATGAAAGAAAACGTTTTCGACAATAACAATACTATAGAGAAAAATTTGCAAAGATTTGCAAAGGTTATTTCCTAAAATAAATTAACTAAAAATGTATAGAAATAAATTAATGTGTATGCGAATTGACTTGCTAGTTACTGTAATATCCACACACACATACACAAAAACATTCAGGAAATATCAGTATAGGGGTTTTGGAGATTATTAAGTTTTTGATTGAGATTATGAACCGATTGATTTTAGACTACCATTGGAAACCTGGAAGCACTGGGCGGTCGGTTCGTCCTATTGTGGAACTCCTCAGCATTGCGCATCCACGATCTCGCTCGTGGGATTTAAACCCAGGGCTTTCAGTCTCGCGCGCGAACGCTTAACCTACTAGACTACTGAGCCGGCATCCAATAGTGTTAATGTCTTACAACATTCAGGAAATATGTGGGTTTTTTTGTATATGACGGTAAAAAAGAAATTCAGTCGTATATCTAGGCGTTTGTATCGGTGTCATATTTTTTATTATCAACAACATCAACGACAAGAAAAACTTATTTTCTCAACTACAGACCAGTTTTTATTACAGTATAATCATAATTTTTTTCTTCTTTTTAATTCGTCGATATCAACAAAATTCCAGAATAAAGAATAAAACAGAATTTATAATTATAATCATATCAATATATTGTTTATTGTTACAATTATAATGTTTGAATAATCAAAGAAATAAATGTTCACTTGACTGTAAACTAATCTAAATAATGAGTTTTTATTATTTAATCATTATTATATACTTTAATAATTATCATAGATGAATATACATTTATTGTATGTTAAATTAGTTACAAAAAGTAATATTTCATTATAACTAAACATTAAAGGTATAACTTGAGTTCATGGTATTCAGGGAGAGGAAGAATTGTGGGAAGTGAGGTATATATATATATACGTTGTCTGGACAAGACTCAATTTTTCCGCCTTCTACATTAATTTCAATAAATCCATTGACATAATTAATTTGAGTCAAAAAATAATGTAACAATGATTTACCAAATACATAATTAATAGTTATGTGTCTTGTAAATGTATTGGCGGAGAAAGTTGTATCAGTCTAGAATGAGTTTTTCTATACTTAATATATATGAAAATTGACAATACTTAAAAACTATTATTAGCGATTTTCCAATAAGTGTATTTTAAAATAGGGAATTTTTAAGTACATTATTGAAAACAAATACTCGAGTTGCTTTCCTCATAAACAATTTTTAACTGGAAAGCTATTGAAAAGCAGAAAGTATTGAAGAACTATATTTTTTATAGTTAACATTATTGAATAGTTTATCTCACATAGGATTATATCTACATCTTTTTCGCTATATTCTTTTTATGACCACCGAGAGTAAACATGGTGGTTTACGTTTTGAATTTCGGTTAATTCATTGTGTCGAATTCCACATATGAGGTCATGTCCGTACTGATGTCTACCTTCTAAATGAGTTCCCATTGTTTTAATGAGAAACCTTGACCATTGGTGCTTAAACAATCCGAGTAAAACAACCAATGATATTAAATTATTATCATACGATATTACGAGCTTCATAAATTTTGATAAATTGTTTTACTATATTCATTGTTCTAAATTTGCAAAATCAATCGAGTCATTCGCAAACCCTACAAGAGTTTATTTGTTCATAATGGCAAGAAGTTTCCGACTAAAGCAGAACAAATGATTAATTGTTCTCCGATTTTCAGCGCTTCTATAAACAGTGGAAGTTTATGAAAAAATTAACTTCATAGTGTACAAGTTTAACAAAAATATATAAAAAGCCCTGATATTTTGACAGCGTAAACAAACACAGAAAATTATGTAGATTAAACTTGAGAAAAGTTACCGAGTAGATGAACCAGAAAATATGATAATTTATTAAACACAAAAAATAAAAACTATAGGATATTTTTCACTTATTTCTTCATGTGTATTCAAGTGTCGATCTGATAAGATTCACGTGCTTAGAAGACTACAAACGGCAAAGTATCAAACACATTCACAATATAGGTCGACCACTCAGATATTGTAGTGAACGAGAACACAGGAGGGAACAACCGAATGTAATTGAAGTTAATATTGCAGAATATTTTGGTAAAATCTGAGAACCATACAGTAAATATTTCATTTTCAGAATACCCATCAATTATCTCAGACTTTCTCGTTCTCTTGTTTCTATTCCAATCACTCTGCTATCGTTCTCTTCTCTCAGAATTTCTCAACCTTGTGCCATCAGGCATTTCCCTTTCGACTGATAATACATACTACTTATATCTCTCGACATCAGTGGCACATACCACAGTATTATTTATGGGCTCACGTTTTTCCAGATAGTTTCAGAGCTATCTACTAATAATTATTGGATGAAAACATGAACGAGCGTGTGTTAAAATAAGATACAGAACAAAGATGTGAAAGATGATTTTCTACTTGAAGAGTATAAAAGAATAAAGAAGAGAAACCAAGCAGTTGTCAAGAAATAACTAAAAAAATATGAAGGAATGTTAGAATCCTAGGAAACTATGGGATTGGATATACCGTCTTTGAGAAAAATGTTCAGCCTTGAATTGATGAATTATCAAAGCCTCCATTGTATACGAAATAGTTATTTGTTGACACGTTTGTTTTCATTTCCATTTAAGTGAACAATTATCTTTCATACATCTGCTCCATTTCTTACTTCGACGAGTGTTCCTTTAGATTTCTATCTTTTTATAATCGTCCAATAAATAGCCTCTCATAGTCTCATGTTTCTATACGGCATTTCATTCTTATTACTCATTGACTACAGGGTAACTTGAAATTCTAATTAAACTATGGTTCTCCACTCATTCTTTGCTACCAACGCTTCGGAAATTGTATACTCCTTTGAGTGATGACAATCTTGATACACATTTACCAATCGGAAACTGATCCGTTGTAGTCCTAAAGAATCAAACAAACAATACAAAATGAATTAAAGTATTACCTCATTGCACAAGCTAGTGGCTATCAGGACTCAGTAGCTAAGTAGGTAACGTGTTGGGGTTTGAGGCGGACGGTGCTGGGTTAAAGTTCACGAGTGAACATCAACTTTGAGATGCAAGTACATCCAGCAGACAATTCCCAAGAGGGGCGAGATGCACGTCCTGAATTCCACTGCTAGACACTATCCATCTTTGTTTATAATAGTTATATATGTCCAATAATTTATAGGAGTACAAACGCGGACCCCAACCAAGTAGTCTGCATCTACCAACATGGCTCAGACTAGAAGTTAGTGACTTCAGGCACTGATGCCACGTTTTGGTTTGGCCGCCCCTAACTTTCTTCCAACCATCCCCTACCCCGGTTAGCATTGCACGTCGTGGTAATCGGTGTTCAGGCATACGTAATACGTGGCCCAACCATCTCAGTCGATGAAGATTCATAACCTCATCAACTGATTTACCATCATTCCCTAATACCCTGTGTCTAACCTCACTATTACTTACCCGGTGATCCCAACAGATGCCAGCAATATTTCTAAGGCACCTGTGGTCAAATACTTGTAGCTTACGAGTATCTTCTACTCTTAATGGCCATGTTTCGCTGTCGTAAAGTAAAACAGAACGGACTGCCGCGCAGTATACTCGTCCTTTTATTGATAGACGGGTATCTCGCCTTCGCCATAGGTGACGCAAGTTGGCAAAAGCCAAGCGAGCTTTTCGAATCCGTGCTGAGATTTCGTCAGACACCAACCCATTAGGGCTGATCAGACTTCCAAGATAAGTGAAGTTGTCAACGCGTTCGACTACTTCACTCCCCATCCTTAGTTCAGGTGTTGACGCAGACCAGTCCTGAAGCAACAACTTGCATTTAGAGGGAGAGAAGCGCATCCCAAACATTCTGGCATTGTTGCTTAGTGCTACCAGAAGACTCTGCATTTTCTCAGCGTCTTCACCAAACAGGACTATGTCATCCGCGTATTCTAAGTCGATAAGTGGACCTCCTGGAAGGAGATCAATACCCGAGAATTCAGTCGACGAGAGTGTTATTTCCATCAGTAGGTCTATGATGAAGTTAAACAAAAATGGAGAAAGTGGACAGCCTTGACGGACACCACTTGAGGTTGCAAAAGTAGATGACAGTTCGCCATAAGCCCTGACTCGACTAGTAGTGTTCGAGTAAAGAGCCTTCACAAGGTTTATGCACTTCTGAGGTACGCCTTTCAATGACAGACACTGCCACAGAGTCTCGCGGTCTACCGAGTCAAATGCTGCTTTTAAGTCAAGAAAGACCACCATCGTCGGACGCCGATAGGTATGCCTGTGTTCTAGAACCTGACGAATGGTGAATATGTGGTCGATGCAGCCACGACCAGGTCTAAAGCCAGCTTGGTTCTCTCGAGTTTGTAGTTCACGAGTCTTAGTTAGGCGTTTGATAATTATCGAGGCCAGTATTTTAGATACTATGTTTGTTAAACTAATCCCTCTGTGGTTGTCACAGGATGATTTCGACCCTTTCTTATATATTGGGACGATAAGTGATTGCGACCAGTCAGATGGGATAAAGTCTAATTCCCAGATCTTAGCTAAAATATTAGTCAACTTAATCGCTAAAATTGGACCACCATCCTTAAAGACCTCTGGAGCCAATCCATCTGGACCAGCTGCCCTTCCTCGTTTCAGATTAACTATAGCCTTTTGAACTTCAGCAAGAGTAGGGGGACCTATTTCAATGTTCCATTCACACTGTCTGGGAATGGAGGGTAGTTGTAGAGTAGCTGAAGGCCAGCTGAACTGTTCTCTAAAATGTTCCGCCCATCGTTCTAAACGTCTGGACTGGGAGCAGATGAGAGTATCATCTTTTTCCGAAATAATCTCACTTACACTTGACTTACTAATTCCAGTTTCTTTTATTAGTCTGTAAAGCTGTCTTGTGTTCCCTATAGTCGCCGCCTTTTCCATCTCTTTTGCATTCGTTACCCACCACTGCTCACGGTCGTTCTTTAGACTTTTTCTTAACCTAGATCTGATTTGTTTTCGCTCTTCATCATGTTCAGGACCTAATGGGACGAGTTTGCGAGAATCCATCAGTGTGACAGACCTTGAAGAAATCCACTGGTTCCTTGCAACTCTGTGGTTTAAGTCACTAATAGATGTCACTGCTGTTTCCACAGCTGTTTGTATGGCTTTCCAAGCAACATCTGGGTCAGCCTCGTCTTCACAACTACCTAATTGTTCGTCTTTAGTTATTTTGAAAACACTGATAAATAGATATAGTTCGAAAACGCTTGTCAATACACAAGTGTGTACCTCTTAAGTTTATTTCTATTTGTTCATTTTTCGATTAAACACTATACCGTGTAATCCATAGATCAGTCAGTAATCGATGGTATGGTATCCATTTGAAGAGAAATTATGCATAAATTCTCATTAGTGCTATTTTTTATAAGATTAATTTATTTGACAAATATTTTTTTACTAATCAACAATAACGGAATATTATAGGGTATTGTGAGTTCATTGTGTTTTGTCTACTTTTCATCTGCATGCACAACCATTCGCCGAAATTCTAAACCATCTTGAAATAATAATACTCCCACAATTATTATAATTACGATTGTTTTTGGAAATAACATTAATTTTCACAGTTTTATTCACCCTGTTATTAGTAATTTGTGATCAAGCTCAGCGACCATCTAATGTAGTATACTGGAAATTGATTAGAGGTATAAATGCTGACCGTTCAGTGCATTTTCATTGATTTAATGGTTGGATGCTTTCCGGATAGCCAGAGAATCCTGGGTTTGACCCCAGATTGATCGTGGATGTTTGCTGCTGACCTGTTCACTACCAGGAAGAGACAGTTATCGTGATTTCCAGCAGTACCTCAAATAAGGTCAAGCTCTGAAGAATACTCCATCATAAGCTTTGGAAATTACTTCGTTCAACATTAGTCAACCGATTTACGTGATCCATAAACGTCAACAGTCTACATTTCTCAAATATTTGATGTATTAGTAACATATGTTGAAGCATTAACATTTGCTTTTTTTTAAAATAAAACGCTTTTATATTTTTTTGGAAGATAATCCAACGGAATTGCCAAGTTTCATACCAGATGCACCTGGTTTAGTACCATGTCAACCGGTGGATACGCATACACGACCACCAGGAGCATTTGTTTGTCCAAGTGGTTATATATGTAAAGGGTATTGGGAGGGACCAAATTATGGCATAACAAGTTTCGATAATATTGGTTATGCAATGTTAACAGTATTCCAGTGTATTACAATGGAAGGATGGACAGATGTACTATATATGGTAAAGTGATTTTGTCAAGCAATAATTAGCACGATTGTTACTAATATACGTTTATTTGCATTTTTTTAACTTTCATGAAGTAATGTTGTGATTCATTTGAATGAACTGAAAACGTATTTGAATAATACTAATGACTCAACGAATGAACAATTTATTATTGATGATGAGATTTTTAAATAAGTTGTTAATTAGGGAGATTGGTAACTTTCACTGGATACTAATGATGAAATATATTGCATAGAGAAGAGAAGTATCGCAGTACTATTACCTATATTCAATAGTGGTTTAAATAATGGGCAACATATCTTTCATGAGACAGAATCTATAGGTGTATGGGTACAAAACTGCTGGTAATAGCACTGGTCAGTTTTCTTTTTTCATTCCTTGTTCTCACTCTGTTCTATAGGTTTACTTTATTCTTGATATGGTTATTATTTTAAGACCTTTGTTCGTCATCTTATTAATTGCATCTACTGCTGTGTTGACTTAATGTGTACAAGATACAGGATAGTTACTTATTTGTACTGGATCCTACACTTTTAATAATGAACTAATTTTTGTGATATATTGTAAAATTAGTTTACGCAGTATCACGTAGGTCGGAAAAACTCATACTGTCTTACGTAAGAAAATATTTAGGTAAAATTCAAATAACTTAATAACTGATAGTTAACGACTACTTTTCCAGTTGATAGGTAGACGTACCAATGATACAGACTGTGTCTCATATTCTGCTACATTACTCTAAGCAATCAACAGATACGCTTTGCAGCGGCAAATGTATTTGATAATAGCGTGTTTTCATGAAATAAAGCTTTTTCTGCAATTTCAATAATTTATGTTATATTTTATTGTTTAACAGACAAATCGAACATATGGGTCACGTTTCAACTGGATTTATTTCATACCTTTAATTGTAATTGGAGCATTTCTATTGATCAATTTAGTACTTGGTGTTTTAAGTGGGTAAGTTGAATAATATCTCACTAGTGTGAGTATCTTCCACGTTTCAATATCCTCTGAATTGAATGGTGGTAGGTTATTAGGTGAACAGGGAATCGATTGTGATTTTATAACTTATGAATGTTACCGAACACTGACCCATGTGACTAGTTGGTTCAAAAATATTCTTCACCTAAAAAAACAGTGATTTGTTTTATGATCACTTGTAAATGACTGAAACGAAATTACGATTGAATGGTATCCAATATAAATAAACATTATTTTTATAAATGTTATGCAGCGTCACATAATCGATGTAACTTGGTGGAAAATGCATTGACGTTTCGAAGCGAAATGTACGGAGTTCGAGTTTTATTATAGGCACGGACACAAAGACATAACAATATCTGGTGGACGAGCACAAAACAGAATGAAACGCTTTTCTCGGACCCTAATGCTAGTTAAAGCCATAGAATACAATACAACGTTAAAACCTAATAACACCTATTAGTAGCTTATAATTTGGATAGGTGGTCAGAATAGTAAACTGATGTAAACTAAAATAACACTGAATATAAAAGAGTATCAGACATAAGGTTAGTGTATATTACCAATCTGGAGCGACTTTTGAAAGAATCCTGACAATTTTCCATGTTTACCGCCAGTCAAATGTTAGTTTTAGTGGGAAAAAAATAATAGTACATTAGTTCAAATAAAGTGTGTATATTACTTTCATATAACCTATGACTTTTTGATATAAATTTAACATTTCTGGTATGTAGAATTAAAGGAACTCATCAATATGGCTGAAAAGCTTACCACTCACCTATTCTCCCACGACACTTTCTTTTTTATTCCATTTTCTTTTTCTAATAACTTTCTCGTCAACCCCTAAGATACCGGGTATCCAATGTGTAGGCACTGATATATTTATCAAAACTTCTGAGCTTGGATAACTCTACTATCAAACTCGTACCCATCTGTAACGTTACCTGCAAAAATAACTGAATCTGTACTGGTTGACAGTTTTATATTACCCAATTCATTACAGAAAGCATCCGTTATCTAAAGATGACTTCCGAACAAATAAAAAGATGTAAGCTTTTAAAGACTTTTTATACCGGCGTATTTAGAACCAGAATATAAAATTATCACATTTACCGTGAATTCCTATGGGCCTTATTTCCCTGCCACGATTGAATAAATTGGCTTTCCGGAGCAATCTTTTCTCCTATAACTATATTATCATTTCATTTTCGCCAAAATCAGAGAGGCATGCGATAGACAGACAACATAGTTTTAAACTATTAGACGTGTCTTTGAAGCCATATTTTGAAACATGATTGTCTCATCCTTATACCTTAGTATTAACGTATTGGGTATCCAGCATGAGATTAAAATAAAAACTATATTTTCAAACCGCCGAATCTGAAATGCAATAAAATGAACCTCAAACTTTATTCGGTATCTGAAAAAAATAATCATCATTCAGTTTATCATTAATACGTAACTATTTAACTTGTGACATGATCTAATTTGAAAACATTACTGACCTATGACATCACACTGAAGTCATGCTATGCTGTTTTTCAAACAAATTTTGAAATATCTTCCATTAAAGAGGAAGAATGTATTTGTAAAATCACAGTGAAAGAATTTGAAATAAATCCAACGTTTCGCCTAGAAATGTGGTCCAAGCTTTTTCAAGGAATCATCAAACCATTTCTTTCACAGCACCAAAGATATTATTCATTATTTATATGTGAGTAGTTGAAAATTCGATTTTTTTTACGGATTGGCAGTTTCGCATCTGAAGTGTAAACTTGAACTTCCTAACTCTCTGATTGTGAAACAAAAAGGAAAACGTAATTACTTTATCCATTTTTTACCTTCTTTCCTAGTGAGTTTGCTAAAGAACGTGAACGTGTGGAAAAAAGGCGTGCTTTTTTGAAATTACGCAGGCAACAACAATCTGATCGTGAATTGAACGGTTATCTAGATTGGATACAACGAGCCGGTTAGTTACACTTTTATTATATATATAAAGTGACTAGTATAAGAGCTTTGGAAAGATCGTTAAATACTGTGTGTTACATAGTGAAAATTAATGAAACAACCAGTAAAAACCTGGAAGCACTATTGTGGGACTTCTTAACAATAAACACATAGATTGCCCCACAGCAGATCAAACCTAGAACAATCAGTTACCATGATAGTCGATTAACCCTTAGACCATTGAGTTGATAAGCACTGGCTTATCCTACTAACTTCAACCAACTACTTGGCCGTTATTCATTGTCATTGGCCAGTCGCTGCTTTGCTGTCACATGATTAAACTCCATTGGTCACAGTTCATCTCTAATGATTACAAAACTTTCGAAAATTTTCAAAGATTTAAATAATATTTATCATTGATTTTCCGATCTAAAATATCTGATTCACAAATCCATACCCTATAAAATCCTAAATAATAACGAAAGACATGTTCAGCTGCTTCAGATTATTTTAGTCCATGTAGAAAGTCATCTCAATAAATCGTTTGATTTTCCGTTTCTTTCTCATTAACTTTGAAAATGATTCTTGAAGATTTTACAAGATTTTATTTGAGAAATTCAGCTGTACTTAAAATAAGGCGTTAGTCAACGATAGTATTAGATAATAGTCGTTTTATGTTGCATGTCAGACATGATACGAATTTCGTCATAAGGATGTATAAAAGTCGCTCAACATGGAGAATCGAATAAAGTTGAAAATGTAAGCCATTGGATAATAACTTAGTGGCCTGAATGTTAGGTGCTCACTATGAGATCTGAGATTCTTTGGTCCGTTCTCCGATAGAGTTTTTGATGTGCACTGCTAAGTAATCCCATAGTAGAACACAACACCTATCAAGTTCTTCCAAGTTTATTAAAGCTTATCTATGATATAAACCAAAAGCTTGCTTGGAACCGGGAACTCGGACCACTGATCTTAGATAAAAGAGTCACAAAGAATACCTTGCACAGAACTGACTCAGTATCATGAGGAATTGTCAATGAGCACTGCTGAATACTCCGTCATTAGGACGATGAAGCCATTTTATGATTCCTTGGTTTTAGTTTAAGAGAATACTTGTTGAATAAATCTGTACAAACTATCCCATTAGATAAAACTGCACATATTCTATTGACAGAGAAAAATTACGTTTATTAATCTTAGTCAAATGGTCACTGTAATCTCTCTTTAAGAAAAAACGCTACATCATCAATCTAGAAGGCACTATTTTTTCCATATCTTAACATTTAATCATTTAATTAACTTACATCTAAAATGTGTTAATGTTTGCATAGAAAGGACGGAAGAGAGTAAATAAATGAGTGAGAAAGTAGAGGAGACATAGTTATCCAAAATTTAGGATATAAATACCATCCGTTGTTCTTTGTTTAAATCAACAATAAACTGATTGTTTTTTGTTTATTTCTTTTTATCTCACATTATACCCATCATAATTCACAGGTTTCTTTTTATTATGTTTATAGGATTCTATCATTAGGCATAAATTAATTAACACTCAGTATATATACGTATAATGTACGTATGTTGTGTTGTTTCTTTATTGAGCAGGAGTAATAAGGTTGAACATAATTAGTATATTCATTTCACGTGAAAAATCTATATTAGCCAAGTTCATACGTTATTTGGCATATTTTTTGTTCCCACCGATTGAAATTTATATGTTATCCTATAAAAGATTTTGTTTATTTTACAAGATGGTTATCAACAAAAAGTGATATTGTTTGTTATAATTTGTAATTCTTCAGTAGTAAACTACAATAACACCAACCAGCAAATGTCATGAAATGTTCGAAAGCATGAAGTGAAAATACAGTTGATTAATGTTTATAATTTGAGTTGGTCTGTGACAGTAATGTAATTGTCCTATATTTAAACTGGTGTCCTACTTTCTAAATGAAACTTTGTTTAAGTAGAAAAGTTACAGCTTTGTAGAAACTTTTATGATACTTTTATTTCCAAAATAGTCACTAGTGATAGAGGAGCACAGAGTGATATTTAATTGTGATTGATTGTATTTTATTTGCGTTGGTAAGCCCAAACTATCAAGAAGTTGTAAACTAAAATAAGACAATTTTTCATCGGCGTCTAATTTTTGTTTTCTATGTATGCATAGTTTTATGTGACTATTACCTTTATTTCTTGGTGTGAAAATCATCTTTACCTACGGCTCTACATAACAGATACATCTATTGTTTGGTTATTCTGTGATGAGATGTTGAGTGATTTCAGAAAGTACTTAGTGCTCAGGTTGTTGTACGTTACAGCATAAACTACCTAATTTTTCATTGACATCATGCACCGATCAATGTTAGACCATTATTTAGAAACTGGAAGCTCTGGACAGCCGTTTCGTTCTAATATAAAGCTCCTCAGCAGTGCACATCCAAGATTCCGTTCGTGAGACTAGAACCAATAGCCTTCGGCCTCGTACACAAACACTCAACCTCTAGACAATTAACTTTATTGCCGCATGATCCTGATATAAATTATCAAACGTGAAATATAAAAATTTTTATTGAAGGTTTCTGACACACAAAACACTGACTTCATAAACTGTTGTTCTAAAACTATGATTTTTATGATAGTGTTGTTAATATTGTGTATTAATAAATGTATGACTTATTTGTTCATACCAAAGACATTTCAGTCACTTTTACCTCCACTGAGAAAATAATAATAATCGATTAAAATATTAGCTGCAGGATTGAATATATTTTATTATTGATAATCGTGATTTAATTAATCAGTCTTTTTCAGTATATAGGCTAATTGAAAACAAGACATAATGTAATAGCTGTTTATATTTTATTTACTTTTTAATAATGCCTAGCAGTAAAATGAAAAATGCTTGCTTCAGCTTATTTAGAACCATTAAGATGAAAATTTCTCGAACGTCAATATCTGTATTGAAAACCTCAAGTTCACTGTTCACATTAAATCTATTTAATGAGTACCTGAGTCAAGATAGAAACAATATGTTATAAGGGTAAAACGCGAGCGTAGAAAAGAAATTTTTTGTCACTTCTAAAGTATCTCAACAATCAAACTCTGTAAAGTTTAGTATAAATGTAAGCTAAACACTCCCAGATATAGTATAGATTTTAAATTTCGTGAAGAGCGTTCCAACTTTCTTTATTAATCCAAGTTGCAATCAAAAGTCTAAATATTCAAGTTGAACCAGTTTACGATATAATGTGACAATCATTCAGTTCCATTAATTGTCTAAAGTTTAGGCGCCCAACCTATACAATCCATAGACTTTGAGGTCCATTCCCTAATGGGTTTGTTGGTAAATCTGTACATGTATATCAATTGTAAGATTGTTGACTTTTTTATTTTCTAAAATAGTATTGTAAGACAACTTAGTATAAGAAGGTTAAATTAATTTAAACCTAAAAAATGGTAATCCTTACTAATCACTGAAAGAAACTAACAATTGCAAAAAATAAGGTTGCCATGGTAACAGAAATAGGATAAACAAAGGGGATTTATAGGTTTGTCCCATAATAGTTATCTTCGTTATTTGATTATTGATTTTGTTTTCTGAGCAACTTAATTTGTACTCAGTTAAATTAGATGTTTTCGTATATATTAGCAATTTTAAACCCAATATTTAAATGAAATTATTCGCAATTGAGATTTGATTTATCAGCCTGTGTCAGAACTTAGGCTACATGAAAATAAGACTCGATTTTATGTTAACTGATCTGATGACTAGATATTTTAATATTTGAATCTAAAAAGCACGTTTCATTCTATTCTAAAATACGTTATGTTTATGTTAATGATCTGAATGTGATTCAACCTTTGTACATAATGTCGTGTTACAAATCTTAATGTTAACCGTTTCTTGAGAGGGCACACCCCGAGACTTTGACCTAAAGGTCCAATCCATAAAGCAGTGGAGCGACTTTAGAAGATGCAGACCCATGGTAGCCGGTGACCAACAATAGGTTCATACGCCATTTGTTTCCTTAGGATTCTGGAGCCCATATGCACCACCGGTTTAGAATCAAGGTTTTCTAACACTCCTAGGTGGATCCTCCGTATTCATCAAGTGTCGAACATTCGCTTTACGTCCTTTCAATTTTGTAAACAACACCTCTGCTACGAGAAGTTAGTAAATAGGACTTCCATGGCAGCAGTTGTATGCACATCATCACTTGAGTGCATTTCGAGCGAGAGAGAGAGTTGACTCGCCTTACTTTTGGTCGTACCAGGGCATTTGTAGCCATGATAAATAATTTAGTCCTTTGATATTTTCGACCAAAGTCAATAAAAAAATGAATAGTGAATGGCAATTAGAAATAATATTGTTCTATCTAAAATCTCAACTTTTTTACACATTTTTTGTGCCTTTAATATAGAGGAAGTTATTTTAGCTGAAGAACAAACATCATTTGCACAACGATTAAAAATTATCAAAGGTAGGTTCTGTCATCATTTATACATTTTATTTAATTGTTCAATTTCTATTTGTATAAACTTACAAGTTAACCGTTTTAAACAAAATATAACAGGAATTATGAGATATTCATCAAGAAATTCTAAATGGTATTGAATATTCTATTTGGATTATTTTCAACGCAAAATAAAGTTATTCAGCGAAAAGTTATTAGAAACTAAAAGAAACCAAACGGTTATATTTATAAGCTTTTGAATTTCACAAAAGTATTTACCAACGACTTAATACGGAACCATGCTATGGCTCATGTTCATATTCACTGTGTTTGTTAACATTTTCCATCCGAATATGTCAGGTCTATACTCTTCGTGAAGAATATCTTCTTGATACTAACTGATCAATTAGTTATAATAAATATCATACTGTCCAGTCTTTAGTTATAATTTGATCATTAAACTACGCGGTACCATTACAGTTGCTTTTCTAATCTATGCATATAACCGAAGGATATCTTCAATGTCTTCATTTTCACATTAATCAAGAGACTGTAAAAATTCGAATAGACTATAAGAAGGGTTTATTTATTATATAAACATTAAAAACTCAAAAAGCTAACCGATGCATTAGTTCAAATGATAACTTGGTGAGTGCATTTTAACGTCTTACAATCGAAACATAAAACCTTTGCGTTCACAATGCATGCAAAAAAACATAAAACAGATAATTTATTGTTCATGATTTAACTTGACAGCTAGAAAAAGAGCGGAAAAGGTACGAAGAAGATCAAACGATGCTGAGAAACGTGCTATAGCTGCTGAATTGGAAAGTTGTGAGGCTGGTAAGTTTTACTATATATTTATAATTAGATATGCTTCACATAGTCCATTGTTAATTACTTTATACTGATGATAATGACTTCAACGATGAAATGTAACTGATCGAATAAGAGAACTTTCATAATTAAGCTGAATGTCATCCGTCTTATATAAGATTTTTTCACAATCCCGACAAATGGTAGAAATATTTGAAAGTAGAATCTCACATGTACTTGGACGTTCTAATAAGTAGATGTGACTATAGAAGTTTTTAAAAAATCATTAATAAGGCAGGCACAGTTTAAAGTAATATAAGGTAGCCTCATAATATTATAAAGCGACTGAGATTGTGGACAATTACTGATACTATTGTTTTCTGTAAACATTTTAGTGTACTTTAAAAAAATTAAGGTAAGTTTAATACTACTAAATTTTGAACTGCATACATGCAAATACTGCAAACAATTGTTCAGTTTCATGCAGAAAATAAAATAAACTGGTTACAATAAGAAACTGGGTTATAAAATAACTTACGGGTAATAAATACATACTTGGTCATTTTTTTAAAGTCGGTGCAAATTTTACCGACAACAATGGTGTCACTGATTTTCTATCGAGTTACTAACTTAAATGAAGTTTCATTTTCACTTCTAAATTAAAGATCACTGTTAGCATTTCGTCCTACTTTTACTGAAACGTGATGTAGTTTATTAAAACTGGGTAAACAGTATTTACTAGGATCGTTTATTCTTACATAATGATAATCCACTTCTTCAAATAATAAACGGTTATCTCTATCAAACAAAATGCTGGACAGCACTAGACATTAAAGGATATTCAGTAAAACTGCATACGATTTCGTAACTAGTGTATTATTTTCATGTTGTTGTGATCATTTTCGATGATAAATAAAGTTATTTTATCATCTATCGATACTCTTCATAACTGATAGTGAAATATATTTTGTTCTTTAAGAGGAATTTAAAGCATTCTTGAGTATAAAATATATTACAATCAATGCTGTTTAATTTGTGTGTACAAACCAAATCATTTAGATGTGTGCCTTGTTTTGTAATGTCTTAGAATTCATTAGAAATCTTCCGCTTCATCCTGGAAACGAAGTAACATCACAATATTCTTAAATAACCATACAGTTTTATAGTTTAGTTTTAAATTATTTAAATAATACTCATCAGAGAATTCAGAAATGTCATAATTCATTTCTACTTTAATGACATTTCTAATTTCCTTTACAAGCAAGTATCCTTAGCAACATAAAATTTTGTTGTGGATAGGTCTATTTGAAGACTATCTCAAGACATTGGTTGTATGATAAACAATTCCACTTAACTATTCCGTATAAATTTGTTTGACTAAATTTGAATACCTTAATTTATGTTGGTTTTTAAATGCGACTTTAATATGCAAACAATCAGTAATATTGGAATTCAGAAACATTCTTCTGCTTATGTTATAACACATACTTTTGATGTAAATATGTAGACCATCAAAAAAACACGAAATAACATTGCAGACCCTATTTGAAGTGCATCGAACCACTTGAATGACTTTCTTGTGACCAAGTTTAAATTTAAATAATAATAATTCCAATCGGAAGTTTCACATTAACGACTGACTACAGTTAGGCAAACACTGAATGTGGAAAACTTTGAAAAGCTACTCAATCCTAGTATGAGATTACTGAGCAAAGTCCATCCAAAATCTCAGACATATGGCTGGTGTTCAGCATTAAACCACTACGTTTCTATCCAATGACATATCTCTAACTTTATCCAAGTCAATTTATTGCACAAATAATGCCATTAGTTATATTTGTCTCACTGCCAACACTGCTGAGCTCGATTGGTCACTATTTCTCCCAAGAGCTCAGGGGATCGGTCGATAATAGGTATACAATAATTCTCATTAACGGATGTTATATAAGTCGTTGAATTCGAATCTTCACATAAAAGATTGACTTAAAACTTTAAATTTTCCATAACAACACACAGTAACAGTTTTCTCTATCCTAAATAGACATTACGTAGTATAAATGTCGGTTCTTCAGTTCAATGAAGTGATCAGTTTTCATTCATTTTTGTTGTAAGAAAAAAGGAAGTAAACTTGTCTTTATGCAACAGCATGTAAATTAGTGTTTTAAATTACCGACTAGATAAAAGAACATTTATATATCTCTGAAATCAATATAAACAACTTTTGAAGATCTCTTTCATTTACTTTATTTTTGTTTCCTTTTCTCTCATTTCATTTTAAACAAAGAATTAAAAGCTAAACGAAAATTTAAAATACCCGGAACTGAAGCTTTATTTCAATATCATAAACGATTTCGGTAGGTCCTCTTGTTTACATTAGTTCCATTATTATTTCTAAAGTATAATAAATCTTAATGAATATAATGAGTGTTAATACATGCTTTAGTTTTGAGCATTAGTATAATAATTCACAACAAAAATAAAACATTATCACTTTATATAAATGAGCTTTACCTTAAATGGAATACATACCATGACTATTGTTTAGTTTAAGTTTAAAGGTCAAGTTATCAAACACTTATTACTTAAAGGATATTAGCAAAGTAATTAATAAGTAATATCTTACTTATGAAAAAAAGTAGCTTAGAAATAAACAGGAATACTAATTTTTTTGGATAAAATAATCGGGAGGCTTTGTCTACATACATATGCAAACACTTTAACTATTTTGTATGTTTCTAATCAATCCTCAAATGAATCTCTATTTGTAACGTTTATTTCAAAATAAGTGTTGGATACTCAATACTATTACATTGATATTGAATATATAGTTGCAGAAAAAAAGAAGCGAATTTCGCCAATATTTTTATGTTTACTTGTATTAACTAACTCAGATAAAAGTGGATTGTTCTACTCTTTTCGGAAATATTTTTAATCATAGGAAACCATTTTATCATTTCTGTAGTTACAGATATAAATGCTTGGTTTGTCTATGCAAAAAACCATAATCTTATTATTCCATTAATATGTATATATTGAAAGGGAAATTGTAACATTGTTGAATCCTACAAAAATGATTGTATAGACTGGACTATTTATAAAAAATAAAATATTGTTTGAATTTTAATGGTTAATATCATCGTTTATGTTGAGCTGTTATAAAATAATAATTAAAAAATAGAATTGAGTTGGTTATCAGTTCATACTGATTGTAATTAGGTGATTTCCAATTTTAAGACACTTTTCACCATCCATTGAGAATAGTTAAAAGGAATGCGTTTACTGTACAGGACCTTACATATATATGCTCACTAGTGACTGGCTTCAAGATGTATATCTTGGAGTTCTAGTGAGAATCAGTAACCAGTGGAGTTCAACTTGGTCAGTTGTGAAATAGTAACTCATTGATGACAGTGGTGAATGTGTCGCTCAACTTCGTGGATTAATTGAAATTAGACATTAACACCGTTGGATGCCGGCTCAGTGGTCTGGTATGTTGAGCGTTTGCACACGAGACTGATTGGTCCTGGGTTTGAACCCCGCAGGCAGGGTTGTGGATACGCACTGCTGAGGAACTCCACAATAAGACGGAACGGCCATCCAGTGCTTTCAGGTTTTCCATGGTGGTCTAGCTTTAATTGACTTTTAATCTCAGCTATATATCTCTGTATATACCTCTGAAGAGTCCACAGCCAAAATAAAAAAGGCTCCTCTATGTTTCATACTGGTATCATTTCGCGATGGACATTTGCATCGACCTGTGATAAAATGAGTGTAATCCTCTTCAACGTACATGAAGAAAGCAAAACTTAATTGTTTATCTTTTATATTAGGCATTAATAATAACACATTTATCAAACAACTACATACTTTACACATTTCTTTATTTTATAATCTAGTTTCAAATGTAAATTATTCTTATAATATGACTAGATAGTTTAACATCATTTGTGTATTTCCTAAAATCACTTTCTTTGTTATTGTCTTCCATTTAATATACCAAAAACAATTGTAGATTTGCAGTTCGTCGTCTTATAAAATCACAAAAATTTTATATTATTGTGATTACTCTCGTATTGCTAAATGCATTATGCGTTTCTGTAGAATTCTATGGTCAACCAGGATGGCTTACAGATTTCTTATGTAAGTTCATGCAGTTATATTATGAATATACATATTTTTCTATTTATAAAATTCATTATTTACATATTTCACTTTCATAAATTAATGTAAACACAATAAATCATTTCCGAAGATATGTAATCAAAACTATGATTATTATATTGACTGAAGCTAAACAAAAAGATATTTCATTTACACAAGCTAATAGCATCGAGATATATATTATAAGACTTGTAGTTCGAATGGATTTCTTTAATTGTCTAACAGTAAACACGTTCATCTACCACTGTACTTACTAGATAGATAAAATGATTATATAAAGCCTATTTTCAACAATTTGTATTCAAATTCAGATTAAAAATCTTATATTAGAAGGGTTGTATGTGGGAGTTTATTAGAACTCAAAAAAGCTGTATAATTGTTTGAAATCAGAAAAGTAACTTTTGAAAATCAGATACCATTTCTTTCTCCTTGATTTCGGCCTCATTAGTAGTACAAAATCAAAGTTTTAAAATGACTAAATACCTAACCTCGAAATACTCTATAGCCGCTATAACATGCAGCAAATAGATATGATGATTTATATTATCATCAGTACTCAGTTCGTAGTCACTATTTAATGCTTTCGACAGTTAGCACCCTCCCGTTTTACACAATTGATTCAAAGGTCAATTCATACCAGAATTTCAGAAAGTTGATCTCATAATTAATCTGCAATAAGCTCATAATTAATATTGAGATAAGTGATTTGTGAATATTTTCCTAGTTTAACGATATGCTTCATTGTAGACTGATTTCATCGGCTAATCCAATGATCCACAAAACAGAACACTAACAAAGAATAATTTATCAAAGGTATAATCACAAGTGATTCGAATATTATCGTGAGAACGGTACTTAAGACCCATATTATATGATGAATTGTTTATCTGATGCCTCTTGATTATCTATGATTTATTAGCTAACACAATACTCTTTGGTGAGAGTTTTCGTTAAATTGAAATGTAGATTTTATCAATAATTTCTTCTTTTTTTTCATTTAAGAACTTTTTTCATTATAATCAAATTGTTTCTCTTACAGATTTTTCAGAATTCATTTTTCTTGGTCTTTTTCTATTTGAAATGATCATAAAAATCTATGGATTGGGTTGTTTGATTTATTTTCACTCAACATTCAATATATTCGACTTTGCTGTAAGTTGATAATATAAATAAGTTGTTGTTATTGTTCTGATTGCAAGTTAAATCATAATATTCTTTTTATTCATCATAAAATACACTGAAACCATCGTATCAGTGGATTTTAATCCTTTGACTAGAAGCGGTTGACATAATTTTTCACTAGTTGTCAAATCGTCAGTTCATAAAAAGGTATATTTTTCTGTTCCATGGTATTCTTTATTCCTTTAAATTTCGTCAGAAGCATTTCGAAACACTTGTATCAACAATACGCTGAAAAGGAATGGTCAGTGTCATGCTAGACTAGTCCATAGAGTTTTGTGAAACTAATGGAATAAGTTGTAGTTTGGATAATGTTATCTCATCAGTTTTTAATAATTAAGGGTTTTGGTCTATTCTGATATTAAGAGCTGTTCCGATGAGTAACGTGCAATTTAGACTGTTCTTTACATTTATGAATTTGAAATCAACTGAAGTTCGTTCAACAAAAAATATGGGCGAGGAAAAATATGTTACAGCCATTTGAGTATATTTGCATGAAATAAGTAATAGTCAATAACGCGATAGGTAGTTCTACAAACTTCTAATAAATTTAATTAAGTACATCAGTCGAAATCATTATAACAGTTCAGAAAAAGTTCCCCACGAAATCCGAAAATTTTACCTCATGGTCTATATGGGACCGTGGATTAGCTCTGCTGAACCTATTCAAAACTAGAGAAGATTAGCTTCCACTTAAACACAGTAAACGATGGGAAGTTTCGTCAAATAGAATTTATCTTGCGAAATTACGTATAATTACGTATAGACATATCAATAAGTGATGATGAACACACTGTTATATCTGAGGAATACTGATTTGATACTTTGTACTGGAAAAGCGTCAATCAGATGATGGACGTAAGAAGACAGTAGATAAGAATTTATTCGACTGAATAAGCATAGATACACAATATCATAAAGTTAACCGTCTATAGCCAGTCGATATAATTAACATGATCACTTTGTTTTAAAATGAGACTTGATATCAGAGACAGTTAAAAGAGAAACCAGTATCACAGGTCACTGACGTTTCAGGCAATTAGTTTTTTGCTCACCATATCACACACGTGCATTTTCCACTGCGTCATATATATATATATATATATATATATATATATATATATATAATTCATTTGGAAAAGTATAATCGTCTTTTAAATGTCTAGATTGTCCCGAAATAAAGTAAAATCGAAGATCAAAATCATAAATAAGAACATCTGACTCGTCTAATAAAGCTATGACAAATATTCTCAATTTTTAATAACTTGTTATATTCACTGATTAAAAAATTGATGCCCACCCCCTGCTATCGTAACAAGATTTTTGTTCCGTTTGATGGTATATCCTTATCTATTCTTTGTTCACCATCCATTCATCCAGTATTTTTCTATTTGACATTTCTTACTCTCCCTCTGTGTGTCACTTCATTTTCCAAAACATTGTATCCTGTTTCTCCCACTCAGTTTCACTAACTCTCATTTTAATTGATTGGTTTAGTTTCCCTTATGTAAAAAGAGAAGGAAAAGAAAAGGAAGAGTCATATCTTCATTACTGTCCCAAAAATAATTTTATTGCTGTTAATTTTGTTTTAAGTTACTACTTGAATCCTACCATAATTCTCTTGAATTGATGCAAATTATGTGCACAGTGATCAATTTATAACAAAGTGCTGTGGTAGATTACAACAACAACAATGACGGCAATGATAATAATTTTTCCGGTCATTGAAATGATGAAAATTATAAACAGGAAATTTATTTAGTTATTATGCTTAGGCGCTGGTAGATTACATTCAAGGTATTTTTGATTGTTAGACTGTAGAGTAGTAAAACAAAGATGTTAAATCCTAATTATTTAAAAAGTTTTATTTGGAGATTTTGTGTTGCAAAATATTTTTCCTCAACATTCTTTTTACTTTGTAGGTGCGAAGGAATCGTTCATTATTGATAAAGCTCTATAGGCGTACATAAATTGATTAATTACTGATAAGTCAAATTAACGGACGTATGGTAACTTAATCGATTGAATTCAATCAGCATTCAAGGCTAATCAATGATGACATTGATTACTACACATTAATAAATCAGTGTTAATAAATCAGTCTAATAAGAAGTTAATTGCAATTTGAATAGCCCGGTGTATTTTTTCTCTGACAATAATGTCAGGCTACACAGGTTCTCATATTTTTGGAACACTAGTTCTTTCACGACTACAGATATCCTATGCCGACGTAGATAACCAGCTAAGTATCTATTCCCAGGGATTCCTATCAATTGCATTCAACATCCTAACACTGTTACTACAGTTTAGTCCATAAATGTGGTTTATTAGTCAACTGTGAAACTTCAGAAGAATGCGAAAATTTATTTATAACACTTTAGTTTCAAAATACATATAACCATAACATGAAAATTTCTTATTAATTAGCTATAGTGCACACTAAATTAATACTTTTTCTATCAAAAGACTAGTATTCGAACGAAGAATATTCTTTTCGATAAATTCTCTTCAGGTTCTACAATTATATGGCCAACTTAATAATCCGAAAAATGGTCAGGTTAAGGGCAAGGTACATCGTTTAAAGCATGTGAATTTAGGATTATGACAAACAAAATACAATAAAATTGTTAATGGTAATATGACTCATATAGAGTGTTAACTTGAATCCGTGTATATGTTAAGTGAAATTTTGAGATCCATGTTCAAGGATGAATGTGAAATGAATGAATCATGAATAGGGGAGATTATTGATGTTTAACCAATAATAATAATAATACAAAGATTTATTATCAGCTGATGGTCGATTATACATAAATTGTACGATAAACTATCAATCAATGAAGTAATTAATTGTAATCAATTTGATAAGAATTGTATACATTTTATAAATGACTGATGTGATAAAATTCATAGAAACCGGACATTTATTTATACAAATTCAATGAACGGAATATAAATATAAACAACAGAAACTTGACCAATTAAAGAGCTAAACTGATGAGTGTTAAACATGGATCCAACAGTAAAGTCCTAGTTAAGTTTATTAATTAAGAAAATAAAATTATAAAAATCTTTATTGAGTATCATTAACACTTTAGCCTAACAGGGTAATTCTGGCTTCCTATTTCGTCCTGTATAATCTATTAATCAATAAATATGACAACAAGCCAAAATGAACTTCAACAATCATAATTTTATATTGATTCTTACAAAATATGTTCAAATCTTAAAACTATTACTGATACCCAAATAAATATGATAATTAATTTCGTTTTTAGGTTGTTTTTGCTAGTTTATTCGAAATTGTATGGCAGATTTTTTATCCATCTGATTCATTTGGATTTTCTGCTTTACGTAGTATACGTTTATTGAGAATATTCAAAATTACAAGGTAAGTTTATACCGTTAAAATCAATTTGTTAATTAATAAAACATATTTAATGTTTTTTTTCTAGTAGTAATAATAAGAAAGAATTAGTGATATTGAGTGATATTTAAAGCATTTTATTCATTACACAATTATTCTTCTTGATAAACAGTGAATTATTGTTGAAAATAAGAACTATCCAGCTTCAACTTAGTTATCCTTAGGTAAGATACTTAGCTATTAAATCTGAAAATTCTATATTTCATTCTTATCACAATCTTCCGTGAGTTATCGGTAAGGGGTACTAAACAAGGATCATTTAACTAGTATTTGATGATTTTTCAGAATTTGTCCAACTGGAGAACAAGAACAATCGAACAACAAATAATAATTGAAATCACGAACCTATCAGTGTTAGAACAACATTGAAAACCTGGAAGCACTGAACGGCCTTTTTATTGTAGTATGGTACTCCACAGCAGTGCATATCCATGATACCTTATAGGGGACTCGAACCAAGAACCTTTAGTCTCGTGTAGACGCTTAACATTTAGATCATTATGCCGGGATTCAACGGTGCTAATACCTAACTTCAACCAACAAACAATCTATCTTTTATCAATAATAATGCATTATTTCTCAATAGTCTATGCTATTTACCTGTACTGTAAATCAAGAAGCATTATTCTCTCTGTTAGATAGAATCCGGTAGCATAGTTCAGTAAATGAAAATGTAAAAAACTAACACTGTTATCTTAAGTAGATTTATAATCAATAGGGCGAATGTAAAGTAGAATTTGATAGAGGATTTTAGAACTAGGGTATATTTTAATAGTCAATAAAAATCTAAGTAATATTTACAACTTCAAGAAAAAGAATATTTTAATAGGAGGATAGAAAAGATTTCATCACAAAAATGGATTCGACCATAAATAACAAATGAGGTTACGTACTAATCAAAGAAAATTTTCTTTTCAATGAAATCGTTTACTTAAGCTGTACATTCGTTTATACATATATAATTATATGAAGCCTCATTTGTTATTTATTCTCGAATCCATTTTTGTGATGCAATCTTTTTCTATTCTCCTATAAACAATTATTTTAATAACTAATTTATTTTGAAAAGAGCAAGAACAAACATTCTAGCAGAATAGCATGAATTCATTTTTATTTCGTTGGTTCTCGTTAGCTGCTTACAACCTGTTATATTTAAAATCATAATTACATAATGGGTTTCAATTACTTACATGAAAGAGTTTGATTAGAAGTTATATTAAAGACATATTCATATAGTATATCACGGGTGTAAATAAATTTAATAGACTGAATATTGTAAATATATACCTTATGTGATGAAAGAACATTGTGACAACAGTTCAAACGGTTAGAAACTATACATTCATGCCAGATGTTTACTGGAACCAACACTTCAACAACCTTTTTTTCAACATCCATAGTTAATTCCCTAGTTATAATGGTATTTCTATTTTCTTTTATGAATATACAATAAGCTTATTGACTAGAAAACTATAACTATTCATTTGAATTTCAAATAACTTTCTATCGTTTTAATTCATCCATTTAATATTTACATTCATTTACTTATATCACGTCAATAAAGATAAATGTGTAGTTGATTAAACTAAAAAAATAATAATAATTTGTCATTTATCTTTTCTCTATTAAACTACATCATGTAGTGTTGTTCAATTTCGAAAAACAAACATTAAATAGCTAAAACTAAATCATTCGTCTATAAACAAAATTGAAAAAATAACAAAAAACAGTAGCAAACTCTCAAAAATTATTTTATGATTTGATGGTTGGAAATCATTTTAGCATACAATTTTTTTGTATTATGTATATATATATAAGGTCAGTAGTGAATCTTACTTATGGAATGAAAATAGAATTTTCTCTAAGGTCATCGGGAAATTGCATTTAATACATAAATTTATACAACATCATTGAACTAAGCAACAACAACAACAACAACAAATAATCACTATAGGCATAAAGAAAGAAATAATTTTAATTTTTTTTTATTAGAAAAAAACGTTATAATTGAGTGATTTATTTACCTTCTTTTTTTTTCTTCAAAAAAAATTTTTTTCCACTCCCATACACACTTTGTCTAAAATACATTTATCACAATGAGTGAAAATGCAACACATGCGCGCACGCACACAAACACACACACACACGCACACACAAAGAGTACAGTTAAATGTTTGAGGACAATAAAAAAGAAAGAAACGAATGAAACAGTTTATAGTATAATATTTTAATGTTAGTTATAATTCAATCTATCTAATTCATGAATGAATAAATTGGTTCATTATCATTGATCAAATGTTTCTTATCTTATGACAGTTTTAATAACTAACCTGAATTTAAAGTAAATGAATGTAGGAGTTTTGAAATGTCATGAATAAATTTTTTTTTAATATTTTTATCTTTATAATTTAAAACCACATTACGTGTAATTGAATTTGATAATAAACCAAAAAAGATGGAAGGGAAAAAATAAGTTAATTTATTATAGATTATTCATAGATGTGTATAGAATTTTATATATTTAACATAACCCAAGTACTAACTTTGATGTTAAAAAAGTATTAAGGTCAAATATCAAGTTATTTCTTTTATTTTATGATCTGCTAATATATAAAATTCATATTATATTCAAGTGGCTATCAGGACTCAGTAGTTGAGTGGATATCGTGATGGGGTTTCAAGTGAATGGTACTGGGTTCAAGTCCCAGAGTGAGCATTTACTCTGAGATGCAGGCACATCCAGCTGAGGACTCCCAAGTAGGATGAAACGCGCGTCTAAACTGGATTCTACTGCTAGCCACAATCTATCCTTGCTTACAAAGAGCTCGTGAATTAAGAGGATATCGAGGCATATGCAAGGTATGCGCATATGCCAATATTAGACTGATCAATTGCAGTCTTAAACCTCAATGAGGAGATACAAGCCAAACAATACCAAGTGAATATATTCAAATGTGTTTGGAATTTAAATATATTATACAGAACAACGCTTTAAGAATAACATTCTATATTCCTTATACTGAAATATTCATTCTTATATTGTTATTATGAACGTTTCATGTTAGTCTTCTTAAAATTTATCGCAAAAGTTGTTGGTATGACTCTTCGAAAGCACTAAAACATCGTATTGCAATAGAGATTGAGGAACACGCATAATAAATACTTAGCTGCATTTTATAGGATAAAATCGATAATGTATATGTGGGAGATGAAATTACTTTATTTAACGTTACTAAATTTTTTTGTTATCTAATCCGCTGCTTTTCGTTGATGCATAGGAAAATATATAATCATTCAGACTATCAGCCTTTGAGTTCGTTTGTGATAGAAGTTCAGTATATTCCAACTATATTTCATATTTTCTCTCTATCAATTAAACACACCTAAACTTTGTTTTGTAGTTCACTTTATCCGTCAGTGTTAATTAACACTTAAGAATTGTGTTCTCATGTTTTCCTCTACTTTTAATTACTGATCTGAATATTTACTTCGCTGTATTGTCTTCAGTATTCTTATGACTGCTATATCTGTCCTAATTTACATAAGAAAATCTCTCAATATTTACAAACTGAATGCTTCAAAACCAAGAAATATTTGAGCAAAAAGATGGTTGTTTGTGCAGGAGGTTATGAGAATTTCCGAATTTATAAACTTATGTCACTAACTGATTTGGGCTAAATAACCGTTGAAAACTGGGGACCACTTGTAGGCTACTTCATCGTATAATGAGATTCTGTAACAATTCTTATCTAGAACCCCTTCAGCGATGACATATTTTATGAGGAGCTATTGATTACCAGACTACTGAGTTGAGATCCATGAGTCTAACTTCCTAATGTCGTTTAATTCACAATATTTCGCAACTATCATACATTCCCATTAGGGATACTCGTATTACTACCAACACGCTTGAGCTGCAACAGTTTTTTAGCAGCTTAATCTTCCTGCTCTACTATCAACAATTCATAAATTTTAAATTATTAGTTCACATAAAAGTTATGATTAAATAAATTACTGTAAATTTAATTTATTTAAATCCTTAGTCAATCACAAGGTTCTATGAGAAAATCCACTGTATAGTGGTGAGTTATAACCATAAAAAAAGAACCATATTATTAAATTAAAAGGTGTTAGAAATATCAATGTTATCGTGCTAACAATGATAATAATATGTGAATTAAGATAGGTGAACACTCAATTTGAAATGCTTCACAATGCGAAAGAGGACAAACATAAATATGATATAATGTACGGGGTAAGATATCATACTACACAACTAACGTAACCAATTTGATTAGAAATATCATAAAAGTATAGTGAAGCAGGATGAACAAAAATTCCTAAATGTAATTTTTATAAAGATAGATTTCTATGAATTGATTCCTGTATCGTTTCCTGTGCAAAGCTATTTTGAACATGATGGGGACGTTAGATCCCCAGAACTCACTTAGGAAAGGACCCAATTTTGTAATTTTATTTGGAAAATTCGAATTTCTTTATTTTCGCGACAAATGCGCTCTTGTCACCATGTCGTATTTCCCACTGAAACGTATCTTCAATGCTATTGGTCCGTTGAGTCTTTTAGTATGCTATTTGGTAACTGTCCCCAAGGACGATTTTGTGCTGTATATGTACATTTTGAATTGTGTTTGTTGTTATCGCTCGTTTCTGGCTGTTTGCAGAATATACTTCTCCATTCCAAGCTTGGACTTCTCCCTCTAGTTAGCGGGGCTGGGAAGCATCGAATAGCTAGCTTACTGGTTTTTGGTCACTGAGTCTTTGTTCTTGTTCGCAGATTAAGTGGACTCGTGATATCTTCATCCCTAGCAGAACATGATGCAAAGTTGATCCTCAAACTGTCTATCAGACGGAAACAGATTACATTAGGTACATACTTGATAGTTCCTCTCCCTAGTTATACAGGTATGTCCATTTGCACAAATGATTTTCACTATCTTGATAGGGCTCATTAAAGATAAGAATTAAGTTTCACAATCATCGATATCTATCTGGTTAGAAGAACAATTTGTATAATATCAAATAATTTTCTTGATGATTATTCAAAACTTATAAAGTTCTTTAACAACATCTATCAGCGCTTTCAGTAATTATCGAAAAATAACTAAATATTTGTAATAAAATCTCATATAATTCGACTAAAGTACCCGAAATTGGATAAAACTATGTAACAGATAGATATAAAATTTTCCATTTATATATATTTTGCTGGTTCAGACTCCACATTAGAATTAGAATTAGTTACCTTGATGATTAATTGGCACTATTTCTTTTAGCATGTATAAACACAAAAATTAATATTGATTAATGTCAAACTAAAATAAATTTACTATTTTTGTTATATTGATTTTTATGAGTTTGGATAAAAGTTAACCTTTATCAACTATTAATTGGATGGTGATCAAAAAGCTACTGATAAGCTGTACTGAATAGTGAATGTTCTAAATACACCTAATCACAGAAACTAAGGTATAACATGTGTATAAATAGAATAGCTATAATGATAAACCACGAGTTCATGGAATCTACAATATATAATCCTGATTGTTAAAAGCTATATATTTCTTTGATAATTTTGATTTTGATTATTACCCTGAAGAAGTCCAGACAAGTTAGCTGGACGAAACGTTGGAATTAGTTAAATTTCAATCGCTGAGAATATTTCAAATATAATTTTCACATATAATGACTTCTCTATACTCGGCGCTCAATTACTGTCAAACTATTCGTTCTAATCTTGACGAATATTCGTATAAAATATAACAGTTAATTTAAAATGAATTTTATCCTAATGGAATTTTACATTCCTTTAAAAGAAAACAAATTGGTTATAAATTATTGACATCTATAATGGTTCTTTCCCTTCGTTTTTTTCTCTATCTTGATAATTTAGATATTGGGCATCATTACGTAATTTGGTATTATCTTTATTAAATGCTATGAGAAGTATACTCAGTCTTCTATTTCTACTTTTCTTATTTATGTTAATATTTGCTTTACTTGGAATGCAATTATTTGGTGGAGAGTAAGTTTTTATCAATTAGTCATTGAATATTTTATTTCAATTCATTTTTATATAGAGCTATTTTTACAAGTCATTTCTAAATAGTGGTGTAGTGAACGACAACACATGTGAGAACAATCAAATGTATTTGAATACATAAATACAGAACATTTTAGTAAAATCTGAAAACCATTTAGTAAATACTTAATTTGCGAAAATGTCAATCAATCGTCTCAGACTTTATTGTTCCTTCGTTTCCACAGCAATTATTCTTTGTTTTCATTCTCTTTTCTTTTGCCTCCAGGCATATGACTTACGATCGACGATACGTACTACTTATATCTATCGATATCAGTAGCACACGCCACTGTAGTATTAGTTTAAAATATCAAATGTCTGAAACTAATAAATAGGAAATTCTAAATTACTAATAACAAATAAATGACATAAAATCGAAAGTTTTATGAATATTGATTTTTTCCCTATTATAAAATCAATATTCATTATAATATCAAATCACTTGAATGATTAGATGCCAATTTTATAAATACCATTCGATTAATATTAAAAATAAAAAAAATTGGTTATTGGATTGTACCCCATAACCAATCAATGATAAATCACTTTACTGAAGTCATTACTCTGTAATTGAACAGAATTAAAGATTATTAAATTAAATAGATAAAATATATGTGAATGAATAATAACATGCCATGATGGTGATATAAAGTTAAAGAGAATACAATCAAAAAATCGGGTAACCATAAAACATCTAAGCAGCATGCACAGTTGTCATTATTTTTCACACTTGTGAAACATTTAATTAAGTTTTGATAAATGTGATCTAAATGAAGGATCATTATCTCATTGACACTTTAAAATAATTCTTTGTTGAATATTAATCTTTTTCGATATATTTTTTTCATGCAAACTGATCAGATAAATAATATGGTGATGGAAACGCCTAAAATACTATTCTATATTCAAGCGAATGCATATTAATCATCTTAGATACTAAATAAAGAAAATGCTTATAACTATGTTTGCCAATAATTAGATAAAAGAACATTTTTTAAGATTGAATATGTTCATAGGTGTACCGTTTACCTATTCTTATTTGAATTTCGTTACTTTAGTACAAGGAAAACTGAGCATAATTCACATTAGAGCGGTATATTCATGAGATTATTCAAGGTTATTTGTTTTAATGCCATTAGCATAGTGTAAATTGTTAAATTGAAGTTATTACTACTCGACCAATTTGATATTGGGTTTTCCTATTTTATGGACGATGGCTCAAGATGCAGTAGAGCATTCTAGTGTTTGACTTCATTATGAAATTTACAGTGATGAACTTTTACACAAAAATGATATAAGATTCACTAGTTGACAGCTCAACATAAATCATATCACACCAAAACCCATCAAGACATTGCTTTTGTTCAAGTATGACAATCCTCTAGAACTCCGATAGTCAGGAAAGAAACATGAATGACAGAAAAATAATGCTTTACAACTACATTTCTCAAACTAAAATAAATCAACTACAAATCATATTGTTTGAAATTACTTTTAAATTTTGATATCCACACCGTAAACTCTGACAGAAATCTATTAGTAAATGTAATTTCATTTCAACTGAACAAAGTTAACATATATAAAGTCAATTTTTAAGTGAGGGAACTAGAAAAAAAGAATATTTGGAAATAAGTCAGTCTTGTCTTGCAGATGTCACTGACAAAACAAAGGCAACTATCCATTGATTATATCTAAACTGACCAAACAATAACTAATACCCTAAGTTATCTTGGTTTATCTTAATTTAGTTAATTTGAAGTGACAGCTTGATGATCCTGAACTAAATTCTTCATGCTGCTTGTCAATCATCAGTACGACAAATATATCGGCTATTTAGAAGGTACTGATATTATTCATAAATTCAAACCTGGCCCGATTAGTTATAGAGATGTTGCCGACTGAGTTATTTGATCATAAATGACCTCGTGTGTGGCCGAGATGTTTACACTAGCTAGTTATTGATTCGATTTAATCAGTTAAGAAACTTTACTGATATACTCAAAACATAAATAGTTACAAAAATGAGACTAAGCCACTGAGATACAAATGCCTGTTGTCCTAAGTATGCTTTCTTATATCGAACCGAAAAACTTTCAAACCATATGATTTGTGTTTACAGTTTCATTGAATTCATTTAAATCTGCATCACCGTAGTAATGTGATACATCTCGAAATTGTCTAAAGTAAATGTTTTTCTTCAATTTTTAACAGGTTTAATTTTGATGATGGCAAACCAGGCCAAAATTTTGATACATTTGTAAAGGCCTTATTAACTGTATTTCAAGTAAGTGAAGTGTTATCTATAATATGTACATCTCTACCGAGAAATACATTCATAAATGGTAATTATCAAAGGGATTTGTGTAAATTTTAGAAATTTCACAGATTGAAATCCTGAGTCTATTGAAGCTAGACCAGTATCGAAAACCTGGGAGTACTGGACGGCCGTTTTACCCTAGTATGGGACTCCTCAGTAGTGCGCATCCATGATCCCTCACCCCGCGAGATTCGGACACAGGATCTATCGATCTCGTGCGCGAACGCCTAACGCTTAGACCACTGAGCCGACATCCAACTGTGTTAATGACTAACTTCAACCAATCCACGAAGTTGCGCCACCGTACACCATTGTCTTCAGTGAGTTGATATCTCACAACAGACCTGGTTCAACTCCACGGGTAACGGCTTCTCACTAGAACTTCAGGAGTATCTCTTGAATTCAATCACTAGTGAGCAGATGATTATTATCAGAAGGAGTAAATTCATTTTGTTATTATCGAACGCTGAAAAGTTTAACCATCTTATTAGTTAATCCGATAAGATTGGTCATCCACAATGATCAAAACTTCATTCATTTACTTACAAACCAACTAAAGATCTTTGCTAACAGATAAATTGGCCATTTTTACCTGTCTGACAAATGCTTTTCACTGGAATTATTGATAGATGACTGCTCGCATTACTCACTGACTAATATTACATCCCAAAAGTCGTTAGGCTATGAACAGGAGCAAACAGAATAAAATATGGATATCCAACTTCTTGATTGGTATGAGAAACTCCAATGAAATTAATCAGTTACATATCATATTTGTCATGAACTAACATTAATCGAATAAGCATTTTAAAATTCAGAAAAGTGGTATCTAGCTAGTTATTTCGGATTATATCATACACTTAATTAGTTTCATCTCTATGTATAATTTTACGTTTTGTATTTCACTTCAATAGAAATATAGATATGATTTTTTCTTACGTCAACCCGACTTGATGAATTATTCATGTGAGATATAATAATTTAATGACTCTACTACTGTTACTAACTGATAAGAATTCCTAATTAGGACATGAATTTGGTTTACTTTGAATGATTTATGAACACTGAATATACTCTTTGACTAAAGTCCGATCTCAGAATATCTGAATGTTCAACAAAATTTATAGCATTAGAATGTTTATTTAAAATGTAAAACATAATCATCTGTTTCCATATTCTATAGATTTATTTAAATAGATTTTTATATAACTTTGTTTTAATTACTAAAACGGTCGTGGCTAGCCAACCGTGAAAAGTAATTAGAAGAAAATAAAACTTGTTGTGAAGGTTACACTTATGATTTGTGACGATGCACTTTTTAAATTAGTAAAACAAATGATTAGAAAACGGATCAATAGCTGAAACATGTTTATACAATATAGCGGAAATCAAATGACTGATATAGGTCATTAAACGTAGGTAATACTGACCATAGATTGACCTCGGTTATGGTAACCTTATTAAAAATTGGTCACCGGATAATTGTTTAATCTTAGGATTCGAATCCTTAACGGTAAGTACCTACCACCCAACCAGGGTTCAAACGCATAAATTTCAGATCTCGTAGTAAGCAATAAACCATTAGACTAGTGGGATAGAATACAAAAATTCACATTTACATCTTCAGTCAATTCTTCATATAATGTGATGTTCATTCAAAGTCGTTAGTGGCGACGACTTCCAAATCCACATGTTGGAACTTCATTGATAACAAACCAAATAGTTGAGTGGTTGAGCGATTATTGAGAGGACTGAAGGTTCTGAGTTCTAATCACGGATGTGTACTGAAGATTAGTTCCGATTGCATTTTTATGTTACCATCAACTAATGTCAATCTGTAATGAATACCGCCTACAAATTAAATTCTACAAAACTTTTCAATAATAGTAGAATAATGTAATTTATTCCTAAAGTATGAAGCTAACCGACATTTTTTATGAATCTATAAATTTATTTCCGATCTAGATCTTAACTGGTGAAGATTGGAATATGATTATGTACGATGGTATACGTTCTCAAGGTGGTGTAAATAATGGAGGATTTGTATATTGTATTTATTTTGTATTATTAGTATTGTTTGGCAACTGTATCCTTTGCATTTTTTGTTCAATTTTATTTGATTTATTTGTTTGGTAAATTTTTATTCCTTTGTTATTTGTTACATTAGATTAATGATGGGATATTATATTTGTTCGTTGTGTCGTTTATTGACACGCGTAACAATAAACCAACTAACTATGTTGTTATATTCATTGTCTGACTGTCAATTCGAGTAAATTCTCACGTTCTTCAAGGCTACAGTCAGTATATGAGAAAACTAGATGGATAGTGAGAACTAACTTTTGTTAACCAAACTCATATCTCATATAACTATAAATAGGAATACAAGAGTGAAACGTACCATGTATCATTAAATACACAGGTTGAATATTTTCGACATTAATGTTGAGTAACAGTTTTATCGTTGATCAACTAAACGATATAATAAATAACTTGGAATTAGGATCATATAAAATCCTTTGAAAAAACAAGTGTTTAAATAAAGTACTCATTAAAAATACACAGGTTGAATTCATTAAAGAACGGCTATACAGTATTCATTATTATCATTCATTCAATATTATACAATGAGTGAATGAATGCCCAACTTTTTCTAAATCCATAAATCTAAACTTATTTTGTAAACTTACATAATAACCATTCATCTTTTTATATTATTTATTCATTTCATCCAATCTAAATAGTTTTCAATAGATTTCATCCACTTAACAATTCATATTCATAATAAAATAATAAAGCAAAATACTAATTACTTGTATCCAACACAAAACACCTTCTTCATCAATTCAAAACTATGAATAAAACATACTTTTAAACCTGTCAAAAGATTGTTACTATGCCATTAGATAAATGGAATCTATTCAACTGTAATTTACAAATGAAAGAGAGAGAGAGAAAAAAAAGAATTGATCTTTAAAATATATTTACTTCACAAATTTAATTTCAGGCGGGAAATTTTTTTGAAAATTGTAGCGTATATCGTAGTTGTTTCAAACTGAGTTGAATTTTTTTTCTTTTATTGAATAATATATCTATAGTTTCATATGCAAGACAGATTATAATACCCTGGAAATGTTTACAGATTTAATAATTTAGAAAATTTTATGATCTCAGTCAAAACTTAATAATCTTCACAATCCTATACTGATAATGACCATGTGCTCGCTAGTGACTAGCTTCTTTAGGGAATTCTCGGAGTTCTAGTGAGAAGCCATGACCAGTGGGGCAAATCTGTGTCGGGTAAAGACAGGTATCTACATCAGTACAGTAGAAGATGGTCGCCCGATTTCGTGGATTGGTTGAGGTTAGACATTAACATCACTGGATACCAGCTCAGTGGTCTAGAGGTTAAACGTTTGTGCGCGAAACCGATAGGTCCTGGTTTCGTATCCTGCGAGTGGGATCGTGGATACACACTACTGAGGAGTCCCACAATAGAACGGAACGGTCGTCCAGTGCTTCCTAGTTTTCAATGGTGGTCTAACAACAATCAGTAAGTGATCTCAATCAAAAACATAATAATCTCCAGAACCCTATACTGATAAAATTTTATAGTTGAATTAATGAGTCAATTAAAGCCAGACCACAATGGAAAACTGGTTAGTGCTTCCAGGTTTTCCTTGGTGGTCTAGCTTCAATTGACTCATGAACTCACTTATTTAATTACTAAAATCTCTACAAAACCCCTTCTGGTAATTTATAAAATGTTAAAATTTCAGAGAATTCAGTGAAGAAATTTTTCATTTCGATAAAATCATTTACTTAAGCCGTACATTTGTATTTATAGTTGAGTGGTAAAAATATGTCTATAGAAGGATAGAAAAGATTGCACAACAAAATGATTTGAGATAGTTATCTTACAAAACTATGACTCTTAAATTATTTTCATCCTAATATTTCTTCTCTGACTCCCTGATTATCACGTAACCTCACTTGATATTTGGAGTCGCGAATCACTTTATGATGTAATTTATTCTATCCTTTTACCCTATAACTATAAATACGAATGTATAGCTTAAGTGAATAAATAAACAACATATTTGTAATGAGTAGAAAAATGACGTTTCGTGGCTCAGTGCAAGCCAATTCTTCAGAGAATAAATAACCAAATCAAAATTATTCCAAGTTTAAATAATACGACGGAACAACAAGAGTATTGTGTGAATATAAGTGAATGTATTCGTTGAAAAGAAAAATTTCCTCGTTGGATTCTATTTTTATTCAATAGTATAATGGGTTATTATAGTTATAAAATGTAATGAATTTCGTTCTACTGGTAGAAATGTATTGATTTAGCCACAGTCTTTTTTTCGCTATTGCAATTAGTACATCAGTTATTTTAATGGTTCTGGATGAAACGACATTTTGTCAATTTAAAAGAGATTTACAAATAATCATACTCTAAAAATATTCAGATACACAAATTTTAGGGAATCATAATAAGCTAAATAAATGACTAGTGTTGAATCGTAATTACCAAGCTATCAAAGTCATGCATAAATGTTTCACGTTTGTACTAAAACTAATTTAATATCGTATATCATGTTGTAAACTTTATATTTCAACTGACTTGGACAATATTCAATGCAGTCTTCAAGTCTTCTCGTTTATACAACCTTAACATCTATTTTTCTGTGATTAGATACTTTGTTAAATGTGTTTTTAGCTATTGCTGTAGATAATTTAGCTAATGCACAAGAATTGACGGCAGCTGAAGAAGAGGAACAACGTTTAGCGGATGAGGTAAATCATTTTTTATTCATTATAGATAATGAGTTATTCAGTTTAAGAATGGAAAAATTGTTAGGTAAATTTTCGGTGAGCTATATTTAAAACAATATGTATATATCACTGAACAATATCCTTTTCAAGTAGATTTTCATGAAGCTTTACTCTAAAATACAGTAATATTTATGTAAAAATATGAAAATCTTAAATTATCCAAGGTAGTTTGTGAGTCAGTGACAACGATGAAATAGATTACATAATAACAAATGATACGTAAAATGTACAAACTGTTGGTGTGTTGACAAGCATACTAGTTATGATACAAAAAGTAAAGGCTTGGATCAATACTTCCTAATAGGGAGTAGGACAAAGACTTGGAAAAAATAAACATTGAAGTATCATTCAGTTGAAACTACAAAAAATTATCTAATAAGAAGTATTCAGATATTTAGATGGTGAAGAGTATAATCGAAAAAGTAGTGAAGTGAACGCATAAAATGTATCTAAAATGGCAATAAAAATGATTATTTGTTAACAAATAAGGATGTTACAAAATTCTTACCAATACAAAGACACTTATTAATCAAGACACTGCTGATCTATCTTTCATTAGAAAGTGTAAAATCAAGAGTGGGTTATGAAGGTTTATGGAATAGCATATTTCATTGGACTACGTATCAAAGCAACACACGTGTGATTCGAACCCATAATTATATTTCAACCCTCAGGTAAACAAACAAAGTACATTCATTGTTAGTCAAGTTATACGTTAAAGAGTATATTCAGTAAAGAAACTACAAATCATGAGGCTTGTTACTCAAATGCTTCCTTATTGAAAAATTATTCTTTTGAAAAATGACTGCGAACAAGATATCTGTAATTCTACCAAGACTGATGATATCCTTATTACTGATACTAACTCAAGCTAGTTTAGTGGTTATAAACAGACTATCGGTGGGTTATCCAAACCACAAATGACTTTATTTAAAACTAAAGTTTTCAAACCGTTCAGCTAGAGATCAGTGGGTACTAATGTGGTGTATGTTACTTATGTGGACAGATATATATATAGCAAGAATTGGATGTAGTATTCTTATTGACAGAATAGAGAAATTAGAAAAGAAAAGAAAGCAGTTTGAATAGCAACAAGAATGAATAGACTTTTGAGTTTGTAAGAGACAATTCAAAGAAGATGTGCAAATGGTGTATTTATTATATTATTCTAATGTTTTACCAATATAGTCTGTGATTTTGCTCGACACAATAGATTGGCTCACCCTGATCAAGGCTTTATTCATTACATTAACACTATGTCGTCTAGTAATTTTAAGGTTGACTTAATTTTACCGACTAGTTATGCGAAATGGTCATCAATTCAAAACAGTTCATATTCCGTTGACTTTCACTGTAAATTTTTACAAATCAGTTAACTCAAAAATATATATATTCAGAGAGTAGTTTTGTGGATATCATAGTGATTTTTAATAGTTGAATTCATGGGTCAATAGTCTGAAGGTTAAGCGTTCGCGCGCAAAACCGCTAGGTCCTCGGTTCGAATCTCGCGGTGAGGGATCGTGGTGTGCTCTGCTGAGGAGTCCCACGCTAGGACGAAATGGCCGTGCAGTACTTCCAGGTTTTCTATGCTGGTCCATCTTCAAATGACCCATAAATTTCAACTATTAAATATATATATATATATATATATATATATATATATATTACACTATTGCAATGTACATAATTGTTTTTTTCAACTATTCAATTGAGTGACGCATATAGAGAACATATCAAATATTATGGATAAAACTGATTCAAGCAAATGTACAACATAAAAGGAAAAATGTCAATCAACGAATAGATGAACTCAATTAATAAATTTACAAACATTAAACGGGAACTAAAATAACCACATGCACATGAATATGTATATAGGTAGTAAAAAAAGATCATGAAATGGTCAGTAGAGATTCGAATTTTGTAAACAACTATTCAAGTGACTAGATAAACAAGCATCGATTTAATTAATTATAATTTACTGACTTCTAATTGCTGAATTTTTATATTCCCATAAAACTTAATTATTTTAAGTGATTTTTTTCTTCTCTCATTTATTAACTACTTAAAATCAAATCAACAAATTATCAGAAAGGGGTTTTGTGGATGTTAAAGTAATTTAATAATTGAGTTCGTGAGTCATTTGAAGCTAGACCACGATGGAAAACCTGGAAGTAATGGACGGCTGTTTTGTTTCAGTATGGGACTCCTCAGTAGTGCGCATCCACGACCCCACCCACGGAATTCGAACGCAGGATCTATCAGTCTCGCGTGAACGCTTGATGTTTAGACCACTGAGCCGACATCCAGCGGTGATAATATCTAACTCCAACCAATCCACAAAGTTGCACCACAATCCATCATCGTCTTCAGTGAGTTACTATCTCACAACAGATCCGGTTCCATACTAGAACGAAACGGCTGTCCAATACTTCCAGGTTTTCCAAGGTGATCTAGCTTAAATCAACTCAAAAGTTCTAATACCAAATTACTACAATTTCCGCAAACCCTCAACCTGATAGTAAAATTTTTAATTTAGTTTTTGAATAAAAATCAACTCATCTTCCGTAGACATGACAGTTATGATTTTTCATCTGCATTTTTGTTTTGTTTTCAATTTTTGCATAATTTTTATTTTCAAGTACAATTTTTATATAAAATTGAATAAGTGTCTGATTAGATATCCTCTCTTAAACTAGAAATTAATCAGTAGATAAAATATATTTTGGTGAGACGATAATTTATGGATGACCTTTGAGCGACGCTACAGTGACCTTAAGAGTTTCCACCTAATAACTAGGACCAAACGAGGGTTATAAACCAATGTGGAGGGAATTAGAATTACGATTTACATATGATGATTAAGCTTAGGAATTAGATTTAGGATTTACATCACAAACTGACATGAGACATAATGCCAGTTATGAATAGTTTGACTAACTATTTAAAATAAATAAAGTGGTAATTACTGGAAATTTTCGTACATTTTGAAATATACATTTTCTTCATAAACCAATTTTAGTTGATAAGTTAATAAAAACGAAGAAGGATAGAATAGCTATTTATTTAAGAAAGACACAAACACTAAACAGTATGTATCCAACATGAAATTCATCCTACTTCCGACTAGTTACTGTTAAATAACTATTTCATAATACAATAAGACAAATCTTTAACTTTAATCAATCTACTATATAAGTATGATGTTGTGAAGATTGTTGTGTTATTGATTGGGATCATGAATCGATCAATGTTAGACGAAACGATTGTACAGTGCTTCTAGATTGTCAATGGTGGTCTAACATTGATCGATTCATGATCTCAATCAAAATCTATTATATCTTGCAACAACCGTGTAGTGTCATCAATAATGTCTGTTTTACTGAGAACATGAAAGAGCTTCGATAATCATATCTGACTGATATCGACTTACACGATAGTTAACAGGGGATAACAAGTCTTAAGGACCTAGAAAAATGGATATGTTCAATTATAGTTATTATCCATCACAATCATCAGATATAACAAACAGACGAAATCAAAAACAATTCTACGATGGTCAGTGAGACTACGAACTTCAATAAGCTTACTAAAGTTAGTGATGAACTCATAACCTATTGATAAATAATAAACCACTTTTCTAGTTCCATCATATTACTATGGTATATACTACTATATCGGCAGACATAAGTAATAAGTAACATCAATCAGAAGTGAAATGTCTAGCAGCAAAAGGTTGGGAAGATCGAATCGAAGAGAAAGCTAATAGAGAGTAATCGTAATATCAATGAAGGCATGATGAAGATTGAGACAATTGACAGACGATTTACAAATGAATTTTTTAATGTATGGTTTTCACACTTTATGAAAGAATTCTGCATATTTTGTTAAATGATAAGTTGGTTGTTCCCATCTGACATCTCATTTATTACACTGCTACTGATATAAAACAAAATTAGTTCGATCTTATTTCTGGTTATCAGTAATCACAAAAATGCAAACTATACACATAACTTTGAACGCCTCAAAAAACTTATCATCTATTCGAATTCAGCAACTTAATAGATAATGGATTACCCTTTTTAATCCATAAGTACAAAGTATCAATCTCACAATGAACATCAAAACTAGGATGTAGGTATATCAAGCTGATGAATTTTAAATAAGTAAATCAGATCTCCTGAAATCGACTTTCGATAACAATTAAACTATTTTAAAAACTTATATTCACCCACTATACACATAGACCAACAATGATCATGCTATTACCGTCATATTTATTAACAGTAAGAAAATGTACGTCGATAAAACACAGGTCAGTAAATATGTTTACATCTGAATTTTTTAAACTAGGTTACTTGGAAACAGTTTAAAAAGTGAATTAATTAATGACAGTTTATTAACACTTGTATATCTGAGATAATGAAGAATATTGTTTTGTTACTCAGAATGAGAATATTTGTAGATGAATTCACTTTTATCTATTCCTTAATGCTAAACAATATTTTTTTTCTAATGGCAGTACACAATTTCATATTTTTTATTCCAATCTCATTTATTCAGTTAGCGGAACAACAAGAAGATAAGGAAAATCTAAAAATCAATTTAAATCAACCACAAACTATTGAAATAAATCAAATCAATGAAAGAAAATAGTAAGTTAATATTTCATTGATGTTATTCATAAAAATAAAGTCTTATTACATGTTATTTTAACTTTACATGTTATTGGCCACAATATAAAATAATCATGAATGGATTCGCTTGGTGTTGTTTTGCTTGAACCTTTTCATTGAGGTTCAAGACTGTAGTCGAACAGTCCTGAATTCCACTGCTAGCGACTATCCAATGATGAATGTAGTTTGAAAAAAAGAATTCGAATTTCTGTAGTTATTCGAATAAGAAATTGTTATATTGTTCTGATGGCACAGTACCCTTTGAACTTGGTTTTATTGACGACATTTTTTTATTAGAATTTCGACCACAGGTAATCATTGTTGATTTCTTACACTAGTCTTATCATCATTCTACCTTAGTTATTCAGTTGTCGACTGTTCACTTTCAAAGGCTTCATTATTTTCATATGTACTTCGATTCTTGTTGGTTATAGTGTCAATTGAACCTTTGGCTATGGGGTTGGTTTAAATCTCTCCTCATTGTCTGGTAGTGCGAATCTATGTTATAATGTTTAGTAATTACATACTAGCCGGAATATAAGGTCTTGCAGATTTTATTAAGTTTCACTGATTTCTTGTTTACATTTTCTCATCCTACTTACATATAATGTAGTAAGTTTATGGTTTTTACTCATACATGATTTGGTCAGAACATCTATGCAGTTAGAGAACGATTAACAGTCGCTTGTTTTCACTAGGTAAACGCGTTCATTACAACCCAGGTTGCTTCTTGACTTATGAATACCAATGAGCAAACGAAGATTATTACAAACAATCTATTTAATACAGATGGCAGGAAATGATATAAAATAGTAATTAATTTAAAAATTCAAGTTGTTTTATCAGTCATTTACTTACTTACTTACTTACTTACTTACTTACTTATTTACTTACTTACTTACTTACTTATTTACGCCTGTTACTCCCAGTGGAGCATAGGCCGCCGACCAGCATTCTCCAACCAACTCTGTCCTGGGCCTTCTCTTCTAATTCATCCAATTCTTGTTTATTTTTCTCATGTCTGTCTCCATTTCCCGGCGTAATGTGTTCTTTGGTCTTCCTCTCCTCCTTTGGCCTTCAGGATTCCATGTGAGGGCTTGTCTTGTGACGCAGTTGGGTGCTTTCCTCAATGTGTGTCCTATCCACTTCCAGCGCTTCTTCCTGATTTCTTCCTCCACTGGGATCTGGTTTGTTCTCTCCCACAGTACGTTGTTGTTGATAATGTCAGGCCAACGGATCTGAAGTAATTTGCGTGGACAACTGCTAATAAACATCTGTATTTTCTGGATGATGGCTTTCGTAGTTCTCCAGTTTTCTGCCCCATACAGTAGAACTGTCCTGACATTTGTATTGAAAATCCTGACCTTGGTGTTGGTTGACAGTTGTTTTGAGTTCCAGATGTTCCTCAGTTGTAAATATGCTGCTCTTGCTTTGCCGATCCGCGCCTTCACATCTGCATCAGATCCACCCTGTTCATCAATGATGCTGCCCAAATATGTAAAGGTTTTTACATCTTCCAAATCTTTTCCGTCAATTGTGATTAGATTGGTGCATGCTGTGTTGTATCGAAGAATCCTGCTTTTCCCTTTGTGTATGTGGAGACCTACTGTTGCTGAGGCTGCTGCCACACTGTTTGTCTTCTCCTGCATTTGTTGTTGCGTTTGAGATAGAAAGGCCAGATCATCTGCGAAGTCTAGATCGTCCAACTGCATCCTAGATGTCTATTGTATCCGCCTGAAGTCCCTCCGGGGGCTACTGCCGGTCCCAGCCCGGATAAAGGTGGGTTGGGCATGGGGTTAGTGTCCCCATCCCGTGGAAAACTAACTCGCTAAAAAACCGCTAACCAGAAAAAATTATTCAAACCTTTTCAGTCATTCAGTTACATTAAATCTCAATTAGCATAAAGTCAGATACGTTAAACATTGCATTATTAATCATTAACCCCAAATAATGAAAATCCATATAAAGGATAATGATCCTAAAATCAATCTTTTAGAATGTCTTGCACGTGCACTAATAAATAGCACTGATCTATTCATCACTAATAAATCATTTCCTTCTCCAGGTAAGCATTTTAAAATATGTACTCTAGTCTACTTGGGTTCTCTATAAACTATCTACAATAACATCAGTTGTTTATTAATTGATTTATGGAGACTAGGTGATTTTGCTGAAAGTTGAAAAGAAATTCATCTTCATAAATGTGTAATAAAACTTTTATACCCGCCACAGATTAGCTCCACTGGTCAAGGCTTCTCACCAGAACTCCGAGAATTCCCATACGAAGCTGGTCACTAGTGAGCACATGGTAATTATCAGTTTAGGGGTTGTGAATATTGTTATGTTTTTGATTGAAATCATGATTCAGTTGAAGCTAAACCACCATTGCTCACTAGTTACTAGCTTCGTTAGAAAATTCTCGGAGTTCTGGTGAGAAGCCGTGACCAGTGGAGCTAGTCCGTGTTGGGTAGAAACAGGTATCTACCTCGAAACTTTTATGCTTGGTACTAAAAAATCTATAAAATAAACGAATATATCTTGTAAAAAACTTTTTGATTTTTCAGATTAGTTAACTATAATAACAGAAAAATTTAGAGAACCATCTATAAAGGCATAATAAAAAATATCTAAACTATATATCGTGAATTTTATATTCCTTATACACTTTAATTAGGTTGAATTCATCATAAAACTATTAGTCACAGTGATATATTTCATTAAGATAGAGAACAATGGGTGATTACTAGTTCGTTTGTAACCTTCATTTGAATCCTTGATTATGTGTTTATCTGATGTGTTGAATTTAACTACTTAACTGCTTTAATTACAGCCCAATGGTTCTGTCATTTGATGTCTATTTAGTTGGTATCCAAGGCTTAGGTGTTATGAGTAAATCATTAATTCACTTAACTTTTTAATGCCAGTTATGTCTATTAAACCAAATGTTAGTGATAACAAAACATCCTATAAATATCTATACAATATATTCTATTAAATAGTTTCACAAAAATAACATTTAAAAAAAGATTAGTGTTTGTTTTGTGACACAATATGGAGTTAAGGATTAAATATACTACTGATAATAATCGAGATTTCTTTTCAAAAAAAATTATATTCTGTATTAAAATTGAATGAAAAGTAGGAGTTGATAGAGAAATGTCTTTATTAATCAATTTACCATATCTGGTTATTTAATAGACTTGAATAACAGCTAATGGAGTTTACTGTACGAACGAAAGGTTATGAATTCTACCAAAAATTATTAAGGCGTGGACGTTGTCGAATAATTTCATTATGATCAGTAGTTCTCCGGCTGGTGTCATTGCTTGATAGATACAAACTACAAACTATTCAAATATCTACAAAAGTTCTTCGACTGAACTATTATTGTATGGTAATAGAAATTTATCTTTATAGAGTTAATAAGCAACGCACTTGAAGTAGAGAGCCATCAACAATGGTATCATATAGTCTGGAGCTTTAATTGGGTTGGTGGATATGGAGGATCCACCTGGGGGAGTTGTCAAACCCCGATTCCAAGTCAATAGTGCACATGGACTCCAGGATCCTAAGGAAACAAGTGGCGTATGAACCAAATACTGGTCACCAGCTACCATGGGGCTTCATCTCTTGACGTTGCTCCACTGCCATGTGGACCAGACCTTTAGGTTGAAGGCTCCGGGCGTGGTCTCTTAAGAAAAACACCTGCTTTGGTATGGGCACCCGAGGAATATCACAGCCCACACATAAATCAAGCATATGTATTCGGTACCCTCTTTGTACCAATATTTATGTGTTCAAATAAAGAAATAGTCATTTAAGTATATTTCGAATTTATAGGAATTAAAAATGTGTATTATTGACTTTCATCTTAATTATTTTGATGTAACTCTATAGCTACGCAATCTGAAGTTCGTGGGTTTGATATCTGAATAAACACCAATAAAAACAAAATTCAAACTAGGTCAAACACAAATGTTTATTGGTCCCCTGGATCACAGCTGTACTTTAACTGATGTCAATTTATGACTTTTTTTTAAAATCACCTACAGAAAATTAAATAGTTAAATGTAACTGTATCTCTATTCTTTTCTGTTTCCCTTTTTATAAAGTTCCGGATTAGAAGAATTCGGAAAATCTGTTACAGCGCAAATGGGAAATAAATATTGTGATAACTGTAAGTTAATTTTTATTTGTTTTGTTTAAAATATTAAAAATCAATCGGATTAACTAGTTTTTTCCCATAAACTATTCACCCATAGAAGAAAAATGAATAATTATTACATTTTCTTAAATTTCTTAATTAAAATATATATACTTTCTCATATCAAACAATTAAACAATTATGAAACTGTAACCTGACATGAAGGAATATCATCTACTTGAATCAAGAAAAAAGATCTAGTCACGTCAACTTATGTAATGTTTACATTACATTAAGGGATTAAACGAACATAACGATGGAAACTAATAAGTGATCAGTCGATATGCTAACAGCTCAATCTTACAGGAGTTGGTCACTTGTGGCTAGAATTGTTCACCGATATTATTATTTTTGATTGCAACACTGTACTAAGCGTGTTATAATACCAACATAATCAATAACCTCCTCAATATCGCTATTACTCCTTATCAACACGTACCAATAATATTATAAAACAACTATAAACATTAGGTCTGAATAACATGGCATTCAGTCATTGAAGTCTTACTTTATTTTTAGTCAACATCATCAAGATTTGGATCAATAGTCAAAAGAAAATTAAACATTAAGTGTGTAAAATAAAACATTAAAGACAATTTATTATTTATGAATATCTAAGAGACTGAAATTAAAGTTATCTCAACAAAATAACTTATATTTCTCAATAGTTAGAGATATCTATACACATTTATTTAAAGAGATGAGATTATCAACTTCTGATAGTGTCGTATACATCTGTAGATTACAGTGACTTTTTCCCATCATAATATTCATTCAATAGACATAAAATATGCGCAGAATATTTACTTTGATGATCTATCTATCCTTATATAACTTTTCTGTAGTAAAAACAGAATGTTTTTTTAAAGAAAAACTTTCTATTTACTGTTTTTCCGTTGAATAAAGAGAGAGACAATTCATCTTCTATTGAATTTATTACAATAGAAAGGTAGTTTATTATTATAATCTTTTTTTTTAATCTCCAGTGTTTCCTTATTCTACTGTCATTTGTTGTTGTTATTCTTAGAGAATTCCTAATTGAAAAAAATATTGATCTGCCAACACACTAGTTTATAATGATTATCTAAGCTTGAAAGTAAATATTCTTGAAATCTTATCATATTAATTATTGAGGTTTGTTTAAGCATAAATAACTATAACAATTCTGCTTTTTTTAAATATACAGCATATTCCCCGTATTATTCAATATTGGAAAGGTAAACTGAACAGAATTGTGACCACGTAGATTGGTTTGTGAGCATCAATGCTCGTCTTAAAGTGTTTGTTGTTATTAGGCGAAGTCATAGTGTATGGACTGGATACTTAATGACTACTGTGATATATATATATATATATATATACTTTGATTTGTTAGAGATATTAGACGTTCAGCCAAGTATCTATTCTGATCAGCCACTTCAGTATTTTACTGGTTGGATTGGGCATAACGCTAAAAGACAAAAAGCCCGATAACTGTGTTTGTCATGTGAGCAAAATATATAAATTACAGTAAATTTCGGTACTTTTGGTGAAGAACTAAAATTCAAGAATAAAATGACATGTTAAATAAATTCTATCAGAAATAGAGACTACTGCAAATAGGTAACAGATGGGAAACGAGTGATTGATAATATTTATTGTGTAAGAATAGATCAAAATTGTATGGATTGTAATATTTACATTTAGTTTGTTTAATACGCATAACTAATATAACTGAGGGACTGAAGCTCACAAAAATTGAAATCGTTTATGTGATATTCTCGTAAATGAATACAAAATGATCGAATAAATCACTACAAAAATATGAACCGTTCTGCAAAATTAAATACGAGTACGCAAACAAACTAACGCAAAATGAATATTATTAAAATCCACCAATGTAAACAAAACCGGGACATTTTCATATATTAGGTCTTTCAATGCTCAATTAAATTAAGATCTGTTAACTAGGCTCATTTATTACTTCGCATTCGCCTACCAAATATCACAGCATCCTTACAAAATAAATAATTTGTCCACACCGTTTTCTTCACGATTGATTAATCTTTGGGTAGTGATGAATGTCATGGGTATCAGGTCCTTATTAGTAAAGATCGAATCTCATCGACCAAGTTCCCAAGTGACTACTGGTCTTGATAACTCGACATCGCAAGCCTTATTTCGAGATGTAAGGTGGTGGTTGGAGGCAGTTGACAGGACATTACAACTGAGCTATCTGGGTCGTAACTGACTTCCTGTAGGAATAAGATATAATGTTTTCTAATGTGAAGATCGATAACAAGGAGTCAATCCACCAGAAAGCATCAGTTTCCTCAAGAATACAGATACACCTTGCTGACGAATACCAAACAGCAAGAAATCATGGTTTCTTTTCGACCACCTTCAACCACGACCACAATCCAGTAGGTTTCTGCAAGAATAAACAATAAGCGACGAAATATTGTATTAGCTAAGATTCTTTGGACTACCTAATTATATTTATGAACCAGAGCATTATTCATCATATTTCTTTTCACTGTTTTTGATTTTGAGTACGCAATGCTTCGTAAGGTAGTAGAGTGTGATTGTTCACTTCGGTTCTGTCGACATATCACTGATGGGTCTTGCGAGTTCATTAGATCACCCTTCCGTCGGAGATTCAGACATTAATTTACTTAAATGGTTTGTCCGTCATTCTCCTAACGGTGTAACGAGAGTCAATGTAATCCAGCACTGATTTTATCTCCCAACATCACTTACTGTTTTATTCATAAAAATATTCGATGGAAAAATATGCCCACTCAATGGCCTAAATGTTTGACGCTCGTTCGTGAGACCACAGAGTCCTGGTTTCTATCTCCTGTAAGATCGTAGATGCACACCGTTGAGAATGCCCATACAAAAGACGAACCAGCTCACTAGTGCTTCCTGGTTTTTAATGGCTGTCTAATTTAGATCAACCCGTTATGTGAACTACGAAAAATACATCAACTTAGAAAATTTCTTAAAAGATGCACGAAACTAGAAAAAGGTCAACAGAATATAAGAGGATGTTACAAAGGATAGATATGATATATCTGCATAATATTAGTCAGTTAACCAAAACTAGTTATCCTTGTTAGTAATTTCTTCAGATTCATACTTATTGGATCTCAGAGTTGTTAGTAGGACACAAAATTCTACCAAATGTAAGAGAGATGAAAATGTAATATTATCAAAGTAATTCTGAGTGAAAAATTAAACCAGTAATCATTTAATGTGAAATTCTGAAACGTCATAGCTACTAAATAAGAGATAGTTCTTATTATCTGATACTAAGTATGATGACGCTATGACATTAAACCTGTGAAGACAGATTCAACTTCTCTTGGAACATCTGAATCGGTACACATAAGTCTGACAACCTCGAAACAGATGGAAATTTATGCTGCAGACTCTCTCACTAGCTAACAACAAATAAACAATTAACATTAAATACGTTATATGATTTTAAAACAGATGTTAATTTATGTTGTACCTTATAAGCATAATTATCTAATAGTGTTTTTTAATTTTACACGCAGTAACCATATTGATACAACTAGATATTTTGTTTTACAGATAGTACAATGCAAAAATTTCAAACTGATATTGAACTAGGTAGAGAGCAAGAAACACAAGCAAATCAAGAGTCTCAAACACAACATCAATTATATGGCAAGCCGATGCTTCCTTACAGTTCAATGTTTATATTTTCTTCAACAAATCCGTACGTTATTAAGTTCCTATTAAAAAATTCAGGCAATTTTGAAATGCGATGTGGTTTAAATCATTTTTGATCGACTCTTTTACAATCATTACACTTGTTGAAATTAATGAATAACATTTTTACGCAACCTATAAAATGTATTTGATGAATTCGGTTGTAAGCTAAAATTTATACAATTCTCTTGAAGTTCTATGTAATATGATGAGCAGAGAGTTAATTGACAAGTAGTGATCTATGATATTGATCTCTTTTACCAATTGTCTATAATATTTAATCATATTTTAGAGCAACATATATAAGTGAACAATACTGTTTTCGATTAGATCCTCATCAAGCTTTACTCGAATATACAGTAATATTTATATGCATATACGAAATCATTAAACCAATCAAGGCAGTTTATGAATTAATAATTACATAAATAAACATAATAAGTGAAAAGTACAAATCGGTAGTGTGATGACAGATGCACTAGTTGCGATAAGAATAATAAAGGCTTGGATCAGTGTTACATAATGAGAAATAGGTCAATGATTATAAAAATACAGACACTGAAGTAACATTCATAAGGATTACAAGATTATGTAATAAGAAATGTTCAGATAATCATTTTTTAACGAGCAATCATATTCGTATATCTGTTGGTCATAAATGATTAATGATTATTTAGTTCAATATTTACCAAGTACTTAATGTTAGATACTACTCAATTCAAATTAAACAAATTCGGTTGTGAATAATTCATATAGAAATTAGTATTTTTAGAGATCATTTTGATTTGTTTCGTGTTAGATAAACCTTCACCTGTCTTTGACTTTTTACTTGAATATTCTGATTCAAGATTTCCAGTGCCAATTACTAAGTCAGTTAAATACTCGACAGATACAATACCTTGTATGAAAACGATGACTTGTTGTGTACACCTAAATTAGGGCTTCAATTACCCTCAATTGAGTTTGGTTCAACTATTATTACTGATTTTATTGAAAGGCTTATAACTATCCAATAGGAAAGACTCATCACTAGTTCATACTGATGGTAGTTGCCAAGTCCGAGCAATGATCACTAATGATAATGATTTTCTAATCTATTGTAAATCTTCCACTACTCCATGAGCTATATTCGTGAAGTTCGAAGACTGTAATCTGTGCAGAGCTTCACTTCAGGTTTAGTTGCAGTATAAAAACCGTAAGTAATATGTCTTATTGAAATTCTATAGATTTCTAAAACTTATGTCAAAATGAATATGAATTTATGAAATCAAGGAAGGAAATTAAACGCACACATATGATCAGTTAACTGTATTTTAAGTATGATTGAGCCTACACATGGTTTCATGAAATAACTATTCGTACTTTACTATATAATATTTCCAAATATAGTGAGTGACTTCAGTACTTATTTTTCAATATTATTTTGAGAAATTCGAAATTCAATCGATGTATTACAAATGACTTTTTATTGTTTTATTTCCCTATTAGTGTTCGTCGATTTTGTCATTTTGTAGTGAATCTACGCTATTTTGATTTATTCATAATGATTGTTATTGTATCAAGTAGTCTTGCATTAGCTGCTGAAGATCCAGTCAGTGAAAATAGTACACGAAATTGTTTATTAGAATATTTCGATCACGCTTTTACATGTGTATTCGCTATTGAAATGTTATTGAAGGTAAGTGAATCAACGTAGTAGTTTTGGAATGAGTGTTGTTCATGAATAAAAATTAACGAGATGTTAATTTTAAATATTTACGGTATAATTGTATAAAAAAATATCTCTTATTGTCTTATTGTCCTATTTTTATTTCTTGAACGAATAATACATTTGACAGTCACCGAGTGCTATTCAAACCTGAACGATTTGTGTTTGATTTGACATAATGGTCGTGTTGATACATTAATGAAAAGTTTTGATTTAGAACAAAACTCTGTCTAATACTCCCTAATTTTTCATGGTACTTTAGTTCGTAGAAACTGTTGATAAAGTTATATGAAAACCAACTTTTAAACCAATTCACTCGATAATTCAAGTTAAAAAGTTTGATGGTATTCACAAAGTGCTCTCAAAAACTCGCTATTTGAAATGAAAAATCTGAGTTATTTGACCAGATTTATGATCACATTTACAATTGGGTAAAGTTGACCGAAGTTGGAATACAAACGATTATATGATATCTCTGTACTCTAAGTTAAACGCTCTCACTGCGATCTCGAATTCCTAGGGTCGAATCATATCGAGTTCATGAGTGAGCAATTCTAAGGAGTACTAAGGTGTACACTGTAAAGAGATTATACTCGTTATTTTCCTTATGATAATTTAACTCAAAGAAATCAAAATTAGAACAATCCAAGATTTATGAGGTCAAGGTTTGAAATAAACTTGTCTAACCATTTAAGGATATGAATAATTGATTCCGATCTGTTTTCTTTCTACCACACATGTACTTAATTCTTTATAGTTTTAGTGTGTCAAGTGTGACCAAAGGTCGTAAGATAAAGGTTATACGAGTCTTATGCTAACTATTTATATTTACTAGACTTAAAGTGCAAACTAAATCAAAATAACTATAATTCACGAGAATAAATAGTGATTAAAATGTAATTGTATTTGTGTTGTATAGGTCTCAATGAATGTCGGGACCAAAGAGTAGATGAAATGATTGTTTGAAGTGGCTAATTTTTTGGCTTAGCTTATTGTTTTATCCGGGAGTCAGTCCAACAAGTTATTAGTAAAACTGAATTGATCAAATTTATCATAATAATTTTTATTTATTCTAAATAATACACACTGTATATCAAACATTGAAAACATGTACTCCGTATGACCTTTCCAACACTTTCTGTTAGTCACGACACTCAATGTCTTTAAAACCAGGGTGAAATTCAATAATAATTAAGCCATTTGAATAAACGCATTAGTTACCATCTTACAGATATATTCCGGACGTTCTACTGACTTATGAGGTTCGATGGAGTCTGAATTAGGATAAATATTACCAATAACAACAGATGATATTGATGTATTGACTGCAGTTGTAAATTTGAACTAAGAAATCCTAACTCAGTGGCCTAGATTTGTCTTATTTACTACAACATATTTAGGATTTATATTTAGTCGCGTGTAAGTTGGTGAATACATACAGCAAAACTGTACTTTCATTTAACGAAACTACTTTAACAAGCTTCTATTTCTACCACATGTGGTTCAAAACTAAAAGATGTTTGAAGGTACTAAGGTCATGATGCCTTGATATACTCAACCTTCCACCTGCACAAAACAACTGAATCTTAAGTATGTCTCGGAAAAACATCACAATGAAATGAATTAAATGAAATTAAAACAAAATTAACTTGACAAATATCAAAGAATCTCATAATATAAAAAGAACTAATTAGGTCCTCATTAAGCTTTACTCTAGTATACATGAATATTTATGTGGGTATATGAAAATAGTAAACCAGTCTAGGTAACTTATGAGTTAATTATCATAATGAGAGTAATTTCTAGGTCGAGCTATCGATTAGAACTTTTTATCATTGCATTATTCTTCTCATTACTAGTATACACCTGTTCTAACTACCAACTTGTAATTTTTACATTGTGTTTGTAAGTATGCAATCCATATCATTGTGATTATTGTCAGAGTATTTTTTCTAGTTTCATTTTGTATTTATGTACTAGTTTACAACCAGAAATGTAGGTCATCAAAAGTATAACAATTTTGTATAATCTGGGAGTATAGATACCTGAGTCTGATCAATTATTGTAGCATGAAAAGTGTACTACAATCAACTTTGATGCATTGGTATTAAAATGACCCTTTAACTATTTATCACTTGGTGAAAATGTTTAATGATTCAGCATTTAAGCTTGTAAGGATCAGTTTTTATTGAAATTTGTTAAAAAATGAAATACAAAGGTCTAAAAAGCCTTTGAATAGGCAGCATTATTGCAATATCGTATACATAATTGACCTGGGTTTAGATATTCAAATTAAAAGTTTACACATCATTTACTTACCGCTTTTAAATCATAAATTAAGTGACTATCTGCAGAAGACATACCCACAACTAACAGGTTGCTTATGATATTAACTACAGGATATTTTGAAAAACTCAATATGTTTCCTGGAAATTTATCTGCGAATGGCCCTTCATTCTAGACGTATTCGGCATCAAAAATTCTTGTCATTTCGATGGCTATCTCAGAATATGAAATTCATCAAGGTTTCATTCTCATAAGATTCTGACTGATAAATGAACTGCTTTTTGCCAGAAACCCCACACCAACAATCATCCTTCTGAAGGTATATTCAGCCTCACTGTTTAGCACAGACATGTTATCACATGACTGGAATCGATTATCTCCACTAACAGTAAAAAAACACTATTTTTATTGCTTCAAATGTAGGTATTTCTATGACTTTTGAAACAGTAATCCTGTTGGTAAAAGAGAGATACAGACATAAGGCGATGGGCTAGGGGTAAATGTAAAAAAATTCACATTCATATCATCAACATTCGTTTTAACAGCCAGATATTATCACCTGTCTTCAAATAGAAAAATTATGCTTCATGAACGAGGACATGGACTAATTCATTGTCACTGAGTCGCACTAATTAATAGTTAAATTTATAATAATGCTGAACAGGTCAAACTTACTATAAAACATTTCACAATACTTTTTAGTTGTATTATTAAACCATGAAACTGGTATTGTTTATAATGACTGATCGCATTTATTTTAACCGTGAATTAGATATCAGCATATTTCTCGTATTTTTTAATTTGTAATTATATACAGTTAATTGATCTCGGTGTATTTCTACACCCATATTCTTATTGTCGTGATACGTGGAATTTATTGGATGCTGCTGTAGTGATCGGTGCGTTAATATCATTTTTTCGGTAAGTTGAACGAAGAACATTTCAATGGAAACGATGCTAATCAACTTTAATATAAGGTTTTCTTATAATAGGATGACATGTTTCTGGAGACTGAATAATTTAAAGTTTGTTTTCATAAGAGGAGAATCATTAAAAATCAATAACGTTATAATTGATTCGTATTAATGTACGAGACCTTAACTAACAAATGCACACAGAATCGAAACCAGAACTTTTAGGCTTCAAAGTGTACACAAAAACTTACCTTCGATATAGTAGTCACTACTAGTTACGGCTATACTCAATAACACTCAATAACTTAAAGGTATCATGCATTAGCAAGACTTGAAGGTCTCATGCTCTATTTCACTGCAAGTCGTGGATCTATGCACTCCCAAGGAAACCTTAAATAATGTAGAACAGCTGTACGTAACTGTCTGACTTTTACTATTGCTACGGTTGACGTTAGTTTGAAATTAAATTGTATTTTTAAATTTTTGACTGCATTTGAGATCCGGTCAGTCACGAACCAAGAAACTCAGTGATAACATTTCTGACTGTAGCCCAGTGAACCACAAACACGCCTTATCAATAAACTTCAAATGGAATAAAATTTGGGTTTGCGGATTCCCGATTATTCCCGCCAACTACCTAAAATCAGTGAGGTTAATACCTGACTGAGGTTTCATCATTACTTAACATGTCAGTCATATTTAAACGAATGCATTACTTAAGAAAAATTTATTCATCGATAATCAACATTAGTTTTAACATACTCGATGATAAACAAATCACGAAGCCTACTTGATTTCAGTTGTGTAAGACTTAAAATCAATGTTAAATCAAGTTAATGATCTTTTAACGTGATTAATCCATTTTTACAAACGGAAATCTGTAACTGTAGAAGAAGAGTTAGTGTAACTCTCCTAAACATAACATTATTTTAACATGAAACTCAAACTATATCTCGCTGTTATATATTATCAAGCACGAGTGATAGATTAAAGTCATCATGCAATCGCTTTCAATTAAGATATAACCAGTGGCATCCCAAACACATTGTAAACCTAATCCAAAGAAGTCAATCAACGCCTATCGATTGATATCACATATAGAAGGCCATATATATGGAGAACAAAACAACATTACCTAAATTAACCTAGTTGATTGAAATCCAAATTTAGCTAACATTTCATAGGAAGAAATTTTTTATTTATCCTACGAATTTCATTAACCATATCATCAAGATTATAATCAGTATTTTAAATTTTTGTTTCATGTTAATTGTTTTCGTTACTATCTCTCTCTTTCACTGTTGTTTTTTATTTCGATTTGAAACCTCATCAACTGTATAATACTTAATGAAGTGCTTATACTTTGAAAGGTAGAGCTGGACATGGAAGTAGGTAAGTATGATGTTAAGTTGATTCATATTTGTTTTCTATGTTACAATATTTTGAGGAAACATTGTATATTGACAATACAAAGTAGGATATTAAAGTGCTTTTATTGTTTTAATCAATTAACTAGTTGTATTTAAGTCGCTATCATATATTGAAGACTGACAATTATCCACCAGTGATTGAAATTTCTGATCTCTATTGATAAAAATATATGGGTATAATTATAAAAATTTAATAATCATTGATTGGTCGAATATTTCATGTATTAATTGTGCATTTTAATGTGTTTTTCGGAAGTTAACAAACTTAATATGATAACAACCGTCAACCATATTTTATATTGGTATTATGGTCTCTTACGATTAATTAGTGATACCCGTAGGTTGATTGAGAATGCTTCCATTGTTAACGTTTGTAGACAAACAAAAATTAATATAATACAACTCAACGATAAATTAATGAATACTTTTACTGAATTATTTTTCAAATATAAACTAAATAGATTTTTGAAATGAATAAAGAAAACTTATGATCTGTAATGCCTGTATAAACATGACAAAAGGGGAAAATGCCAATATCGTAAAATATATTTTGTATGTTTTCACAAGTTGGTCATTATTTCTCGATAAATCGCCAAATAACTGAATGTCTATTGAATGAACATTTTACAGGTTTCATTGCAGTTAGGATAATCGAATTTTAACCGTCAAATTACTAGCTTGAATCTCATCTAAGTTACTTCAGTCTGGATAGCTAGACAGTATCAGAAGAAACCATAAACTGAACATATAGTTCATAGCTTGTTGTCTAAACCTGCAATTGATAAATGACTTATATCGACGGGTAAGGTTCGCCGGCAGATGTTTGAAACGACTGAAATTAACACATGGATCTAGCTATCCCAAAAATACAAATTTACGACTGTGAAAGGTATGCATCGTCTGCTCAACAATAAATAACACTAGATAACTCGAATAAGTCAAGAGCTTCTGTATTCAAACTGTGTCTATAGTTTAAAGTGTTTACGAAAGATTTTAGAATAAGACACCTTTTTGAGAAAATACTTAATTGATCTTTTTTTTCATATGTATGTCTCACTATAAAAATATAATAGTATTCGTCCAAACGCTTAATCTATAACTATGATCATTATATAATCATAAAACCATTTTACGAGCTACAGCTTTTGTAGAGATTATAAAATAAATAAATCGACTAAAAAATCAACCACACTGATTACTGTTTTAATGTAACAATCCTCCTTCAACAAGTAATAATGTAATGAACGAGAACACAAGTGGGGACAATCGAATATATTTCAACACAAAATTATGGAACATCTTAGTAAAATCTGAGAACCGTACAGCAAAACATTCATTTGCAAAATGTCAATCGATCATCTCAGACTTCATTGTTCCTTTGTTTTCACACCGATTACCCTCTGTTTTCATCCTCTTTTCTTCGATCTTCTTAACCTTCCGCCTCCAAGCATTTGACATTCAATTGATGATATATACTACTCATATCTGTCGACATCAGTAACACACACCACATTAGGATTCATTTTTATTGAATAAATAATTGATTTATTATTGTTACTTATACATGTGAAAGATATTTGGAAAAAAATCAATACGAGTGATTAGCTTTGTCCTACAAGATTGCAACTAAGATAAGAGGATCTACAGGAATTGTTTAAATCAGATCTTAGATTTCATCACCATTTATGTTAAAAAGTGAAGTATATCAGAAATATTAATAAATGGTGGCTAAATGTTGTAGTGAATTGACTACATTGAAAATGTGTACAACTTTATAACGCTAGTACTACTAGACTTGAGGAACTCGGTTTTAATTCAGTTTTAGGCAATGTTTGTCCATTCTTGAGAAAACCCGGAGTTATGAAGTTGTTTACTTATTGATTAAATGTCAATTATAAGATAGAGAACACTCCAAGTGTGTCAGCGAATTAAGTCACTTGGCAGTCAACACACACATAGACACATAATCTACGAACCCACATAAGAGAGGTCAATCAATCACAAAGCCAGATGTCAACCAACACAGATAGTTAATGTGAATCCAAAGGCACATAAATACGAAAATGTCTTAAAAGACAAACCATCAGATGAACTAATATGAAACTTGTAGAATAACTAAAAAGCTCACTTATTCCTGAAGTGGTAGGTGAAAATGCTGTCCAGAACGTCAATTACATCTCTGCAATTAAGCCATCTAAACCTGAAATCTCAACAATACCGAACTGATTAAATTTCTCATCAATCCGCAATTACGATAGCACCAAAGAATGAAATCAGGCTCATCATGTACTGTACTGAGAACGTTACACCCTTAATGAAATAACTTTTCTCATAGGTACCGGATATAACGTCAATTTGTATTAACCCCAGTGGATTCACAGAACAACTTAGAACCATTAGAAATGAGTCCAATAATTCAACAACTTACTCCTTATATCCTTCGTCGAGAAATCTTATAACAAACAGTACTTAATTGAAGCTTTTAAGTAAGAGAATAGCGATATCCATAACGTCATAGTAACTATTTCTACATAGATTGAAACGAAAATTACATCCAATCAAGTGTTAGCCACATGATACATTTTTTTATTAAACAATCTAGTTACTCAAATATTGATTTATTCCTTCATTGTGAGTTTTTAATCAGTGATTGACAGTAATTGATTAATTGAATATTTAGAAGAATTAATGTCAATAAAAGTTGATATTGCAATCAAATCACTAAAACGATAAGCTTTTTTAAAAAGGAAAACAAACAAACGAAAGCATGCAACATTATACATAAATTAACTAGATGATTAATTAACTTCTATCTTATATTTGGGTGAATATCTGATGTTAATAACAATCCACATTATTATTTTGTTCAATCTTCTTTCTTGTGATGCCTTTTCATTTTTCATTTGTTGGTTTACTTTCCGTTACCAAGTAAAAATTTGAGTACAATAAAGTCGTTACGTGTACTTCGAGTGTTAAGACCATTAAAAACCATTCGCAGAGTACCGAAATTAAAAGTAAGTTTGATTTAATTTTCACAGTTATATATATTACTAGTAACTGAATATTTATAAGTATTAAGAACTTGTGAATCTCAAGCATGTCAGATGTCAGTCAATTATTCACAAAATGAAATGGAAGATGGTTCAGCAGTATCTCGAATTAGTTAGATTAAGAAATCCAAGTTACTAGACTCAGATACAATGGTCTGGAGGTTAAGCACTCAAGTCAAGGCTTGAGTATTTCGGGTTCGATTTCTAGTGGGGCCTTAGTTGGGAACTGTTATGAAGTAGCATATTAAAGTGAAACAGCTATTCAATGTTTCTAATCGAGGCCAGACCCTGAATGTTTATGATTTTCACAGTTGAGAAAGGTAATTAAAGTTGTTTTTGATGGACTTAAACTAGCTAATAAGACAATAAACATTTTGCAATCGTCTTGTCTTAGTTTGGAACTCTACAGATATCTTTAAATGAAGTGATTGAGTGCAGACGATTCAATTTATTTTGTCCAGTACATTATCATATCACAAATGAGTTATTAGTTAAGTTTATTTCTATGCTTTAAAGGCAAAATATTAATAGACCTTATTATATATTATAAATTTAGAACATAACCTATTTAGATACTATTTTAGGTCATACGTATATTTTATTTATTCAAGAACAAATTAGTTTGTTCGAAGCATTGACCAATATTGATGTGTTTACTTTTTTTAAGTATAAAATGACACAATTTAGAAAATAGTCAATATCAATAAAATTGGCTCAATTCATGGAGAAAAAACTCCCCCAAAAACGTTTTATTACCTGTTGAATAAAAGACATAAAGAAATTTATTTACCTTTAACAAAAACTATTCACAATCCAACTTAAAATCTAAATTTCAAATTAGATTAACTTCTTATTTCAGAATATATCTGGCGTTTGAATAGCCTAAATACAAACTAACATCTACTAAGTGTTTTCCATCATGTGTTATGCTTAACCTTAATTCATGTGTAATGATAGGCATCAGAGTTTCTAATCAAAGACAAACAAATCTACATCAAATATCTTAATGTTGAATATTTCATTAGAAAAAAAAACGCCTCAGTCGTTATTTTTTCTAAATAAAAAAATAGGAGATGAGATTTTGCTCTACCGAATAGTTTGATTCTAAGTTTCGGTATATAAAAAAATAGTCGACTTAAAATTGATTCAGTTTACTAGGTCTCATAACAATGATAAATGCATTCAGCTATGAACAGTTTCTATTCTAGTAAGTGTTTTTATAAACTTTGAAAACGTTTAATGGTTGATTTCGAAAAGTGATACTTTGTATCCATTGGTAAAAAGATATTTTAATACATAGTATTAAAAACCATTAAACAACCGGATTTTAATACTATTTGGTGACTTGATCACAATGCATACCTATAATCAAAAGTTATTATTGAACTGGAAACATTTAGATTGATTTCATTGAACCCATATGTTCATGTCAAAGTTTAACCACCAATGAATTACAATATGTCTGTTAATCATCAGACTCAAATTCTCCAGTTCAATAGTCATCAAAACATTGTAAAAACCACATAGTTCTCAATAAGATCACTTGGAATGTATTTAAACAATTTGAAAATCTATTATACATTATAAATAAAAATTATATATAATTGTAATATCCCAATAAGCAGAAAAATTAAATTTTCTAACATTTTGTGACTTAGTTTAAGTCACTTCTTCAGATTATATTAATTTTTCGTTCGCTCAATAATCCTTTACTTAACTGATATCAACTTATAATGTAAAACTATTATAATAATATCCTTATGATCTATGAAAATGGTCCTGATAAATAATAATAATAATAATAGTATTATCAACTTGTTAGGCTAAAAGCCAATGATATAATGAATTAATAGAAATGAAAACTTGATGAATAAGTCGATCTATATAATAAATTTGTTAGATTGAAACCATGAATTGATTAAAAATGTGGCATTACCCAAAAAACTTACATCAAAGTAAATAGAGTAAAAAAATAACCTAAATGAACCTCTCCATAAAATACCTTAATAAAATAGTTATCTTACATTTATTAGTAACTGATCTTCCAAACGTTGTAGATTTATTTATTTATTTATTTGAACACATAAATATTGGTACAAAGAGGCACCAAATAAATATGCGCCACGCAGATCTCATTTGATATGTGTGAGAGCTGCGATACTGCCCGGGTGCCCAAACCGAGGCAAGTGGTTTTCTTAGGGGGCCACACTTCGAGCCTTTGACCTAAAAGTCTAACCTACAACGCAATGGAGCATCGTGAGGAGATGCAGTTCCATGGTAGCCGGTGGCCAAGGAATTGGTTCATACGCCATTTGTTCGTTTAGGATACTGGAGCCCATGTGCACCACTGGTTTTAGATCCGGTTAAGGCGCCGGACATTCTGTTTTCATCCTCTCATTTTCGTAAACAACACCGTGGTGCGAGAAGGCAGTGAGTAGGACTTCCCTGGCAGAGGCTGTATACGCGTGGCCGTGTAAGAGCATTTCGAGAGGGAGGGCGAGCTACCGCACTCTCGGCCATACCATGGCATTTGGGAGCACGTTGTAGATTGTACTAAAAGATTCAACTGATCTAATAATCACAATATAACTATCCAATGATTCATAATTTACCTCAAACTCGTCATTGGATATCAGTTTATGAAGAAGTTTATCACTAAAATGGATTAGTTCAAAATTCATAAATCATTTTAACTAAACTAGTAACAGTAATCTAGTCACCATAACATCATGAATTTTAATGAATCAATAAATCATTACATAATAAGCATAGGATATCAACTAAAATTTTTAAAAAAAAATTACAATTCAATTATTTCTAAATTTTATTCATTCTCTTTTGTTTTGTTTTTTTTCTTTTACAGGCGGTATTCGATTGTGTAGTTAGTTCATTGAAAAATGTTTGCATTATTCTTGTTGTATATATATTATTTCAATTTATATTCTCTATTGTGGCAGTTCAATTATTTCAGGGGAAATTTTTCTATTGTAATGATTTATCAAAACTTACAAAAGAAGATTGTCAGTAAGTTCATGAAATGAATTATTAAATATTTCAGTAGTATATACTTATTTGTCTCGAATGTTATCTCTTTTAAATAATAATAATAATAATACTCTAGAGTTATTTATATAATTTATTTGAATAGTACTTGAAAATTCTTTTTTCATTTACTCCCATCTTCAAATTACTGTCTTTATTTAACTCATTCAAATCGATTGATAAGTATCTCTTTTATTAAATTAAGTGACTTTCAATATCTAACTGATCAGTTAAACAAATTGTATGGTATCTTAAATTGAATATTGTAAAACTTTCATTTTAAAAGTTATGTGATCACTTTAAACCAATATCAATATTAAAATTGTTTTATAAATATCTCTGAGTACTTAAATCACGTCTCCAGTATCTTTTTGGATGATCTTCATTTCAGATATTTGAAGGAAATAGACAGGTTGATATCAAGCACTCCCTCTCTTTATGATAAAAAGTTCGTGTTCATTAAAATCTCTGATTTTTTTTGTCGTACATAGATCATTTTTCTGGAAAAACGTCAGGGTTTTATCGCCTTTTATAGTATCACACATTTTGCACTGGATGGTTTTTATTATTGTAATGAACAATATTATTAGAGTGTATTTCAAATGCCAAACAACCTTATACAGTTACTTCATGATCATCAAAGTAATCCATTCTAAGGGCATTCTAAATGATTTGCCGTCGTTGAACGTAATACTGTCTTCATATACATTTGCACTACTGTTGAATATTTTGTTACATTATCTTATGACAACATGATTTATTGGTAATATCCACACACTGATAAATAAGATCGATTTCACCTTGCTCATTGATCTTAAAACGACCTGAATATCAGGCTATAATAACTTCTACATCATCCATTGAGTTTTTTCAATCTTTTTGATTGAATCACATATTCTGTTTCCCAGTTCTTGATTCTTGACAATTTCTTTAGCTTCTCGATACCTACTGGGAACAACGTAGAATCAATCACAAAGTACCATCAGTCAGTTATGTAGCAATGTAGAGTTCAGCATACGTCATTTTCGTTCCAAGTTGCCAAACTGTATAACCACTGCAAAATGAAATTATCAAGCGGAATACCAGAATAGTAGAAGCAGAAAAGATTAGGCATGGAATATGTAATCCGATAAGAAAAAATGGATTTATACAATAAAACTTATAAGATACTTTTACAACTCAAGATACAAAAAAGACAAATAGAGAAAAGGAGTAGATGAATTTACGTTATTGTGAACGATTCTAAGCAACATCACCCAGTCTCCAACCATCGATTAAAATAGTCACATGTATTCCAGCCATATAGTTCACAACTACCTACATTGTTCAGTTAAATAGTATTTTGATCTTATAAATAAGCTAAATTGGATTTAATGATTACAGCAGATAACAAGTGACTTATGAATTATTTTACACTATAGTACTGTCTAATTATTTGTCGGGGACGTTAGGTCCCCAGAACTCACTTGGGAAAGGATCCAATTTTGTAATTTTATTTGGAAAATTTGAATTTCTTTATTTTCGCGCCGAAGGCGCTCTTGTTACTATGTCATATTTCCCACTGCATCGTATCTTTAATGCTATTGGTCCGTTGCGTCTTTTAGTATGCTATTTGGTAACTGTCCCCAAGGACGATTTTGTGCTGTATATGTACATTTTGAATTGTGTTTGTTGTTATCGCTCGTTTCTGGCTGTTTGCAGAATATACTTCCCCATTCCAAGCTTGGACTTCTCCCTCTAGTTAGCGGGGCTGGGACGCATCAAATAGCTAGCTTACTGGTTTTTGGTCACTGAGTCTTTGTTCTTGTTCGCAGATTAAGTGAACTCGTGATAGCTTCAACCCTAGCATTACTATGGAACTATCAACAATTAATATGAAAATACATAAACATTCTGTACAAACACAGTGATTACATTTTTATAACTTATATTGGTTGAATGTAATTATTAATTAGTTAGAATTTAATATTATGTTAATTAAATAACCCACTAGAATTATAAATGATTATTTTTTACTCATTAGTTTATTCCATTGAATACTTTTATGCACTAATGTTAGCCAACTTAAAAGCCAAATGTCTAAATAAATTAGATTTCATTAAAATTGATTATATTTAACTTACTGTCTTGAATAATATTATTTAAGATAATTACCATCTGAACTTGGTTATTTTATAATTTTATTTATTTGTCAAAAACCATTTCTTTAAATCTGAGGGTATTATCTAATTAAACAAAACATGCAAAAACAAACCACTTTCTGATAAATGCTCTCAAACGCTCTGGTACGACCGAGAGTGAGGAGATTCCGCTCTCCCTCTCAAAATGCTCTTACATGGCCACGCGTATATAACCTCTACCAAGGAAGTCCTACTCACCGCCTTCTCGTGGCGGGGTTGTTGTTTACGAAATTGCGAGGACGAAAAGCGAATGTCCGGCGCTTTAACCGGATTAGTGAAGAGGGAGGTTCCACCTAGGGGAGTTGGAGAACCCTGATTCCAAACCAATGGTGCACAAGGGCTCCAGTATCCTAAACGAACAAATGGCGTGTGAACCAACTTTCGGTCACCGGCTACCATGGAACTGCATCTCCTCACGATGCTCCATTGCGTTGTAGGTTAGACCTTTAGGTCAAAGGCTCGATGTGTGGCCCCCTAAGAAAACCACTTGCTTCGGTCTGGGCACCCGGGCAGTATCACAGCTCTCATGCATATTTATTTGGTGCCTCTTTGTACCAATATTTATGTGTTAAAATAAATAAATAAAAATAATTTCTGATGGATAATTGAAGTCAAAAAGGGGTTTTATGGATATTATAGTCATTTGATAGTTGAATTTACGAGTTAATTAAAGTCAGGCCATCATGGAAAACTTGAAAGAACTGAAAGGCCGTTTTATCCCTTATCTGTGCGTATCCACGATGCCGCCTCAAATGGTCTGTTGTGAGATAGTAAATCACTGATGACAATGATGGATGTTTCGCTCACTTTCATGGATTAGTTGAAGTTAAACATTAACACCGTAGGATGTCGGCTCAGTGGTATAAACGCTACATGTTCGCTCGTGAAACCTATAGGTCCTAGGTTTGAGTCTTGTGAATCGGGGTCGTGGATGTACACTGCTAAGAAGTCCCATGCTGGGACGAAATGGTCGTCAGGTGCTTCCAGGTTTTCCACGGTGCTCTACTTTCAATAGACTCATGAATTCAACTATTAAATAATTAAAGGCTAAATATAACTTGATAGTTTAGTTCTGTGAATTTGTTTAAAATGTCAAAATTGCATAAGTGGTTACTTCGGTGATGGCTAAATGTTTGACTACCAACCGTTGTTCTGATATACATTTGAACCCCATTTTATTTATTTCATTATGAATTCTGAAATAGTAATAGTATAGCAATAGTATCATCCCATACACGTTCGAGTTCATAAATTTGTAAATTGAGGTGTGTAATAATTTTACACAGTAAACTATGTCAAACTGGATGTAATTAGTTCCATATATATATAAACATGGTAAATAACATGAATTATAATTACAAAAGGGATCATAATTTCAATTTTTGCCTAATACTACTATAGACAATATCAATTCTTAAGATGATCGCGTAATGAGTAACCAAGTGTTTTGAAGTTAATTTACTTAGCCATTTGAAGATCAAGAAGAATTGAATACATTTAGACCAAAACAAACGATTGTTTGCCTCCAAAAATGTTACTTTTTTAATAGACGAATTCGTTTTTAAATTGTTTCTTGTTTTACTATGCAACTACCCCAAATAATTGATTTGTGTTCACAAAAAATAACAACATAAACATTGTCTTTTGTTTATTTATTTATTCCATAGAGGTTATTTCTTTTCATATGATGATGGTCTAGTACCTGTTGTGAAAGCTCGAGTATGGAGTTCACGTGATTTTCATTATGATAACGTGATCACAGCTATGCTAACATTATTCACAGTGACAACTGGTGAAGGATGGCCTGGGTAAGTACTTGAATGCCGTATAGTACTGAACAGTTGTTTTGTTTCAATTCAAAACCGTGACATTATATCATTAAAAATTCTGTGCGATTTAAAATTATGAAACATCACTTTTCCAAGAGCCCATTATTTATTATTATTCTTCTTTAGTTGCACTTATTTTATTCAGCTAATTATGCATGACAAAATTGTGCATTTACGCACTATCATATAGTGTTTACAACGTGTTGATTACGATGAAACTCATGAATTATCGTTTAGTTGCTTCGTATACTTTCCCTTTTTATTCCCTATTCATCGGAAAAATAAACGGAGATTACTATCGAATTCATAGATCATATTATATCTGGATATGAAGAAAGATATTATGAAATAAAACCGATCATAAGCATTTATGAAGCAGATCATTGTTAAAAAACTTTATATATATATATATATATATATATATATATATATATATATATATATATATATATATATATATATATATATATATATCAGGGAAACTAATAAGTCAAAAAATGGATTGTTGTCAAACTTTAAATGAAACAAAAGCACATTGACAAATGATTTCTTATCAGTGAATTAATCCTAATATAGTTGTAACTACCTAGATTTATAAATTTAAACAATATTTCACAAACAGTATGTTTATACGATAAATATTTGTTATCTATTCAAATACGCTACATTTTATATTGAATATTAAACTAGTTATTTTGTTGTCATAGTAGCCGGATTTATTTCGTTACATAAATGGATGAGAAGTACAATTTAATTAGAAGTTATGATAGTTTATTTTTACAATTTAAAACGAATCATGTAATTACTATTTAAAATACAACAAGCCAAAAAAACACACAACTCAATCCATAATATTCATTTAAACAAAGAATTTACTTTACTTTTTTTTATTTTTACCCATGCATAATATTTGTTCCCTTCGTTTTGTGTCATTTCCCTTATGTGGTTTGTATTTTCTTTTTTTCGTAACACTTACAATATACTATCTCTGTTGCCACTTATGATATAAATACCATATATACTAATACTAGTAATAGTAATATGCTTAAAATGCGTCATATTAACAACAAGTTACATTATATACCTTTGAGATTATCAATGCTGTGTGTATGTGTGCATGTATGTATATATGTAGTATACATCTATAGGAAATTTGAATTCAATGAAAAAGTATATATAAATATAGAATGCATTGCGAATTCTTTCACTCTCTTTAAATTATACTGTGTGCGTTATTTTATTTTCAATAGTTGAAATCATGCGCCAATTAAAGCTAGACCACCATGGAAAACCTGGAAGCACTAGACAGCCGTTTCTTCCTGTTGTGGGACTCCTCAGTAGTGTATATCCACGATCCCGCCCCTATACTAGGGCGAAACGGCCTTCCAGTGCTTCCAGGTTTTCTATGGTGGTCTAGTTTCAATTGACCCATGATTTCAACTATTGAAATTTCTAAAAATTTCCACAAAACCCATTCTGATTATTTTATTTTGTTTATCTGACTAATTAATTAAACAATTCCCTAATGGTTACTCTTCAATTTAACTAATTTCTAAGTAGAAAAAGTATATATATATATAATGGTTATATGAGGCGTTAATAATAATCGTTATTTTCAGCCCCTGAGGCGACTGATAACAATAACAAAAATCAAGTCTTTTAGATAACATTTTATTTGATAAGTGTCATTGATCAATTGTGGCCAATTCTAAATATTAACTCAGTTCAGTACTTTCTTAATTAATGTCGTTGACCAACCATAGGAAAAAAGCTTTACACTTATTTTTTTAGAAATTCTTATATCTGCTATGGTAAAAAACCTTTGATATCTGTGTCTGAACTAACAACAATAAACAAACCTCAAAGTATTAACTGTTTATTAGTTCAAAGTTTAAGAACTGTAGACCAATGAGAGACTATAGGACAACTAGAAAATTAAGTACTTGGTATTCCATGACTGGTTATTTTATCTTTGAATTTAATAACTCATTATGTGTTTCTCAAGGTCATTGATATATGATGTACAGAGATCAGTTCTATTAACTCTATGATTTTAATGAAAACAGTGAGAGATCACTTCTCAATGACAATTAACTTTTGTTAATATTTATAGAGAAGTGTAAGGTTATGCATTGAACAAACGATAACAATTGGTTAACTATTGAAAAAATAAAAAATGTGTTTCGTTGTAGTACTGAACACTTCAAAAGTACACAACAGTATTTAACCCAGGTTTCATAATACACTCAATATTACGCGACTTGCTCAAATATATGAACTATCATTTGTCCAAACATCCATTTGTTGATGGCAGTCTTTCTTGTTTAGTGTTTATTTTAAATTCCACCTATCTACCAAGTATATTTACGCGCTTTTCTATTATTTTTAAAACCTAATACGAGGCTAACTATTAAAAAGTACTACCACTGTAGAGTACATATGTACCCTGAACATACAGTATTGAATAAAATGAATATTATTATTTTACTAAAATAATTGGTGGAATAATAAATGATTTTTGTTCTCCATCTCCAATGAATTCACTTATAAGCTAAATTTTTCCATCCTATATTATCGTCAGTTAGTTGTCTTACTACAGTAGAGAATAACTATACAGACGACAAAAAAGTTATGGTACATTGGTTGGTTATGATTTTGTGATTAAAATTATTTTAAACAAAGAGTATATATATGTCTCTTTGTTTTTTTTCATTCAGTACTTTCTTGTTCTTATCATTCTCTTCATAACTTGTTTTCATAAATATTATTCATTGTAGAGTTTTAAAGAATTCAATGGATGCTACAGAGGTGAATCATGGCCCAGTTGAAGATCATAGTCAACAAATGGCAATTTTCTATATCATATTTTTCATTGTATTCCCATTCTTTTTTGTCAATATTTTTGTAGCTTTAATTATTATAACATTTCAAGAACAAGGTGAAAATGAATTAGTCGATCATGAATTGGATAAAAATCAAGTAAATGATGTATACATGTGTCTTTTTTGTTTTTCAAGCCATAGTTTAACATACTGAGCTAATCAGTATACTCTAGTATTTGAGTAGAAATTATGAACAACAGTCGGCATGAAATAATATGGATACATTTTTTTTATTTTATAGGTTCTCAACAACTGCTTACAACAGTCTATGTATTGAAATGTAACAGTCATGAATTGTAATTTCATAATTTTTATCGCAAACTGTTCTTGGCTAGTTAACTGTTGAACCCAGAAAGCCCTGGATGAATGTTTTTTCCTAGTATGAGGCTCTTCAGCACTATCGTGGGTTAAAAAAAGTGTCCAGTGCGATCTGGTCCCTGATGGTTAACTATGATCAGTCAGTAGTGCAGACTATGAAATTCAGCAATCCTGGCCACTTATAATAGTTAATAATAGGCATTGGTTGTTGAAAAAGTGAAGTAATAAAAACTACATATATAGGATAGTTACTCAAAAACTGATAAGATAGATTATGTGGTGACTATAGATTTGAAAAGCTTACATAAGTTTTGGGAGCTATATAAATGAAATGACCGTTTTAAAGTGGATGGACATCAATGAATATGTATGAATAATATGCGAAGAGGAATAAATCTCAAAATATCAATTTACTATAATAGTGATAATTGACAACTACCTTTTGTGATTAAATAAAATGGGTCTGAGTTTCTAATAGCTAATGCTTCAAGAAAGCTTAATGAAACAGAGTTTATCAGTTTGCTTATTACTTTGATAGATTTAGGAATGTCGACAATATATCTAAGTCTGATTAAATCTAGCATTGATAAAGCATCTTTTGAAAAAAGAATCATAATTGCAGCCATGACAAATTCACAGTTTAGTATGACCGGTTAATTAATTTCTATCAGTTACGATACCTACTTCAATCATGAAAAACAATGACATTAAATTTCTGCAAATAATTATGACTATTATTTTGATTTTCTATAAGTCTTTTTGCATTTGGAACGAAATCCTGTACGGTTATCTCTGAAAAATGATCTTTTCATCTGATCCGGACTACGTTGGTGTTACTTTAAACTCTGAAAAAACCCACGATGCCACTTAAAGATTATAATATACTTCATTGTATAAATTGAAAATAACTACCTCATGAATTAATGTCAGTCATTGAATCACTGAAGAGCAGATAGCTCCAAAGTGTTTGGTAGTCCTAGTGGGAGAAATTTTCTCTCTATTTGCAAGTTCATAACACTACATGGGTTGGTATTTAGTTCACATGACAAAGATAATACCATTCATTCAATCAATTTATATTAAATAGTTTACATTTTTCTATTTTCCTCAATTAAACATACAATACTTTTTTGGTAGCTAACTGTTCCTCAATTGATAATGTTAACCTTATAAGCTACCACTAAACGTTTCTTTATAAAATCACACACCTAACCCGTACTATAATTTACACCAATTCTTAATGAAAATATACTGGTAAATTATTAACTACCCGTTTATTTTTTAATCAAGACCAATAATATATTTTTATAAAACGACTAGTGAATTTGATTTCCCAAAAATTCAGCCATCTGTAGCATTAAAATATCTAATTAGAATATGCATGTTAACAGTGCATTTTACTTAAATTAAACTGACTAACCAAGTTGGTTGGTTAGTTGGTTGGTTGTTTGGTTGATTTAAGTATTCGGATTTGAAACCAAATATATAATAAAGTTTTTTTCAGTACCTTTCCATCTCTTTTGAGTATCAGATACTTTTTTAATTGTTAGACTTAAGTGTATTTCATCCCAAACCGTGACCAGTGGAGCTAATCCATGTCGGGTAGAGACAAGTATCTACAGCGTTACGATAAAAGATGGTTGCCCAATTTCGTGGATTGGTTAAGGTTAGACATTAACATCACTGGATGCCGACTCAGTGGTCCAGTAGGTTAAGCATTCGCGCACAAGACTGAAGGACCTGGGTTCGAATCCCACGAGCGGGATCGTGGATGTGCACTACTGAGGAGTTCCACAATAAGACGAAACGGTCGTATAGTGCTTCCTAGTTTCCAACGGTGGTCTAACATCAATTGGTTCATGATCTCAATCAAAAACTTAATAATCTCTACAACCCCTATAATGATAATAAATAACCTTGTTTCGTTATATATATACAAAACATTTTCACACTTAATATTTCCTGTACATATATCAACAAGCAAATTTTACTTATTTTTAATCGAAAAAATAATCTATATTGTTTTTTTCTCTAGAAACAATGTATTGAATTTGCAATTAATTCAAAACCTTTATGTAGATATATGCCTAGTAATATTGCATCAACAAAATATCGAATATGGAGATTAGTTGTATCTAGTCCATTTGAATATTATATTATGACAATGATTGCATTAAATACTTTAATTTTAATGATGAAAGTAAGTTTTTCTCACAATATTTATTCATTTATTTATTAAATAAAAATAGAATTTATTATAAAAGTCAAATATAAATTATAGAAAAGTAATTACAAATGTAAAATAGGAAATTAGATTAAGTAACTAACTTGATTTATATCATGATTTGATTAAATAAGGTTTAGTTCAAAAGAATAATGTAGAAGAAACTTATGATATATTAAAGTGTCTATTTCAATAGTGTAATAAGCAAACAGAGTTAATCCAAAATATTTGTTTTACTTGTGCAACATAATTCAGATAACCTGTTTGTAAATTAACTTGTCAAATCGTGAAAACTAATCAAAATAAATTAAATATAAGGTCAATTAGATACAAAGTGATCATTGAAAGTGTTAAGGAGAGAGAGGTAAGTAATATAAAATAAAAAGATTAAGAAGTCATATCAACCCTAACCAAGAGAATCGATTAAAGTTTATCATGTCCGATTCAAGGTTAGAGTAAGTGGTATTTTGTGCTCATACAAGGGAGACTTAAATTTTTTATTGATCGAGGCTTCTATCTAAAAGCTGTTCTTAAATGAATATAATGACCTATCTTAATTATTTGTTTCCCCATTATGAAACATGATACTTTCCTAGATTATGATATTACCAAACAATTTTGGTCGGAAATTTTACCCTTCTACTTTCAATTATATACTCAAAAGGAATGTGTCCATACTTTTCATTCCTATGTTTTTAATTTTCTCTTTAAAGATTTGATTAATTACGTAACCTTTGCCGAAATTCCATTTGTCGTTTATTTTCCTAATTCAGAAGCCGTTCTTCTCAAAGCTTAACATTTTTTTAACCTTTTTAAAACAATTATCGAACTAATTTTTACTAACTTACGCCTGTTACCACTCGTGGAGAAACATAGGCTGCTCACATGATGGTGAATAGTTCATATAAACTATCAGTTTTAATAATTTTTCGACTGCTATTTGTATGATAGCATGATAAATAATAATCAGTTGAACAATTAATTCAAATCCTTCAAATTAGATTATAAGCGTTATTACTTAGTAATGATCTTCCTCTTGTAATTAAGATGATTCAAATCAATTTATACTGTATCCTAAAATATGAAACAAGTGTATTTTATTTTATCATAAATACTTCATTTGTATTTTACTCTTCTTTCCTTACTAGTATTATCGACCAGATTATACAGATGCTAATATGGGCATTCCTGACTGGGAAACACAAAAATATCAAAGTTATTGTAGTACACTAGTTTATTTGAATACAGCATTTACTGCGATGTTTACAATGGAATGTTTATTAAAATTAATTGCATTTGGACCAAAAGTAAGAAATACTATTTACACTGATTTTTTTAAATATTGATTATATCGTCAGTTGGTTGAAAGCAATCAACACAGATACCTTAGATATATGCTGCAGCTGGTTGGCACTCGTCAGTAAGGGACCTGCGAAACCTCAGAGGACAAATGCTTTTTTACGATAAGAAGCTGTTCCACTCAATATCAGAGTCAAAAAACTGACCTAACCTTTTTGGCTTTCGTAAAACGAAACATTTCGACTCATGACAAAACATGAATATGTCATCAATATGAATAAAGTTTGATAACTGAATAGGCTATGTCATTTCTTGTTATTTTACTAAATAACTACTCATATTAAACATGTAATGTCAAAATAGACGATTGCCGTCTATCTGTTGCTGATTTTTGATGAAAACTGATTGATTCGTTCGTTATCTATTTTCATTTAATTTTGTTGTCACCGAACAGTGGAAGTGTTAATGATTTATCATAATTCATAATGATTTTGAAGGGAAAGAGAATACTTTACTTACTACTTAATCAATTTTTACTTCATTACTTGTCTATATGATTTTAGTGACGTGTATATTTGTTAATTCTAAATCGGTAACATAACGCAATCACTAAACAATAGTTTCTCGTTTCGAATCAACTTTAAGGCTATACAAAATGCATTTCCTTTTTCGACACATAACAACTGAAGTATAGACAATTATTAAATGAACAATAAATTTGCAAATCTCTATGCACTCAACGAATTGGTCATAGGAGGTACAATATTTCCACACAAACGCATACACAAAGCTACATGAATCTCACCGGACCACATTACAGAGAACCAGATAGATCATATTTGCATCAATAAAAAATTCCGAAGGACAATGAAAGATAAGAGAGCCAGGAGAGGACCTGACATAGCTTCGGATCATCGCTTGGTTGTGGCCAATTTAAAACTGAAGCTAAAGAAAAACTGGACAACTGGACAAACAGCAATACAAAGGTTCAATACAGCCTTCCTTCGAGATACTAAAACCTCAATGAATTCAAAATAGCACTCAACAGCAGGTTCCAAGCCTTACAGGATCTACTGAAAGAAGAAGAAACTACTATGGAGGACAACTGGAAAAGCATCAAGGAAGCAGTAACTTCAACTTGTCAAGAGGTTCTGGGCCTCAAGAAGCATCATCATAAGGAATGGATCTCTATTGAAACACTGGACAGGATCAAAGAAAGGAAGAACAAGAAGGTAGCAATTAACAACAGCCGAACACGAGCAGAGAAAGTCCAAGCACAAGCTGAATACATAGAAGCAAACAAACAAGTGAAGAGGAGCATTAGAGCCGACAAGAAGAAATAAGTGGAAGAACTAGCAACGACGGCAGAAAAAGCTGCTAGAGAAGGAAATATGAAACAGCTTTACGATACAACGAAGAAACTATCAGGGAAATACAGTAAACCAGAGAGGCCGGTCAAAGACAAAGAAGGCAAGCCAATCACCGAAATTCAACAACAGCGTAACAGATGGGTAGAATACTTCGAAGAGCTCCTGAATAGGCCGGCTCCAATGAATCCACTGGACATCGAAGCAGTACACACAGATCTTCCTATAGATTTCAATACACCAACGACGGAAGAAATTAGAATGGCCGTCAGACAAATCAAAAACGGGAAAGCAGCAGGACCCGACAACATACCAGCTGAAGCACTGAAGTAAGATATCAAAGTAACTACAAACATGCTTCACCTTCTATCCAAAAAGATTTGGGAGGAGGAATAAGTGCCGATGGACTGAAAAGAAGGACACCCCATCAAGATTCTAAAGAAATGAGATCTGAGCAAATGTGAAAACTACAGAGGCATTACACTACTGTCAGTACCAGGGAAAGTCTTTAACAGAGTGTTGCTGAACATGATGAAAGACGCAGTAGACGCTCAACTTCTAGATCAACAAGCTGGATTCTGTAAGGATCGGTCGTGCACAGACCAAATTGCGACACTACGGATCATTGTCGAACATTCAATTTAGTGGAACTCAACACTGTACATCAACTTCATTGATTGTGAAAAGGCATTTGACAGTGTAGATAGGAGGACGTCATGGAAACTTCTTCGACATTACGGAGTTCGTGAGAAGATTGTCAATATTGTCCGGCTGTTTACTCTCTCCCTTCCTCTTTCTTCTGGTGGTCGACTTGGTTATGAAGACCTTGACATCTGGGGGAAACACGGAATACAATGGGCAGCTCAGAATCAATTAAACGATTTGGACTTCGCAGATGACCTGGCCCTCCTATCGCATACACATGAACAAATGCAGATAAAGACAGCCAGTGTAGCAGCAGTCTCTGCATCAGTAGGCCTCAGCATACACAAGGCGAAAACCAAGGCAAAGCAAGGACCGCACTCCTACAGTCGAAGAACAGATGGAACTCAAAGCAACTTTCAACCAATACCAAAGTGAGAATCTTCAATACGAATGTCAAGGCAGTTCTACTGTACGGAGCTGAAACTTGGAGAACTACCACAACCATCATCAAGCAGGTACAAGTATTTATAAATAGCTGTCTACGCAAGATACTCAACATCCATTGGCCGGATATCATCACCTACAGCCTTCTGTGGGAGAGAACAAACCAGCTTCCAACTGAAGACGAAATTAGGAAGAGACGATGGAAATGCATAGAACATACATTGCGCGAATCATCAAACTGCATCACGAGGCAAGCTCTAACTTGGAACGCTGAAGGGAAGCAGAAAAGAGGAAGGCCATAGAACACATTACGTTGGGAAATAAAAGTAGATATGAAAAGGATGAAGAACAACTGGAAGGAGCTGGAGAGGATGGCCTAGGACAGGGTTAGATGGAGAATGCTGGTGAGCGGTCTATGCTCCTTCACGAGGAGTAACAGGAGTAAGTAAGTAGGTAAGTAAATTTTTAGATATAGATTTCTTTCAGTAAAACAATTAGATTTTCTGTTTTCAATGAGTTAACTCACAAAATATTGTTTGATTCGATTACAGTAGTGTATCACAACAGAAATTATGATCGTTTGCTACGTTAAATAGTTTTCTACCTATTATGCACTAACTCTGAGTTTCATTCATCTAAAATAATTTTATCATTGAATAATAAGCAGCTACTAATCTTTTTTTTAGAGTTATTTTCGTGATTCATGGAATACGTTTGATTTTATTACGGTAGTTGGTAGCATAACCGATGTACTTGTTTCTGAGCTACAAGTAAGTAATTGTATGTTTTTTTATTTCCATTAATTTTACATTTTATAGAACGACTATTGGCTTCGCCTAAGATATTTTTTGATACATACAGATTTAGTTTAAAACAGAAGTTAATGGTCGAGTTAAGAATGTGAGTTTCATTCTGCTTGGAATCAATATCTAGATGTATATACATACCAGGCCTGAAATTAACACATATTATAGTGAATGAGAACACAAGTGGGGCCAATCGGATGTACTTGAATACAAAATTACAGAACATATTAGTAAAATCTGTGAATCGTACAGTGAAACATTCATTTGCAAAATGTCAACCAATCATCTCAGACTTCATTGTTCCTTTGTTTACACATCAATCAGTCTCTGCACTCAGCCTCTTTTCTTTGGTCTTCTCGACCTTCCGCCTCCAGACATTTGACTTGAAACTGATGATATACACTACTTATATTTGTCGACATCAGTAGCACAAACCACAATATCATTCTGAATTCCGAATTGCCCTAAAGCTAAGAGCAACATCAAAAAGAAGTGGTAGTTATTATTATTCAGTAAGCTGGTTGATAACGTTTTAATATTTTAGACGGTACTTACTCGTTTCTAATCACAACACTAAATTTCTGACATGTCTAGTTGACCAGTTGCAAATATAGACAAACTATGTTCAAAACTTCAGTCAGTCAACCAAAAGCAGCTTAGGAACCAAAACGTACGTAAGCCAGTTCAAGCTATTATACTACATCGATGACTTTGAGGAAGGATAACAACATTTTGCTAAAATATAGAAGTTCAACTATATTCTCGTAATGGTTATTACTTGAACAGTAGGTTATTTTATATAAAGTCTCTGTAATCTTCAAAGCATTTTGAAGACTGAATTTCGGTCTCTATTCTTCGGCATTGCCCGTATTCATTAATTTTAAACGGCTAAGTAACTCAGTGTTGCTAGGTTTTGCCTAGCTGCTATTAATGTACGAGCTGTCCGTCAACACATTTCAGATTTCTCCCGAAAGTCCAAGAGCCATCATCCTGAATTTAATTTCTTTGTCCGTAAACTGTACTTATTTACCCGTTAAATGATGGCTTTGGATTCGATCTTGTGTGAAGGTAGTGGATAGGCTTACACTACTTTAAACGAGTATAAAGCATCTATTTGGTGTTTTTTGGTTCTAAAATGTTCTCCAACTGTTATATGATGAAAATTTTCTTCGCACTGAAAAAGAAGAAAATTGTAATTAATGTCTATTTCATCTGATTGTTGACATCAAGATAAATTACTGTTTCTTGACAATAAATCACTTCATACTGTCTCTTTTTCGGCATTTGCTTAGTGTTCAAGTTTATTTTAGACAAGTATACGTAATGATAAATGATTATAAGCAAAAAATAAAATGAATTAAAACTCTTAGTAAATTAAAAAGATTACTTTCAATAGTTAAGATGCGTACATAAGCGTTTATTGAATATGATCAATTATGTTATAAAAGACAGATTTAAGTTGTAAGTACGTTCTAACCAGTATCTGGTAAATCATTTGCTAATTAACTGTACACCACATGAATGGATTTGATTACATTTAATGTGACTATCATTTGTCTGTACAAACGAGACGTATTTTAGCCTAAATAAACTGGGAAAAAACTAAATACCAGTAGTATAACCATATTTCGAAAAATTTGATTGATATAAAACGAAGATGATGAAACTAACTATTTCTTCAACTGAATGTATATCCGTTTGGATTTGAAGGAAAACTAAAATGAATGTGTTTACTTCAAAGAACCCTAAAAGTTTATATGGATCGGATGTGTCTCAAATTTATTTGTAACTGATTCAGTGATTATCATTAGTTCTTTTCCGATAAATTACTATTAATTAAATAATCTATACTTTTATATTTAAATATTTACATGTTATAAAATGAAATTCAATATTCTTCATCAACGTAATACCGTCCACATAGTTTATTTCTTAAATTAATTGTATATGATTATTATTATTATGTATTGTTGTTCGATCGAACATATTCGACAATTATTCCTAATAGATGACGTTTTTCCTAGATATTTTACTCAGATCACAGAAATATTAAGATTTACTTTTAAAACGATGACATCTATAAACTTTTGACTAGTTCTAGTATAAATCTGTGAAGATGGAGCTTCCTCTGTAGAGACTTTTAGAACCAGAATAATTTAGGATGCCTTTACATTACTTCTCTTAGAACTGAATTCACCTATAACCAACTTATTGTAGGTCAAGTTGTATTGATTTACTGTCATTCTTACAGCCTACCTTCAACTACATAACATCTCAACATAGCTCATGCTATATCGAGTCACTCATATTAGTGATCACATTTCAAAATGATCGATAGAATTTGACTGGCACTAAAAGACCTAGACAAATATAATATTAGTCACTTCTCCGTTATTTATCACGTCTACAGAAATATTATATACGTTTTTTTTATTTTTTGTCTATTTCAACATTAACAGAATTACTCTACTCAATAAGATAAATCCATGTGACTGTATATCCTAAGTGATGTTGCTTTTTTTATTTTATTTACAGGATTCATCATTTCTTAACTTGGGGTTTTTACGACTATTTCGTGCAGCTCGTTTAATCAAATTAATTAGACAAGGTTATACAATCAGAATACTATTATGGACATTTATTCAATCATTTAAAGCACTACCCTATGTTTGCCTACTTATTACTATGTTATTCTTTATTTATGCTGTAGTAGGAATGCAAGTAAGTTTACTCCAGTTTCTTAGTGACTTTTACATTAAGTTCTTTAGGAAGATCAAAATAACAAGCTAAACAATTAGCACATTTCATTCAGAACATGATCAACCTCAGCTTTAATTTTCTAAGTGATAATTGATATAACTATCAGAAGTGAAGACTCATTGGTTGTTTTGTGATATTCTATTTCCTCCTTGATCACCCCTACTTTTTATCTGATAAATGACCTTATACCTTAGTTAAGTAACAGTATAAATTTTTCAATGATATAACTTCAGCCTTTCCAGTAATTAAGTTAAACTGACCGTACTGTTTTAACGGTACATTAGAACATTAATGAAGTGTTTAAAATGTAGATTGAAACAGCTCTAAATTTGAACATATTCTTCAAAAAACACGATTTCATTGTGTAAACTATCGCCAAATAGAAGTTTTTCATTTGATAAGTTTATTGTATTATTCTTTTACCAATACGGTATCTTTTCCTTAAGCAGCATAGTTTTTACTAAGAGAAAACGAATTGTATTTGCTTACTTGTTTCAATAAACAGCCAAAAAAAGCTATCGACCCAATTTTATGAATAATTCATTCAGTTAATCTAATTGAAGTAATCAAATCAACTAATTCTGGCCAATCAGCGGATGATACTTAAAAGTCATTGTATCTAACTCAATATGACTAAGCTTCTTTTTTCTAAACAAATAATTAGAGTTTAGATTAAATTAAAGTTGATTTTCTCCGCGTATATATATCATTTGAGGAAAGATTAGATAAAAGGAAGAGGTGGATATCTCTTTTTTTCTAGTATGGGATTCGTCAACATTCCAGATTCACAACCCTGCAACGAAACGAACTCATTATGTTCAAATTTCTTACCTAGTGCGTTGCCTTTAAACCACTGGTTTTCCACCTGAGGGTTTACATTAACGGTTTCAGTCAGTTCGTATTATGATGCGGCAGTCGTCTAGCATCATTTATGAGTAGTAGTGTCCGTTCCGACAGTGCTGAACTCCTGTTGTCAAGATTTTTCATCTAAACGTCAAGAATCCATTACAAAATCCTCCAATTTCGAAGACAGGTCCTATTATTGAATCACAACATTTCAAGAAACACTGGAAAGAGGAAGCCACTAGATAGCTGTTTCATCTCAGCTTGTGACTCTTGATCAATCCGGCACTTGAACCACACATGTGACAAGTTCTCTCTAATTTTTTACCGTTCTTAAGCTGACATCAATTCGTGTTAAAAGCTATCATGAAAACATTTTAAAATTTCCACAAATCCACTTTACATTAGTAATAGAACTTAATGACTAGTATTTACTAGAAGTATATTTTAATACAACTAAATTCTCTCTAAAACATATGATAATTAAAAATTAAAGTTCACATATACTTTAGCTGTATATTCATAATTGTTATTATCATCACTATAAATTTTAAATTGAATGAACTCTTTATGTACAAAGATGAAATAAGTGACCGGAAGAAGTAACAATGTTGAAGTTGTAGATGAGAGCAAACTAGGTAGCGAAACAAGAAAGAAGGCTGAATAAAACTTTACAGAATGTAGCTTTATGTATATATATAGCTGTACTATACTATTATAATTACAACTTTCAGAAGAAAACTTCTACTCAGATATAATAATGGTATATGCTTTAGAAAATACAATGAAGCCAGTATTTTTGTCACACATACTCTTTCTTTGTTCGATTAAATACAACATTAATGATACTTTGAATTATAGAGAAAAAACAAAGGAAGATTAAATGTATTAAATTAAAAAATAAAACAATTTAAAATAATAATAATCCATTTGAAGTGAATTCAACGTAGTTGCGCACGTCTTTATACATACATATATAATTTGTACTGTTGCTATGAAGCGTTTATATGTCCCCATAAAATATAGCAAATCAATTAAGCTACGAGAGATAAAGGTCTGTCGGTATATACATTAAAGCTTATTTGAAGTGAATGGGATTAAAGTAAGAAGAAAATTAATGAATATACGTTTGATGATGTAATGGAAATTAAGTGTATTTAAAAATGAGAAACAATTATTATTCTTTAACTAAGATAGTTTATATCATGGAATGATAATCATTATAAACTATTGAGAGATAAGTAATTATCTCTTCCTAGTAAACAACTCATTAGTGTATATTCGCTGTTCCACAAAATAATAAAATCTATGATCTTTGGATTTCATAACAATGAAATTATCTTTAGGCTGCTCTTATTCCGAATCCATTATATTTGTAATCTTTTGCAACTATCATCTGTGGCTGTCATTGAAATTATATGGTGTTTGATATTGTTGAACTCCACCAGTCACCCCTCTTCATTAAAAGTTCGGGAATTCTTCCAGAAGTTAGTCGATAAATAAATTTATTGATAAAAAAACAAGTTAAACAATGTACATGTATGCCTACAAAGACTGATTAATCAATTCAAGAACTTAATATTGATAATGAAAAAAGTGCAAACACAAGTGCGCATACAGTGACAGGTAAATAAGTGTGTTGATAAGTATAGTTAAAGATCATCACAGCTGGATATTTAATAATTGTTGCAATGGTAACTTCTGAACATTCGGGCTTCAAGACTCAAACATGGACTCATACCTTCTTTGAACTGCATATATGATATTTACGTGTCATAGGAAACTTTATGAAGGTTAGACTAATTTACAGACAATATAGTTTACGAAACGACATCATTCTGGGATTCAATAAGTTACAGATCACTTGATGGCTGGTTTTGTCTTGTTGTACTGTCCAATTCAGCCACAAGCACATATTTAAACTTTGACCAACTAGTTATTCGGGGTAGGAAATTCAAGACTAAATAAATAGCTTGATTACTAAAGGCCAATTAATGATTTTCTCTATTCATGAATACCTGTAGGTCACCAAAATGAAACATTTTTCCGGTGACCTAAATCAAATACATGATTTCTAACAATGAAAACATCTTCAAATAAACAAGGAAATGACACTCTCTTAAAGATAACACTGAATTTACCCACTGTTTATTGATTCGGCATGAAAATAATCCTGTCACTCTTAAAAATAAAATACAGAGAGCAAGATCTTGTCTTTTTGATCCATATCCTTATTTGTGTTTACAATTTCGGAAATATTTCTACTCATATGAATTCAATCAGTAGACAACAATGGTACGGTTTAGATTCAGTATATTTTATATAACATGCTGTTTCTTATAAATTCATTCTTTTAAAAGAAATTTTCCAAGAGGTTTATCAGTAAACATCTAACCAATCGTAGATAAAAACTACTTCAAATCTATCTTCGAAACTAATATTCGTCTGAGATCATTCACAACTATTTGATATTCATTATGTTGTATCGATTGCTTCCAGACGTTTTTTACCCGTTCATTTAATGATTAAGTACTGTATATTGGAATGTAGTTTTTATTTAAGTTCTCATTTCAAGTCCAAACTTTTTACTGTATGTGGATTTTTCAGTTGACATATGGGGCTGTCCTATATTGTCTATGTCCAAAGCAAATAGCTGTGTATAACTCTACTTAATATTATAATTGTTAACTAAGTATCAAATGGTAGAATTGAAACTTTATAACAAACAATTTAATAGGCTAATTCGCATTAGAAGTATAAAGTTTTAAAATAAACTTTAATAATAAAAATTAGTAACCTGTAGTTTATGAGCTGTGGATGAGTAAATGAAGCGTTTTCTTGTTGATCAAACTAATCTAATTTCGCTCTCGTCTTAACAACCCAGATATTACTGCTACTAATCATCATTAAAACTCAATGTAATTTTAAACATACTAGGCAAATGAATAAACTTGATAATTAAATTACATATTAATGAGTAATATACCTTTTTTTCATTTCCCATTAGTAAAATCATATCATCATGTTATAAATATATATACACTGATAAGTGTACTGATTCATTTATTTAATATTTTTAACTAGATATTTGGCACGATAGCTATTAATGAAGCTGAAGGACAAATTACAAATTACAATAATTTTCATAGTTTCCCGTACGCAGTTCTGTTATTATTTCGGTAGGTTTAAATAATTATATATATATATATATATATATATATATATATATATATATATATATATATATATATATTATGCCTTATTAAAAGATTCCCTTAAATTTGAATAAATAGTATTGCACTGAGGTAGATACCTGTCTCTACCCGATATGTATTAGCTCCATTTGTTCACGGCTTCTCACTAGAACTCCGAGAATTCCCTCACGAAGCTAGTCACTAGTGAGCACATGGTAATTATTAGTATGGGGTATTTGGAGTATTTGATAATTCTTTTATGGTGGGTATTTTTTCAATTTAATTCTGTTTGTAGGTTGTTTTTCTTTCTTACTTCATTAATTTATATGATACCGTTTATCATTTAAAAGTTAGCAATCAATTATAAACGTATGGAAATCCGTTTAGTTACGTAATGATTAAAACTGATGAATTATTGTAGATTGTACTTTTATATTTCATGCATTATAGTAACGTATCTTAAAGATTAGAATTTAAAACCATTCATATTGTGTTCTCTTATTTTCACTGATTATTTAGTAAAGAGGACGTTACTAATCTTATCATCTTTATAAAAGTGGACGAATAGGAGTGAATAGGAGTTGAGGAACTTCTTCTCTTAAAATGATTAAAATGTGATTTTTTTAATAGAAACAAAGATAAATAACCAGTATAGGGGTTGTAAAGATAATTAAGTTTTTGATTGAGATCATGAACCAATTGATGTTAGACTATCATTGAAAACCTGGAAGCACTGTACGGCCGTTCCGTCTTATTGTGGGGCTCCTCAGTGGTGCGCATCCACGATTTCGCTCGTGGGATACGAACCCAGGGCCTTCTGTCTCGTGAGCGAACGTTTAACCTACTGGACCACTGAGCCGGCATCCAATTGTGTTAATGCCTAACCTCAAGATAAATAAATTGTTCTTCATACTAATAACAAAGTTGATAATAGTTACCTATGAAATCTTGAATATAAGCTTTCTTCTACCTCGAATTTCTTCACTTCGAACTTAAGTATTATCTCACTCATATCTTACGCATTCAAAGTTTATTAGGTAGCTTTTTTTACCATGACTAGGAGCTTCGGTTTTTTAGAATTTTGTACAGTACCGAAACTACGACTTGAAATTTGACATTCATGAGTTGAGTTAATGCTTAACAATCAATCCAATTTCATTTGGAGTGTATTAACTAACATTTATCTTCATTCTTGGTTATGATCTACTAAAACTATAAGATTTAAAATGAATTAAATAAGACTTGAAAATATTGAGAATCCCTGTTATGTTTTACTTTAAATAAGATTTACATAAAATAAACTAGAATTTATATGAAAATTAAAACTTGAACGTTTAATTATTTTCAGAAAGAGGTTTTGTGGATATTATAGTAATTTAATAGTTAAATTCCTAAGTCAATTGAGGCTAGACCACCATGGAAAACCTGAAAACACTAGAAGGCCGTTTTGTCTTAGTATGAAACTGGATGAATCTTGGATATGCAATGTTGAGAAGTTTCACACTAGAACGAAATAGTCATCCAGTTCTTTCAAGTTTTCCATCATGATCTAGTTTCAATTAACTCATGAACTTAACTATTAAATTTAATTGTTTTCTTCACATGAACACTGACAGATTTCTTACAGTTCATCAATTTTTGATAGGCATTGTTTGTTTTTCATATATCAACTCATGTCAATTTCTAATGAGAACTTTTTTCAAGTTAAAGAGGACTTTAAGAATTATTTGAATTATTGATAATTTTCACATTATTTACTCTCTCTCTCTCTCTCTCACTTTCTCTATCTATTCTTGTCATGAACAATTGTTTTCATCAACAGGTTCTTTTTGTATTTTCTAATGAATATGTAGATTATTTTCACTTTTATTCTAATCTCTACAGTTTACAAAAAGTAAAAGAAGAATCTTTCAAGATAGAAGAGAATTTTTCAATTTTTTTTCTCTTAGATGTAGTTAGTACAATCAATCTCATGAATTGATTTCATAATCATGATTGAAGAATGGTGAAAATTATTGACAAAACGCCCTAAATAAATGAGTATTAAAAGATAGAACAAGTGGTTAATAACAACAATTGTTTGATATTAACAAAATCACATAGTTATATATAAAAGTAACGAACGTTATTTAAGTATCGAATGATTTGAAAATTTAGGTTTTCTAGGTCACTTAACAGTGCATAAAATTATGACCTAACAACATGGCTTACTTACTGCCAACCAATTTAGACCATTTGTTTAAAATGACATTTAAACACTCTTACTTTATTTCAATGAATTAATTATATATGATGATAATCAGACATTATCAATCGTTTCTTCAATCAGTGGAGTCAAGATCCATGAAGAAAAATACACCAATATCAAGCCTAAGTTAAGGATTTCCTCTCAATTGATTTCAACCACATAACATTAAAACATAGGCCATCCGACGTCTAGTCAATTATAATAGTGACTATATTGTAACCTGTTCGATAAAATTCGGTCAGCACCAAGGACCCAACAAAAATGAAATCATTCATTGTTCAGTGATCAATCATTGCTGAAAATAATACAATACCGAAGTATTAAAAACTGATCATTTGGTGATAACTAGTGTTGTGTTAGTTCTCAGCTATTGTTTGTTTAATTCTATAATCCATCTTTACAAAGAAACTAATGAACAAACTGATTTGAAATGGCGATACATTTTGATTACTGGTACATTAGTTTAAAGAGGTTTTCAACTATTTAGTGACGTCAACAAAGATGTCGTTATTTGAACGGTCAAATAACGTACTGAATATTTAACTGGTTGATAAACAGTGATTCATTATAACTTAGATAATAAAGCATCTACATTTTGAAATAGATATGAAGTAAATTGATTAAAACTTAATGTTTTGCTTGGATATCATGCAAATGATGATTTATTGCGTTAGAAGAAGAAACAAAGACGTATCTAACTAATACAATTTCGACTAGAGCCATCCGCTAATGTCTATTACCATCATGTCCATCGTGTCCAATGGGCTAGATGCAAAAAAACAAAATAATTAAAAGCTAGGGTTTATAATGATATCTTAATTGAAAACTGAACTTTAATATACAGCAATGAAGACAAATAGTGTAGCACCAGTCTCTTTAGCAGAAGGCCTCAACATACACAAGGGAAAAAGCAAGATCCTTAAATACAACACGGAGAACACCAACCCGACCACACTCGATGGAGAAACTCTGGAACAGGTGGAAATTTTCACGTACCTGGAAAGCATCATCGATGAACGTGGAGGATTTGATGCGGATGTTAATGCTAGAATTGTCAAAGTGAGCGAATTATTCCTACAATTGAACAATATATGGAAATTAAAACAACTGTCTACAAGACAACATCAAAGTCAGAATATTCAATATGAACATCAAGACCGTTTGTTCTATTGTACGCAGCTGCAACTTGGAGAACTAACACAATCATCATCAAAAAGGTACAAGTAATTATAAACAATTTTCTACTCAAGATAATCAATCTCCGTCGGACCGATGCCATCAGCAACAGTCTATTGTGGGAAAGGACAAGCCAACTTCCAGATGAGGAGGAAATTAGGAAAAGACGTTGGATGAGGATAGGATATCGATTACGAAAATCAACAAGTTAAATCACGAAGCAAGCGCTAACTTGGAATCCTGAAGTAAAATGGAGAAGAGGAAGGCCGAAGAACACACTACATCGGGAATCGGAAGCAGATATGAAAAGGATTAATAGTAACTAGAAACAACTGGGAAGGATTACCGAAGACTGAATTGTATGGAGAATGCTAGTGGGTTGTCCATACTCTTCCATGAGGGGTTACAAGCGTAAGTGAGTAATAAACAACAACCATTTACGGTATGGAAAATGACTAAATGTTGTTTGTTTCACTCAGTTACTGAATCTTCAAACGTTGCAGATAATGCGAATCAGTCCCTAAAAGTAAAGCCCTATCTCGAGACATTCATCACATAGCAACTGGGTAACATTAACTTGTCTCTGATTTGAAACTAGCATTATATTTTCTAGCCCTTAGATCTAATCGAATTCTACTAATAAGGTAGTCATGTGACCACACGTTGAAACAACTTGACATCGTGGTACAGGTTGCTTGACGTTAGTACATCGGTCATAAACATCAAGAATCCAGCCGTGTGTCTTCAGCTATGAGTGCTCTGACTCTTTCAATGGGTTGTAAACATATGTTACAGCATGAGACGTTATCATCAAGCTACTTGAATGATAGTTATTTGGTTGCTTAGAGATTTATTGGGTTACTAGTTTACTGTATTACAGTCTTGGGTTTTAATTGGACATATGAGTTTTCGTTTTAAAAATTTCACGTTGATTTGTAGTGAAACTTCAATTTTTCATCTATACGTTCTAATAATAATATTCATTTTTCTAACCATTTTCTACTCCCTTAATTTTATCAATCATTCAACCTATACTAGGAATGTATCATCTGTCAATTCAAGAACGAATATTCTATGTATTTTACTACAAATTCCCGAATAATAATAATTTTCCTATACTTTTATACATAAAATTTTTATTTCCACTATTTTCAGTTGTGCTACTGGTGAATCATGGCAAGAAATAATGCTTGCTTGTACCTATGGACAAGAATGTGTTAATCGTGCATCAAACAATTGTGGAAGCAATGCATCTTATACTTATTTTGTATCATTTAATTTCTTTTGCTCGTTTCTTATGCTCAATTTATTTGTTGCTGTAATTATGGATAATTTTGATTATTTAACAAGAGATTCATCTATACTGGGGTCACATCATTTAGATGAATTCATACGTGTATGGGCTGAATATGATCCAGGTGCAAAGTAAGTCTTATGAAAATGGAGTTTAATAAACATCAAAATATTATAGCTCTGAATCCATATATATATATATATATATATATATATATATATATAGCTTTCTTCAATAAGTGTTTCAAAATAATACTCATGAAAGCGTCTTAAATATCACATTAGAAAAGATAAACGTTTCGCTATCCAACATAACTTGTAATAAGTATTGATTCTTAAGTCATTTTTCACCACAGAGGAATATCGATTTACGAAATATTAAGAGCGAAGAGGCACTGAAGATATTTCTCTCTTGTTCGGTACTCAATAGCTATCCTCACTTTACATAGAATACAACTTGAGGCATTCATGTCACACGAAAACAAAGATATCTCAAGATATTAAACCCGTCAACGAAGTGAGAATCGTACCATCATTAATGACTAGTTGTTTAATGAACAACCCAAATTTCTTGTTAGAAAATTTGGTCATCATTGTCATCCATGTTTATGGTACGACACGTTTCTCTGATATTGCTACGACATACACCAACAGAAGTTGAATGTGCAAAACAGTCAATTTCAATGCTATAGTCTTAAATGAGTCACAACCTCGCTTTCTAACTTAGTTATCTCTTCAAATAAATCTAAATCTGTTTATGTGTGTTGACTGGTTTTCTGTCATTTTGTCTCATAATGTAGCTTGTTTACCAAGTACAAGCTAGTGTATTCAACTTTGCCTAACAATATCTTTATGGATTTCATTAGTATTAGCCAGCTGCTTAAAAAGGACATGCACGAAATAGAAATTCGGACGTTTCACCTATTGATTGAAAGTCAATTATCCTAATCTCTGCCAAAATTACTTCAACGACAATAAATTATATAACTGACTTTAGAAGTGATGGATAATACCTATTAGTGGAATCCAGGTCATGAAATTCGTTCAGTTTGTGACTCGTCAGCTAGATTTACCTGCATCCCAGAGTTGACGTTCACTCTAGTACTTGAATACAGAACCGTTAGCTTCAAACTCCATCGCATTATCCCCTTAGCTGCTAATTCCAGATAGCCTGTAGTTTGTGCAACGGGGCAAAGTTTAATTCATTCCGCATTGATTGTTTGAATCTTCTCAACTGATCAGTCTCATATTGGCATTCCTGTATTTTGTGTGGATTGCCTCGATATTGCATTACTGCAGCCCTAAACGCCAATGGGAAAATCCAAATAACCAATACAAAAATGAATATAACTGACAGTATAGAATTTAAATTACCATACCTTGAAAAATACAAGTGCTGAATTGTACTACATAAATAATGTAATGTATCATATATTTTCTTTCATAAAAAGAAGCTATCACAAGTAGCAAGCAAATGTTTGGCGGCATTATCGAAAACACACGCCTTCAACATGTCATATTACAGCTTATAAAAACAGAAAAACGTTTAACTGCTCTATTGTTTCCCAACATTTATGCATTTAATTTTCTAAAAAAATAAGCTCCTAATAACATTGGTATTTAAATACTACTCTAAATATGCTTCTCTTCTCTTTATAAACTAAATAAATATGAAAGATCATTCTGTTCCATTGAATTTTACCGCTACTTACACGTACGCACATATAGACAGACATGCAAAATCTAATTACTATTTCAACTTAATTAGAATAATAAATTAGATGTAATATATTAGTCACTTACTATAAGTAGTATGCTTATTTTCACGATTTTTTTTATTTGGCCGAATAAAATAAACTTAGAAATATTTGTATCATTCGAAATTTCCGAAGTTTTTTCCCAAACAAAAAATTTATTGATATAATCTCATATACAATGACAATATGTTAATAAACATGTATGTACAAAGCTTTAATCACTCCATATTTTATAAACAAATAATTTCAATAATTGAGATCATGAATCAATTGAAGCTAGACAACCATAGAAAACCTGGAAGTATTGGATGGCTGTCTCATCCTATTGTGGAACTCCTCAGCAGTGCACATCCACAACTCTGCCTCACGGGATTCCAACCCAAGACCCATCAGTCCTACCCTCAAGCGCTTAAACACCAGACCACTGAGCCGATATCCAACGGAGTTAATGTCTAACTTCAACCAATCCACGAAATTGAGAGACACATCTACTATTGTCATCAGTGTGTTACTATCTCACAACTCAACTGGTCACTGTTTCCCACTAGAACTCCAGGATATACACCTTGAAACCAGTCACCAGTGAGCATATGTTAATTAGTATCAGAAGGGATTGTCGAAGAAATAAAAGGACAAGATACAAAGCGAGCATTCTATAATGTTCCAGTTAAGTGAATTGTCGATGTAGGAGTTCACCCGGGTCTGTATCCAAACAAAATGGCAATAAATATTATTGAAATTTATTGATTCAACAATTTAGTGAACCAATGGTGTCAAGCCGACATTGTGTATATGTGAACATTACTAGAGAATAAAACTCGCTATCGAATTCTATCGATCAAGTTGATATATATCAACTAGTCTGAGTGACAAATGGATTCCATGTTAGCTTAATAATTATAATTTTCTCACTAATGGCCATATTTAAGACAGACTCCTAAAGTTAAAGTGAATAGTAAGCGGTGGAGTTCTGAAATCAGAAGTTCAACAGTTGCTGACTGATATTAGTAGGTAGTCTTCACACTACACAACAAAACACAATAATCTAGATGTATCGTAATTATCACAAATTTGGATCATACCATCCGATAATGTGTGAACCATTAAAGAGTCTCAAATGAGAAGAACCAATTCTACATTTTCCTTTGTTTTATTTTCTTAAATATTATCCTCTTGATATCAGTCTGTAATAAAAACTAATATCATAATTACTACATCAACATATTTTGTTGATTTTTAAGCATCCACTATTTCTGTAATCAATTTTATTTACAGTATAATAATCCAATTCCTCATTAGTTAACATTCAAATGACCTTCATTTTCAATTTAAGTTTAATAAGTGTAATTGTTGCATTAAACTACTTTATTATCATCATCATCACTACTTTTAGCATTAACAACTAAGTTAACTTTTTTTACTTGAAAGTATTCTTTACTATCATTAATTACAATCAGTAATATACAATATAACAACGCCTATTATCTACAAGGTTAAATATGATCATTTGATTTTAATATTCTGATTCTATTGTTTCAATAATTTATGATTATTATCATTGGCAATCATTGTTTAAACTTTCCTTTTGCTTTACTATTGTAATTCAAAATGTAATGATGCATAAAACAGAACTCAAACTGATACAGTTATTAACAATTACTATTGATAATGGTAATGATGTTATAAAACAGATTATGTCCATATTTTTTAAATGGATGTCGTTGTAGAATTATTAGTGTACTTTAAAAACAATTTTCAATATGAATTAACACATGCTGGAAAACCGTTGAAAACCAAGGTTTAGAAAACATTGTGGAACACTTCTGAAATGATTAATCTGATTTTTGATTGTTATCATGTCCCCTTTAAATGAACATACTTTAGGGTAGGTTAACAAAATGGGCATAGAATGCTTTTAAATTAAGTAGTTCGTTCGTTACATCAAGCTTACATGTTTATACATATTTTGATTGAGACGAGAATAATTAAATTCTGTCACATGAATTTAGGTAAACACCGTGAAACTATGAAAACCATGATTTTTGTAGGTTAAATCATGTCAGTAAGGCATATCTGTAATCTTGAGAAACCCATGCTCTTCCAGAATTTCGGACTCTACAAACAGCCACATAAATGCTGTACCGTTTAGATAGTAATCTATCTATACTAAAAAACTCAGATGCTGGCATTATTCACAATTATTGAGTAGTAACTAATGTCATGTTATCGATCCACACATACTTACTTAATTAAGCCTGGTACCCCTCGTGGAGGAGCATATGCTGCGCACCAGCATTTTCCATACAACTCAGTCTTCAGTAATCGTCTCTAGTTGTTTCTAGTTACTATTCATCCTTTTCATATCTGCTTCCGATTCCCGATGCAGTGTGTTCTTCGGCCTTCCTCTTCTCCATTTTACTTCAGGATTCCAAGTTAGCGCTTGCTTCGTGATGTAGCTTGTTGATTTTCGTAATCGATGTCCTATCCTCATCCAACGTCTTTTCCTAATTTCCTCCTCATCTGGAAGTTGGCTTGTCCTCTCCCACAATAGACTGTTGCTGATGGTATCCATCCAACGGACATTGATTATCTTGAGTAGAAAATTGTTTATAATTACTTGTACCTTTTTGATGATGATTGTGTTAGTTCTCCAAGTTGCAGCTGTGTGCAATAGAACAAACGGTCTTGATGTTCATATTGAATATTCTGACTTTGATGTTGTCTTGCAGACAGTTGTTTTGAGTTCTATATGATTCCAAAGTGTCCATTTTATTCTGTGCTTCCCCTCAGATGACGAGATCTTCATAATCCAGTCAACCACCGGAAGAAAAAGTAAGGAGGAGAGTAAGCAATGTCGTCTGACTCCGGTCCTCACTTGAAATGCGTCTTTCATCTCTCCTCCATGCACCACTTTGCACTGTCGTACGTCATAGTTCACCACATACACCAATTATTATTCAATGAACAATTATAGTGAACATGTAGTTTTATATCAAAACAAATGATGAGATTACAATAAACAAGAACTAAATAAATGAAGTTTTAACAGATATCTAATATTTCATTATCCTATCAATAATTGCAGTTCAACATAGGAAAATGTGACATAAATGGTTTATTAAATTGTCAATATTTAGTATTCATGTTCTTTCCAGTATCTCAACTATCAATTTGATTTTAAACCTAGAACATTCTTTTCAATAAATAGTCATCAGTTTCTACGGTGATAAACGCAAAATTATGTTCTTAAAGTGATAATCAAGTTTAAGATAAATACATCTATAAAAACTACATCATATGAATTTAAATTTGAAAGTATGATAAAATCAGTTTACTAAGACTGAAATGTCTAATATACCTTATTGACTTATTACTTAAAATGTGAATTATTCTTTTATCATGTATATATGAACTTGAAAATGGCTAATTTATTGATTGAGATCATGAAACGATTGATGTTCGGCCACCACTGAAAACCCGAAAGCACTGGACGGCCATTTCGTCCTATTGTGGGGCTCTTCAGCAGTGCGTAACCACGATCCCGCTAGCAGGATTCGAGCCCATGGCCTTCAGTCTCATCTGCGAACGCTTAACCTCTAGACCACTGAGCTGGTATTCAACGATGTTAATGTTAAACCTTCACCATTAATTGATAAATTAGACTCTGTTGATAAACGATGGGAAGAGATTTGTATACATGTCACTTTCATGAATTATAAAAAAGAAAATTTCTTATAGATTTATCTTTGAAAAGGTAATAAATAATTATGGTTGCATCTTATTTCTGTAAATAAATCATAATTCAATTCGAAATAATTATCTTCCTTTAATTCACCCTCTTTTTTCGGATAACATTTGAACTAAAGAAATTCACTTCTCTTTTTTATACTGTAATAATTGTCATGTGATAATTGTCTGAAGTTTTTGCGTAACCATTTTATTCTTTAGAAGAAAATGTAACGCATGATTTCTAACGATTATCATTTCTAACTGATAACACAAACATATTGACTAATTGACGAGAAACATCAATTAGTTTATAACATATGAGAAAGCATTAAATAGATACTTAGTTCTAGTCTATGCACATTTAAGTTTTCTGCACAAGATCAATCTTAGAATCTTCTAGTTCTATTTTGTCAAGAGTATCATAGATAACAGATTTAAAAGTCTTGAGTCTTGATCCAAAGGTGTTGGAGGTGTTAAACACTTTCAATTTTTTTATTGTTCACTAAATAATATTATTCCAAAATGAAGATTAGCAGACATTATACAAACAAAAACAACGATATTAATTTCCGGTTACTCTTTTATGATTCCTTACTGTTCTATCCGTAAGTATATCTTCTTAAATTAGAGAAAACAATCTTTATATCATAACAAGAAAAATCATTTACTTTCAGCTTTTGCATTACATATCACTAGTACAAATGAAATTGATAAATTATTTGTAGTTTATCTCATATCTTTATATGATTTGGATTTTTTACCATAACTTCAGTATTTTTACAGCCTAATTATTCTTAATCTAAGATAATAACTTGGAACATTATACAATACTCATGTTTTTTTAAAATATTAAACATGGTATGTAGTAACAAATTGTGTTACAGTTGTGCAGTGAAACATACCTGCTTCGGTTTGGTCACCCGGGCAGTATCACAGCCTTCACATATATCAAATGAGATCTATGTGGCACATATGTATTTGGTGCTTCCTTGTACCAATATCTACGTGTTAAAATAAATAAAATCAAACATACGACTACTTTCTTCATCCAGCTGTTTTTCTATAGGAAAAAAGACGACTTATCACTCGATCATTTATCGAATGATTGTAAGTAAATAAATAAATTTTAAATGATCTTTATTTTACCAAAAACCGTTTTGAAAAGATTTTTAACACAATTTCAAACTTATTACTATGTTAGATAAAAAAGTAATATATGAAACTATTTTGTTTTTTTTCATAGAGGAAGAATACATTACACAGAAATGTATGAAATGCTAAGAAAATTAGAACCTCCAGTTGGATTCGGTCAGAATTGTCCATACAGATTAGCGTATAAGGTAAGTTGAAACTTCAGTTATTTTAAAAGTAAATATTAGTAACTGAATTATAAATCGAGTCATCTTTACTTGAGACTGCATAACAGAACACTCATTTCAGGTCTTTCAATGAACAACACATCACTGAGCATTTGAACGGAAATCCATTGATTCGCATTTTTAACTCATCAGATATTCACTATAAGTCGCCGACTCATTTTCATTTTGGTTGATTCTGTATAAGGTCTTGAGCAAGTATTGAGTGTTCAGTGTTTCTTCAAGTATTATCAGTTCATAATAAAGATTTGTTTTCAGTTAGACATTTGTTGTGACAAGATAGAAATTATATTAGAACAGCTTTCCTTGTTTCTCCAGTTAGAAACTAACTTCTCTACAAATCTTCAGTCTTCATATAAGAATTCCTTCATAAATATAGAGTTCATATTCCCTATGCTTTTTATACATTGGACAGAAATTTTGTGATTATTTATCTGTTTTAAAGTCATCATAATAATATAAAATAGTGTTATCCCTTTTTCTAAAAAAAGAGAAGCCCATCTAACTAAAAGTTATTCTATCAAAGAAATAAACTTCATTAGTGTCAACAAGAAGTGTTTTGTTTGTGCAGTGAATAATCATATATTTATTCAGATTATGGTATTTACTTATCCTATTACTATTATATTGAGCAGGTAATATTATGTATAAAAAGAATGTTTTGGTTCAATAAAGAAGTACTTTCCATAGAGCTATGTACCAACTAATGAGCGAAACTATTTAGACTTATGAGTTCAGGACGCTTAATTTAACCGTATGAAAATTGTAATAAATAAATAAAATGATTTCCAGTACAAACTAACTTTATCAAAAGATTTATTGAGAACATTACACAGTGGTTAATTTAGCAATGTTAACTTTGTAGCGGATTACACCCAAGATTTTCAAGTCTTGTTAGGACACCACCACAATGTTATAAATGATCTCGATTAGTACAATCAAACATGTAGTGAGTAAGACAGTTAACATAAGCTGAAGTGATCATGTTTTCACTCTAAATAAATGTTTTAGTTTTACATCAGGGACTGAACTTGGTTGTATAACCGTTTAAAACAAAAGAGCTCTGGACAGCTATTTCATCCTATTAGCGAACTTCTTAACACAGAATGTTTACGACCTCCCAGAGATCGAACCCACTCTCTATGGTAGGTGCTTGACAATCAGACCACTGAGCCTGTATTCAGCGGTTTACATCTTTAACTTTAGTTAGTAAATGTGATAAGCAACCTTCTTAAACATATGAATTATCAATGCAATAATTTGTTGAATCTCTATTTTTATTAAGAAAATTCTTTGGTAAAGGTGAAGATCGATAGATAATCTGTTAAAAAGTGAATCATCATAATAGTATGCATTTTGTTGGTTGCAACGTGTTATGTTCACGTTTAAGTATATGCAGATTTAAAACTCTTAATGATCCAAACAATTTCTTCGACATTAATAATATATATTCACTTTATAGATAGACTTTCTAACGTGATTCATAAATATTTATGCAACAAGACTCTGGAACAAAATTTTGAAAATATGATCAAACTGAACTAATTCTTATATATATATTACTAATAATTTTTATTTTATTTGTACAGAAACTAATTCGTATGAATATGCCATTAGATAGTGCAGGAACTGTACATTTCACAACAACACTATTTGCTTTAGTTCGAGAATCATTAGGTATTAAAATGGCTCCAGCTGAATTTATGGATATTAAAGATGCTGAATTACGTGAAACCATTAAAACATTATGGCCGGTACAAGCGAAACGATCATTAGACTTATTGTTACCACCAGATTCAGGTAAATTAAAATTATTTTAAATAATTGGGTTGTGTGAGTAAACCGCATGTTTTTCACCAAATATTTATGTTTACCACTCTGTCCAGCAAAAATGTGAATTAATGTAGTAAAACCTTTATCATACAAAATTTAGAGTAATTCGATAACTTCACTAGATAACTCTCTCTAACCATCGGACTTAGATCCTTGTGATTTCTTGTTATCCTCATAGTCAAAATGGTCCTGAGGCGGTAGCACGGGGTTCATACAAAGATAATAAAGCCAATGAAAAGTCTGACTTCTAAGAATATCCAGGAGTGTTTTGAACAACGGGAAAGATGTGATAAGTCTGCTATTACGTATATGAAGTATATTCAATGGGATAAAAAATCAGCATACATGTAAACTGATTATCATCCAATAAAATGATCCTAGTATAATAAATATATAAAACAGAAAATCCACTTCGTCAGAAAGACTAATCCGAATTAGTTTCATGAAACCTTAATCCATGTAAGGATTTACAAAACATTATGTCAACGACAATTGTCAAAGTAACTTAGATATATCTCATCTAATAAAAATTTTATAAAGTTGACATACTAAATTGTTATGATCCCAGATAGACTGCTGATGAATGAAGGAAACTTTACCACCTTCTAGCTGGATAATATTATTAAACATTATACCTATGGACTCTCACTTTTTGTTTGTACTATCAACAACTCATTTTTTTCTCTTTGACACAAAATACACACTGTATTATTACAACTCGATGCAAAAATGAAAACAAAGATATCAGGTCAAGATTTATGGAATGGAGTATATGTGAATCTTGTCCTAACTTTTGTCTAATCATTTACGAAATAGTACTGCCGAAAACACTACTTTAGAGAGCAATAAAGGTTTTTACAGTCGATAGGCTAGTAGAAATAATAAACGGTAGAAAAAGATCCACAAGATAAGTGTAAAAATCTGAAAATAAAAAAGCTCAGAGAAAGTATAGTAAGGAAGGAACCATTTTTTACTGAATTATTTTGACTCCATAATCTTTTATTTTTTCTTATTTTTAACTGATTGACGCCTACTCACGTTAGATTTAATAATCATTAACCTGTCTTCATCTATTTATTGCATAATCAATTAGTTTTTAGCTCTACAATCTGTGTTACTAATTTGGTATTCTATAATCTTTTGTATGTGGTCCTGATTTGAGACATCTCAGTCTAATTAAATTTGTTTGAATCTTAGATCTATCATGATGATATATAGTCAATTCTAATAAACTTCAGTTGTTAAGTTCAATGTGCATCTCAAATTTTAAAATATCATAGGTTTTTAGAAGCTAATGAGAAAACCCAACTAAATAAAATGAACTCTCATTATTCTAGTCAAAACTTTATCGATGCTCTCTTCAATATAGATTAATTTGGGATTTATTAGTAATTACATGTGAATGATTATATCTTAGTCTTATGATATGATTAACATTGTGAGAATACAAAAACGTGTCATGCTGAATTAATCCGTAACATTGTGGAAAGTCAGTTATTAAATTATGATAATACCAACTTCCGAGCTAACAAAAATAATTGGTTTACTACATTACAAGATTTATCCTATCTTGACAAAAGTTCACTAAGTTTCTTGTTACCTATGTGGTTGCACCACGGTATTATACTGTACTGCTCAAGTCGTGTAAATGCCCGGAAAGCGTCTTGTTTTCTTGAAAACCAATATAAAACTACCATCTTGCAAAGTATATCTATAATTGTGTGAACTGTGACAAAAACATTTTCCAAGACTAACAACTTAAGACATTCTACAAATTAAATAAAATTCCACAGAACTTTTATAACGAAACCATAATTTTGAAATCAATAGTGACTTCGATATTAGTTTTTATAGTACTAGTAAATAGTCACGATCGATAGAGTTGAAATGTGTCGAAAGTGAAATATTTGTCACCGACAGATCCTGGCTTGTTGTCGAGCTTTATCATGGAAATGAAACGAAATATTGATTTCTACATGTTTGTAAATATACCATTTAATCGATTACTAATAAGCACACGACTCTTGGTTGATACAAAATGTAATATGTACAACTATTTGATCTGGTAGTCACATCATAAAATCTCTATCATTAAGGGAGAATAAAAATAAAACTATATACACATTGAAGAACAATATAAATAGTTATAAATTTTGTGTAATATTCTTTGTTTATTTCATTAAAGAATATACATTTACCCGTCTTACTGTTGGGAAAATCTATGCTGGATTATTGATTTATGAAAATTGGCAAATGAATAAATCCACTGGCAATAAAAAGAATTTACATCAATTGAATACTGTAAGGTTTTATTTACTAATTTATACCACTTATTATTCTTTAATCTACTATAAAATATTAATGAAATTAGAAAAGTGATATAAGACATTTTATTTTTAATAGTTGTTTTGTTTTAAATTGATATTGAATGGTTGTAGTTAGTCGGTAAGAGACTTTGTTCTTAGATTTCCTACTAATTGATACGTTTTAGCAATCTTGGGAGGATTGATGCTATTCACAAGGACAGACATTATCCAACGCATTGACCAGAGATATTTACAATTGAGCAAAGTGAACTGTAATTGACCTTCTATAGAAATGATGTTAATTTGAAGCGTTAAGCGTTAGGTAAATTAATATGATGGCCATAGTTTAAACATGACCGATAAAATTCGATCAGCTATTAAGCTTAAACAAAATGACATTGCTTGCTACTCAAAGATCGATTAGTAATAATTGTTTATATATAATTAGATTATAAGGGTTTGTTTGTTTCCAGCATTAACGGGCATCAGCTTGAGAATCATCACAAAACAATACCGCGAGCAACTATATCAGCAGTGATACAGTTTAGTTCGTTGTTTTATTTTCATTAATTGATAAAATAATAAGTCGATATCAGTCCATTCTGATATTTCAAGTTAACTATTACCGTCTTGAATAGCTTATTCTTGTTCAAATCTGTGTCACTCCTTTTTTGAAATATTCTATTTATTTAGAATCAAAAACCTGTTTTATATAGAATAAACTGACCTACTAAAATCATAAATATTTATCCACTCTTTCAGAGTTCCGTATATCTGTGAATGTTTTAGGATTTGGCACGGAATTAAAACAATACTTTATGTCGTGTACTTGTGACTTTGATAAACTGAGCGTCTCAACAAAATATATCTCATGAAATGTTTAGTAATCACATACAACCGTTACTAACCTTGAAAGGAACTAGTTAGGTACATTAGAATTAAGATGTAAAAACGGTAACTAAAACAATACACATTTTTGCCATGTACATAAACTGTTCGATAAACTTTAATCAATAAGATATATCATGTATAATTATTCATGAACAAGCCTTGAAAAAAATCCACCATATACGCTAACCAACAAAAAACCAGTAAGGCTTTCGAAGCCATTTAATGCATATAATAATGATCGTATCGATTACTCTGAAATAGCGTAGATTAACTCGTTATTGATATTTTGACTGAAATTCGATCAATCTGGGTATAGCATGCGAACATCCTGTGAGGATTGCCTCGATATACCCATAATGGCACAAGTTAACATGAAATAAATGAAATCTGATTAGCACTGAATTCAGGAGCGCTTTTTGCACCATCTGAGGGTCAAATTGAAGATCAACTTTGGGATCCACGTAAATCTAGCTGACGAGTCCCAAACAGGACGAAAGGCTAATCCCGGATTCCAGTCCCAGACACATTTCATCTTTTCTATATGGAAACACAGGGAAAGAAGCCAATAAACTAATAACTAGGTTGTCACATATGGCTAAATGAAAATATTTACTTTTTAAATTAGAATGTGTTTAGAATCTTGATAACTACATAATTATCCAATTCTACTTAAACAGAATACTCTATAACTATATCTGTTTTTTTACTATATGTACTTAACGAACGAATTGATATTTTCATTTCAGAAACCTATACTTGAAGCATGCTTAACTCAAATGTTAGGACATGAGTAAGTTCAACTTGATATATCCCTTTTTTGTAACATATATTTTTAAAAGTAAAAATTTGTAAAGACTGTTCAATCCAAAGATAGTTTGAACTACGAACTGAGGAATTTCATATTATGACGAAACACGTAACTAGTGACTCATAGTTTTAATAGTGTTGCATTCAGTCTGAAATCCAAACTAATTTTAACATAAACTTAAACAGATAATTTTATTCTTGTACACGCCTAATGAATTACGCTTTCATACTCAAAACGATGATGGATGACATGGCTTAGTTTTCATCCCTTTTTCGTTTGTTTTATCATGTCGTTTTACTTACTATTTTATTTCTCAATAACTGTGTTATGGGTGTGACATTTTCATGCTGATTATAATTTTTATCAACTGAAAAAAAACTGAATTATCATAAAAGTAACAATCGGAGAGTAAAATACCATAAAAAGTATCATTTGCCCACCGTGCCAAACCAATAACGTGTAGACTGGTACGAGAAGCCTAAAGTCTTCATTGGTCCTTCTCGCCTAGCCCTGACTGTTGATTCCAGAACACCAATATTAGCTTCCACTATATGAATAATATATTTCAAACATACTTGTTATAAATACAAACAAGCCAGTCTACATTACACCATGATATAGAAAATAACAATTATACAATATCAAACACAAAAGTGGCTGTGATTGTGAGAGACTGTAACTAACAAATTGGGAATAACTTAAGAATATTAAATCATATAATACTAGCCAATAGGTCAAATAAAAGCTTATGATATAAAATATATATATATATATAATCTAGTTAATTAATACTTATACAATAAGAATATATGTATATTTGTCCATAATTCGATCTTCTCCGGATACAACACAAAGAATATTAACGAAACGGCCGTCCAGTGCTTTCAGGTTTTCCATGGTAGTCTAGCTTCAATTAACTCATGATCTCAACTATTGAAATTACTACTATCTCCACAAAGCTCCTTCTGATTTTTGAATGTGTTGTATGTTTTATTTATACTACATTAGGAAACAAGCGGAAATTGATTCATTAAAAATTAACATGTATTTAACATTGTATTTGTGAATAACTTCCATAAACAGTTAATTTAATTAATACTTTTTTCAGTTTCAATGAAATTATCGTTATCTATTGTTAAAACACAGTAAATGATAATAGTCAATTATCAAAGTGAAAATTAACTTGAAGAATGGTGATGATAATTCTTTTGAAATGTCGACAAAAACTTGGAAGTTATATTATATATTATTTCTCTACTGCTGATAAGCCATAATTACTTATTAAAAATAATGATTTTCTATTATAGATTGAAACTAAATGGAAAGACTAATGAAAATTAAAAATAACTAAACAGTTATGTCATCTTAATGATATTTTACAGAACTGTATATTTCAGGGTTTTGGCATGTTATAGAATCCTTTGTATTCAAGCTTCATCATAAACTCAAAACTTCCAGAACAAACGACTTAAAACACAATTGTTTATGTTCTCAACTCATATCACTTTTTATAAGATAAATATATCAAATGTTATATGTTATATGTGAGATCATAGATTGAAAATGCTCAAGTATCAATACCAGAACAAAAACGGTTGGCCACCAATACATGATAGTTCTAATGATTCTCCGACTGACATCTGCTTGTGATCAAAATTTACTTTAAAAATAAAGAAGTTTCAGAGCTCATCCAACTAAAACTGTGTTCGTAAAATAACACTATATTGTAAAAGACTATGCACCGTATTAACAGTTTTTACATTTAACACAATTTAATTCTAATAAACTGATATTTTAAATTATTTATCATTATTTTTATTGCCAGTCCATTTCATCTTGCAAATCGTCTACCAAACTGTAGTAAAGAACATTCACGTTATGGTAGTAAAGTGGATCTTAGATCCATTAATAATATGGAAATAGATCATGTAAGTGAAACATTTTTTAGTCATTCTTAAACCTAATATTACCGACGAACTTATTTGTTTTTAAATTAACAACCTTTTATAAACTAGGCCAAATAATTTTTGATCACAATACATACTAACGTGATTGGTACTCAATAATATTTGTGAATAGTTGAAAGGATCTTGTGGAGAACGGTGTAATTCACAAATTATTATATTCATCAAAGACTATTCTAAAATAGTATATCACTGAAAACCCACAGAGTACTGGACAATTACTTCGTCTCTGTACAGGACCCCAAAGTGGTGATCACGCACGAAGTGGGTTGATAAATGAGGAAAACTTCAGAACACTCGTATAATAAGTTTGATTAGAACTTGTAATTTACAGATATCTATTGCCTAATCTCCAAGTACACAAACTATCAAAAATAATTTTCTTTCTATTTTTCTTGCAGATTCCTTTAGAAAATAATTACAAAGAGCAAACATTGAAATATAAACAGCACGAAAAAGAACTTGTGGAGAAATTAAATCAAATTAAACAAGAACAGTTAAATAATAATAATAAATATATGAGAGAAATATCGAAAACCACTAGCGAAATGACTAGAACTACTAATACTGTCAATAATGATAATATTACTAATAATACCAGACAAATCTTTCCAATTATTATCACATCACCTGAAGAAGAGAAATATGATAAGAAATCTCCCACTGAACAAGAATATATTCATAAAAATTTAGGTATTATTAATGCAGTTAATAATAATAATGACGACGACGATGATGATGATGATGTTGATGATGATGAGAGAGATGATGTACAAAATGTAGATAATTATCTATCACGAAAATCAATTCATTCTTTCTCTACTACAACTAGTACAGATTATACATATTATCCTAATGCACATTCAAATTACAACCAGAAACCACGAAATACATCACAAGATCAATATAACTCTCATATGAATAAAATTAAAGTATACACAAATATGCCAGATGCAGCAATCAGCCAACATAATAACGATAATAACTATTATAATTATAAGAATAAAGTTTCTGATGCAAATCAAAGGTTAACATTTTATCCTCATCCCCCAGAAACAGATAATCAATATTTAGCACCAAATCATATGTATGATAAACTTTATAAACTCAATGAAGACTTTTCAGGTAAAAGTAGGAGAGAAACAGAAGAAAGAAAAAGGGGAGGATTTTATAGAAAATGTACATACAATACATATCAGCAACGTACAAATCAGGCACATTTAAATTTCGCAGACGCAGTTCATACGTTGGTAAAACAAGCCAATGTTATGGCCAAAAGAAATAGAATCAACAAATACTTACGTAAGAAAGGCTAATTATCATGATAAACCTAACTTTACTACATTATGTATCGATTTTGTAAGCTGTGTTTGCAAACATCGAGAAAAAGACTTTCAGTTGTTTAATGTTCTGGGAATAGTTCAGTAACAGCTTAATAATAAAAAACACCCGGCTCTTACCCAGTAGGTCGGAGATTCGAATCCCACCTATGTTCTCAAGTTTGAGCAACATGGTAGCGCCATTAGTTCTTACAAAATGTGGCTCTAACCTAATTAAATAAACCAGTGTTTCATAAAATGAGTTACATAAATTCACTTAATTAATAACTCCTTTGAAATATTATAGCGTCTAGAAGGGGTTAAATGACTTTTCTGGCTGGCGTTTTCTAACAAGATTACATTCTAAGGGGTTTAATTGCTAACCCCATGCCAAACCCTTCTTATTTATTCAGTAACTATAAAGGGGGTATAGGTTTGGTTACGTCCATAATGATGTACTCATACTATGAAATATATATATATATATATTATTGAGCTCACAAAGCTGGATGATTTAATTACAGACCATTAGTTGTCATTCTGAATGGCGTCTTCAACCCCTTCATTATTTAGTAGAAACTTCAGAATCCTGCATCGAAAAAACTCCAAGAATGCCACAGAATTACTAGATGCATCGCACAAGAAAGTCAGGCTGGCTTCAGACCTAGTCGTTTCTGCATAGACCGCATATTCACCATTCATCAAGTTCTAGAACACAGGCATGCTTGTCGGTGTCCGACAGCGATAGTTTTTCTTGACTTGAAAGCAGCATTTGACTGTGTAGACTGAGAGGTTCTGTGGCAGTGTCTGTCATTGAAAGGTGTGCCATAGAAGTACACAAACATTGAGTAGGCTCTTTACTCGAACACTAATAGTCGAGTCAGAGCTTATGGCGAACTGTCATCTACTTTTGCAACCTCAAGTGGTGTCCGTCAAGGCTGTCCACTATCTCCATTTCTGTCCAACTTCATCATAGACCTACTGCAGGAAATAGCATTCACATCAACTGAATTTTCAGGAATTGATCTCCTTCCAGGAAGTCCACTTATCGACTTAGAATACACTGATGACATAGTCCCTGTCTGGTGAAAACGCTGATGGAATGCAGAGTCTTCTGGTAGCACTAAGCAACAATGCCAGAATGTTTGGAATGCGTTTATCCCTCTCTAAATGCAAGTTTTTGCTTCAGAACTTGCCTGCGTCAACACCTGAACTAAGGATAGGGAGTGAAGCAGTCGGACGCGTCGACAACTTCGCTTATCTTGGAAGTCTGATCAGCTCTAATGAGTTAGTGTCTGACGAAATCTCAACACGGATTCAAAAAGCTCGTCCGGCTTTTGCCAACTTACGTCACCTATGGCGAACACGAGATATCTTTCTATCAATTAAGGGACGAGTATACTGCTCAGCAGTTCGTTCTGTTCTAATTTACGGCTTCGAAACGTGGCCATTAAGGGTAGAAGATACTCGTAAGCTCCAAGTATTTGACCACAAATGTCTTAGAAATATTACCCGCACCTGCTGGGATCACCGGGTAAGTAATAGTGAGGTTAGACACAGGGTATCAATGAATGATGGTAAACCAATTGATGAGGTTGTAAATCTTCACCAGCTGAGATGGTTGGGCCACGTGTTATGTATGCATGAACACCGATTACCACGACGCGCAATGCTGACTAGTGTTAGGGATGGCTGGAAGAAAGTTT